ACGATCGCTATTCACTGTATTTGTAGAAGTAACAGGACCTTTTTTCAACTTTACAACGTTTGTTGGCACCCATCTCCTTAGCACATCTCACAGAATCAAGACATCTGACTGTTACCGGGTCCCGTCTGAACTAACAAACCTCAGACCATTTGACCTTATTGGCGATGCAGACTCGTTCTCCGCTGACGAAACCCCGCCAACACGTCCAGCGCCCCCGGTCCCACTAGTGATACCGAGTGCGAACTCGAATCCTCCTACTCAGGAGGATCCCGAACAAGACAACCCTCCTGCCTGGCCAGATGTGCCTTCCGATTTGCAGACCCTCCCCGATTCAGACGGAGCCCCCTCTTGACAGTGATAGCGACTCTGATACTGATCCCCCACCCAGTAGGCCCACCAATGAGCTCTGTCGCTAAACGAACATAAGACCATGTGACTCAAACTATTATTTCTTATTACTTAGGTTGCCGTTAAGTTAACCGTTCATGAATTTTGTATTACGGGAAAAAAGGGTCTACAAGAAAGAGGTCACGCCAGTACTGGTCAGCGGTACTTCTGTGAAAGGCATGCTTCTCACGCCCGCTGTTCATTTTTTCAGTTTTTCCCTCGTGAAGGAAGAAATCTCGAGGGCGCGTGTTCCTCTCGCGCGGCATTAAGACTACCGGCGCCTGCTACGCAGGCTGGTGCGGCATTCGCCATTGTAAATTACATGGTCATGTTTACTTAGCTTGTGAATAAAGAAAACGCAAGAGAAAGACGTGCCTTTTTGCAGAACAGGTTTTCAGATTTAGGTAAGACTGATTCAAGTCAGTTCAAGTTAACATTTTTCAGTCGTGTACCAAGGACCACGTACCGTTCAAATAGGTATTAAAGCTGTCTGTGGGCTAAAGCACGGAAATGTACTGGGTTGGCTACTGTCAGCAGTATCAGAAATATGCACGAGGATATCACGGAGGTTGTTGTCGCGGCGATACATAGCAGGCGACAGGAAGTTTTGGCGGCTCTCGGCGCGAGAAAATTCTGCGTCTCCTCCACATTCTCCGCACAGCTTGGCAGTTCCCCTGTCAAAACTTCGCTGACGCTACGCAGGCTTTAAAAAATACCGTAAAATTCCCAAAATAAGCCCATCCAAATATAAGCCCCCCAGAATCCTTACGCAAAAAACCCTCCGTTAAATCGCCCCTCCGAATATAAGCCCCCGGGGAGGCTTGTACTTGGAATTTGCCCTCGAATACAAAGTACAAACAAAGCAAAAATGGCAAATTTCCTTCCCACTACAAGCTAGCCCAATCGATTTTGAAACGCAAATTTCCCTCCGTACATAAGCCCCTCCGAATGAAAGCCCCTCAAAAAGGGCCTTTGTAAAATATAGCCCTCGGGGCTTATTTTCGGAATTTTACGGTGAGCGACTAGCCGAGCGACCAGCGGTGGCCAGAGACTCTGAAGCGCGCAAGGGGTGAACAGTTACCATGACAACCTCTCAGGAAAGCTATACTGTATATTTTTCACAACATGGCGAATGTCGGAGGACTCCATTTGCAGGAGCCGAGTTCTGGACCTTTAGGTTACCCATCTAGGTCGCCTTTAACATTACTTGTAAGTTATTTTGAGAGGGATTAAAAGTCGAACTAAATTCCTGTTGAACTAATTTATTAGGAACAGGTCTAGAACAAAATGTCAAGTAGTCAATTGTAAGATGTCTAGATCGATAATTATTGACCACAAAGCCAATATAAAACCAAGAATATTTGTCTAAGAGGTACTTCCTTTTCCTTTATTACAGTCAGGTAGAAGAAGTAAGAGTCCGTATTATGAAGAGCCTGTGTCAGAAAGGGAAGAATGGTGGAGAAGCACACTCAAGGTAATCTGTGATTTGTATAGTAGTAAGCTTAACTGCAAACTGAAAGCATTTTAAAATGTTTGTTTGTCGTTCTGTAACCCTAAAAAAGGAGTCAAATGTTGGAACACACTGACGACATTTTAAGCCGCGCCGTATGGGCCAACAGCTATATGTATATGGTCATGGCTTCTACTGCAGAAAGCTAAACTAGCTAAGGCTGTTCAGTGTTGACCTCAGTGTTTCCCTGTTTCAGTTCAGTTGTCAATAATCGGTTTTAAGTCTAGAAATCATCCCGAACCATCCTGACAAAATCTTTCGACACGACCTGATCGAGCATGACACCTCTTATTATTACCGTAATCATTATTGGGATAATGTAACCTTTTTAAAATCAAAACTGTATTCCAAGAGACTTTTCACAAGATGTGAAAAAGTTGAAAAAAAGAAGCCACTCTGGAAACCAACTGCCTATTTATTATTAATACACTGCACACAATGGTGCATTACTGTCCAGTTACTTATATGCATCAAGTCATTGTCGTTCCCATTGATCCTTAGCGATTTCGGATGTGACACCACTGTCAAGCTTGTCAGGAAAATTCACCAAGGATGCTATCACAGTTGGTTCCAAAGCCTCCTTACTTGGATAGCATGAACTGGCCTGGGGACAAGGCTGACATGTAGTATGATTTAATATAATTAAAAGTATATGTGCTGCTAAACTTTTATAAAATATTATTAGGACACACCCATTCCTGGAGCATACGACTTAAAGGATTTTGTTCAAGAATTACAAGGCAACCCTGTTAGGACCACATATGGATTTAAGAATGCAGGAAGAAAGAAAAATGCTGATCCATCCAGAAAAGGTTCAGCGTTGATGCCAGGGCTGTACAAGCACAGGACATGTGTAGACCAGCTAGAAACACAGCAAAAAACATATAACTTTAAAGCATGTGACAGATATCACACTCCTACTGCTCTTGTAGGATACATTGATAAGGTTTGTACACATAACTTAATTGAATGACAATTACTGTGTTGTTTGATAGTATGCAACCTCTTAAGCCCCATGCAAACGGAGGCAACGTTGTTGGCCAACATTACTCCCAACATTGTTGAATGTCTACATGTTGTGTCCATTTGCACACCCTGTTGCATGTTGTTAGGGGTTATTGTGCAAAATAAACAAGTCAAACGTTTGAGCCAACAACTCCCAACATTTCTCTTGTTGCGTGATCGCCAAAGCTTAGCGCAACAATGTTGGATCCGTTTACACAGCTCTTCCAACATTGTTGGGGCCACGCACATGCATCATCACACATGGTCTCCAAAGTCTTATGGGTTGTGTCCTTCCCACGATACACCGCATGTCCCAACATTGTTGGCCCAACAATGTTTGGATTTGTTGCATCTGTCTGCATGTAGCTTTAGAGTAAAAAACATAACATCACTCATCTTTTTTCAGGTTCTCTTAAAGGCCATGACATTCTTATCTTCAGTATGGAATATATCTTTTTTTACACATGTGGTTTTCTGAAAATATTATATGTGCTTTTTGGGAAAAAAATCGGTTGGCACAGAAGTTCTTTTGTTGATTTTCTTTTCTTTTCATGATTAAACCCTGCAATAAACTGAAAATAAAATTCACTGACTTTTCAGGCTTTGGCAAGAACTAAGATATGTATCTCCATGACGAGCTTTGAAGCGCGAAAAATTTTTATGCAAATTAGCTGGCTGCACATTCAATGTGCAGCCACCTAATTTGCATAAGTAATTCAAAACCAAGGTATGACAGCTTTAGGCTCTTGAGGTGTCGGCTGAATACCCTAGGACTTCCGTAAATTGCCCACAAAAGAGTAACTCAAGCTACCATAAACTGAAATGAAAGTAACCGCAATATCCGATTAAAGCAAGGTTTAAATCTTTTTCTGCTCGGCTAACCCTCTTCCAAGGCACTTACTATTTTGGTAATAATAAAACGGCATAAAGATTTTACATCGCGCCTTTTTCAGTCTCGGGCAGTAAATTATAGTATGAAACGGAGGTAAACTCAACAATTCAGTTTTGTGACTGCCCTGCAACTTTGAAACTATTTAAGCCGCTTCCTAAAAGGCCGGGAAAATGTTTTTCGCAAAATTCGTAAAAGTAGCTCCTTATACTCTAATTTAACATTACCAAATTTAACAAACGCGCTAACTACTTTATGGTCCTGTATCAGTATGTAAAGGCATCAAATCCTTATAAAGCCGACAGAAACAACAATTAATATAATTTAAGACTTTTTTTGTACTGCTTTTATATCAAGCAAATGAAATAGTCCTGGCGATATGTCATTATCGCAAAATCGCCAAATTCAGTGGTTCCTAGATCACTAACACAAAATACTGCAATACATGTTCTTATACTGCTCTTTTACTCCGCTTTGTTAAGGCAACACTCGTGCCAAAATCAAGTTCGAGCGTGGCCTAAAAAATAAAATGGATTGAGAGAAAGCGGTTAATTGACCATGAATATTCAAACAGAGTAAGAGTTGAATAAGATTATCACCTCCATAAGTCAAACAAGTCAATGTTATGTATTTTTTAGGTATAAATTAGCCGGGATACTACACCATTGATTAGAGTGTTTTTACAAGTTAACTGTAGATTTCAGGTATACACTACCCAGGATACTACAGGAATGATTAGAGCACTTTTACGAGTTAACTGTAGTTTTCAGGTATACACTACCCAGGATACTACAGGAATGATTGGAGCATTTTTGCAAGTTAACTGTAGATTTCAGGTATACGCTACCCAGGATACTACAGGAATGATTAGAGCATTTTTACGAGTTAACTGTAGATTTCAGGTATACACTACCCAGGATACTACAGGTTAATACTATGCAACGCAGATAACAAAAGCTCAGGAAACAAGGGGACCCTGCATGACCCAGCGAGGCTACTTGTCTGCGAAATATTTTGAGAAAAGAGCTGACTCTCTCGAGTGTTGAACTAGAATAGAATAATCCAGAATTATAATTTTAAACATCAAATGCCACTGATATAATTATTAAGTTTTCTTACCTGTCTGGAGTCTCTTCCACTGATGTCAATGATCTGGGCGCCAAACAAACGCGCGCGGTACATATTTCCCGCCACAAATAATTAAAAGTACTTTCATGAGACGATGATCAAAATCAGTCAAAATGCAAAAAGCAAAATAGGAAAGCCGGCGTCAAGTTGCTAGAGGCTAGCGATCGTTTGTTGGGCGGCGTGTGATAGAGTGAAACTGATAAAATATCGAGAAATCTAGACAGAATCGTTTTGTAATACATTATCAAAAATTATGTGAAATACATCATCAGAAAACACGTGCGATAAAAATGATTTCCGCTCGATATTTTTTCTCGGTATTTTTCATCGACAAAAAACCGAAATATTAAAAATCACGACTTACCATCAATTGTTCGGCTAAACAAAGCTAAACTTACCAAAGTCGATAACCAAGTAAGGATTTCCTACAGAAATAATTTGCCACTCTCGTTTAGCAGTGTAGTGGTCGAACTTGACGTAGGTTAAAACGAATTCGTTTTGCCGGCATCTTCCCGTTAAATTAAAGTAGATTTAACACTTGCCAGAAGTAATTAGAAATCTAGCCATTTTGCTCATAGCTTCGCAAATGCAACCAGCGTTATACAGTAAAGCGACAGAAACTTTAGCGAAATATTCACACGCGACAGTCGCGACAACCTCAGTAAATCTAACAAATGAAACAAGATAGTGAGAGAAAAAAAGGGCTTTATTGATTGTTTCCGGCAGGCGGTGACAAGTAATGTACGAGATTAGAAGACCTCCTGGTCAGAATTTTTTTTGTAGCCTAAGCCCGTCATGCATGACTTAACAGAGTTTGCCAACTTTTCCAATGTTGTCTTTCCCATGACCTTTCACCTACTATAATCAAAGAACTGAAAGTAATAAAATGTTATTCATTAGTTCCAGACATTTGACCCAAATTTGTTTTCATTGCAGGAATTTGCCAGTAGTCAAATAAGTCCAACCACATACTACTCAGGTTATAAATATGTTCCAAAGTTGCCATCAAAGTAAGTGCAATACTCCTGAAGTCCTGAAATGACTAAAAACTGAGTACCAATTTTTTATTGATCATTAAAATTAACAATTATTCCACGAGTTCGCGTTGGATATGAGTTGGCTATAATCATCACACATCCAGCAAGTGTGAGTGGAAAAACAAAAACACCCACAAAATATCGAGAATTCTTCCAGACTTTATTTGAAAAAACAACCAATTTTCAGCTTGTTTTTAATTTTGAGCAGACACATACAGTTACCATATTTGGAGAGCATGGTATAATGGCTCATATACCATGATGGCTAAGCCAATCAGAGCGGTAGAATAAATTGCATTATCCAATGTTTCAATTTTTAATAATTTCTGATAGTTCTCAATTATTACTTAATAAATGTAAAAAACAGGAGTAGGGAAACAAAAGAGTAAGAAGTACATATTTGTATAAACGTCTAACAAATTATTTTTGTGGGCCTTTCACCCATACCCAACCCCATTTAATTAGGATTATATTTCATCATGAGGACGGGGGAGCTTGGTGGATTCCTGATTATCGTTATTAAGTAGTACATACTTAGTTGACTAACATGAGCTGCAAATTTGTACTGTTTTTCTTAGGCATCCTGCATTCAAGTCTCAAGAACATAGATTCCCAACAATTTACTTTAAACCTGTAAGAGGCAGTTTATAGAAAATATTCTTCCTATAGTTAATAATCAATAATATAAGTATTAAATGAAGATGTCACTTCTATTGTGTAGGTGGAAGCTAGTACACTCACTGCATTGTATAATGTTTGCAGTGCTGTTAAGGGGGCAATGACATATATCTTTAGTATTCAACTTTGTGTATGAACCATGTTAGGGTATAGGTACTTTCTGCACTGTGTACAAAATGGCTGCTGACAATCAAAATTCTCTAATTTGGCAGCAAACTACATTTCATGATAAAATCTTTCCAAAATAATAATGGAGTCATACTTTAAAATGTCATACTAACTTTTTCAAGTTACAGTCCACATGCATCGTACCAAATCTTAATTAGTAATTTCTGAAAGAATGATCCAGTGTTACTACTATAAAGTGGCTCAAAGTGTTTTTATTTGTTTATTATTTTATTCTTTCAGAGAGAAGGACCTCCTCCAGGACAGTACAAACTTTCAAAAGATTCGATTTTACCAAAAGGACCAAATGTTACATCTCCATTCAAGTCAAAAACTCCAAGATTTGTTCAGCCTCATGTCCTGGTAATTAATGTCCTCAATAATAAATACCTTTACATGTAACAAAAATAGACTACAATTTTGCATGGGCAAAATGTTTAGAACTCAATGGAACTAAATGCTCATGGTTTCACTGCAAACATATAGTTTTGAACATTTCTACAGTCTGTAAGAGTATAATCATTAGTGACACTTGCAAAATTGTTTGTCTATTTGTTGTTTACAATAACATTGACAGTTGGTAAACATCCAATGAAGTTAATGTTGGAAATTGCCAACAGGAGAAAAAGAAATAGAAAATTGTGCCATCAGCTACCATAGTTTGAACATGACCATGCAGTCAGTGCAGTCATTTGCAACAAATATTTTATACATGTCTTATAATTTTTATAATAATATGTGATGTTTCCTCTTCTTTGTTTTAAACAGAAAACCCCTGGTCCAGGAACATATTGCAAAACATACCAGACACCAATGCCAGATACAATAAAGAAAATGGCAAGAAACTATGGGCTGTTTTTTACTTCTGGGACTTACGGAGAATATTAGGAGCACTTTATTGGCATATAAAAAGGAAGGAAAGACAAAGAAATAGGAATTTTTTATCGCAATTATTATTGAGGTTTACAATAATTTATTGTAGTTTGGAGCTGTTTGGTGAACACCTATAAAAAGGTAGAACTATGCATAAGAAAATCATAGCATGTTAAAACCATAGTTCTAACACTATTTGGAGCAGTCACACTGCTCATCAAGATGATAAAGCAGGCAATAATCTCAGGTTCATTAACCTCAAAGCAGTGCAGCTCTTGTAAGTAGTTTTCCCACTCACTCAATTCTGGTTTTGAGGGTGAGTTACATGTTCATTTCTGGAACATCAACTGGTAAAACAAGCCACACTCAAAGACCTGTATAGTCGTATTAGAAAAATAAGAAGTGAAACACTTTTCATACTTTTGAAAGTTTTAATTGATAGAGTTATGTTTTAACTGAAATAAAAGGTTTTGTACTCTTGTTGTTAGTTTATTGGGCACTGTTACACAGACTCAGTCAGTTCTCAGGTCTCTATGGTCATCTCCCCAAAATAGATCCCCTATCGTAATTCTTACAGTCACTTTCTTTCACTTGCTATACATGTAAGTTAAAACAAAAAAGGACAGAGAGAAGGTGTATTATTAGCAGGAAGCCTTGATCTGCTTCCACGGATCCATAACCACTCTTTATCATTTGTCACAAGAACGTGCATTGTGCTCATCAATAAACATAAAAGGCTTGTTCAGTCAGTGATTGGTGAAAAGTTAGCTTTTCCTAACAGTTGAGTTCAGTTAATGTAACTTACTTGTTAGCCATTTGATATAAACGTAGCCTGTTCTAGGCTCCGAGCATCCTCGGAGACCCAGGGGCAGTTAGTCGGGTCGATTAAATGTTCGTGATGAAAGTTTAGTGTAAGATCGAGACGAGCCCCTGGGCACTTACTGGGCGCGATCCATTCAACCAAAATTTCCGGAAATTTCGATCCAAAACTCAATGGATCGGTTCGGTCCAACCGGAAAAGTTTCGAAAAAACAGGTCCACCTTTTGAGGTGGTCCTCTTTTCCCGGTCGGACCGGTCTGAATTTTGGTTGAATGGATCGCGCCCACTCTTATTTTTCTGGCCAATCAGAAGCAGGCAATTCAAACGCTTCTGGAACTGGTTCGGTAAGAGTAAGTGCCCAGGGGCTCGTCTCGATCTTACAGTAAACTTTCATCACAAACATTTTATCGACCCGACTAACTGCCCCTGGGTTTCCGAGGATGGGCTCCGAGATAGTCGTGAAATTTTTAAAAAAGAAATGCGAAAAACGCGCGGGGGCTGGGGAGAGACAGGGCGGCCATTTTTCTCGCCGCCACCGCCCCCTTTCCCAAGTCGCGCGCGTCTTATTTTCGCTTTGCTCGTTTTAATACGTCCGCACTATACTATCTGAGAGCCTGGCACAAGCTAATATAAACGACGATTGAATTCCTGAATTTTGTCGAGAGACCATATGATTTCATTCTTTTGTTTTGTATCCAAATTTGTGATGTCATCAGCTAAGTGATTCAGTAAATCTCTAAACACACTGCATCCTTTTCGAGAAGCACCCCGATCATGCTTCTGTAGCTTAATAATCCTTTGAACCGCATCCTTCCGAATAACTGTTGCAATTGTGTGAAGTACATATGCCCTGTTATTTCCATCTAATGGTACTCATGAGGTTACTGATGGTTTTGAGTGCCAAGATTTTTTCCTTGGGTTAAGTCTAGCATAGATCTAAGTTTAACTTAAGGCAGTCTGATTTCTCCGCTGCCTGCATGCAGGTACAACACGGTGACATATGGCGAGCACTCCCTCCGGCACTTGGGGCCCAATCTCTGTCGAAAATTATCTCCAGACTTGAGAGAAGTTACCACCTTAAAATGTTTCAAAAACAAAATACGTACATTAGATATAGTTACACTAATGGATAATGGATGCAAGTATTGTCATCTCTGCAATTCATAGACATATTTGTCATACTGTAAATATTGTTAATGTCATTAATTTGTTTTTTATACTTGCGCTTATATGTAAATACTTTAATTTATATTTATATTTATTTATTTTGTGTCCCCTAATTAGCATAGGTTTTTAACCTAAGCTAGGAGGCCTCTTTAGACACCTTAATAAAGTTTCATCATCATCAGTCTCACAACCAGAGTAATGGCAGGAATTTTATAATGCCGAAATTTTGATTATTTAATTTAGTGACAAAATTTTAATAACTGGAGCAAACACAGAAGTGATGTTATTCACAAAACGAATTTATTTATGTACTCCTTCCTTCAACAGCGGTTTGTTCAGTGCATTCGCTTCTTCTGTGAGGTGCTATTCATTTCCTTCGTAGCATCGAGTCGGCCTGCGCAACTTAAAAATGCCTTTGCTGTTGACCGACGGAAACTAAATAGAATTAATTATAAACATTGGCAGAAATGAAATGAGCAGAACAAACTTGCTTTAGTCTGCGTATTCCAAATCCACAGAAACAGAGATTTAAGGTTGCCTTCCTCCAGCCACACTTGGTCAAGCCATTTAATGAATTTTAAAAGTCCTGCTTCGGTGTGTTTCCTGGACTCTTTGCTCGTCAACAAAAATTTATTCATCTCGGTCAAGACACATTTTTCACATATCTCAGTGGAAACCGACCTTTTACTAAATGGTGTCTTTTCCAATTCTTCACAGAGAAAACCCTTGTGCTTTATAAATCAAACGCGAGTGTTACTCAGTGATTACTCAGAGAAGGGTCATTAAAATTAACACTTTTTTCAACGCTCTGGTTGCTTTTAGCTAGTCAGAATTTGCATTTGCAGAGGTATTTGTTGTTTTTTTCCGCACCTTCCCCCGTCGCCCGTGTCTCGCGCTTCCACGCCTGCCTCGTGCTTTGTTCGCCCGAAAACGTAATGACGCGACAAAATAGCTGCTTGTTCTGAGCCTTTTCTGCAGGCTACGTGCGTGACACCTTGATGATTCAACTCTCATTCGCTCTGACTTCAACTGTGTGGTTTTTCAAGTGTTCTTAAAGGTATTTTTGCTATTTCTTAACTCTATAGGACTACAAGAAAAGGTTTTCTCTAGAATCTCTAGAATGAACTCATGTCAATGAAAATGATGTCACAAGACTCTGACGCCGCGAGAGATTCAAATGAGGAAGACTGGTTTCCATATCACCTGATCATTTTTAACTCTATTTACACTTGTTTACACGGCGCGCGCAATACACCCGCCAGCAAGTAGCGAATACAACACATTTTTGACCAACTCCTCTTTCTTGGGCTGGTTTTCGGCCAGTTAGCATGGGAATGGCTAAAAATGAGTATTGCAACACTAAAGGCATATTATGAAAACAGAACAGTGAAATTGAATGGCGTAGTTACAACAACGATGGAAAATTATGGACAGAGAAAAATTCCTCTAGCTATTCTACCGGCTAATGCAACAAAGAATTTCAGGATTAACTTCATGAATGTGAAATAGTTTACACCCGGATTCAGTTTCAGCATCGACCTAAAAAGGAATGAAGTCTCAAGATTCAGAGGAATTCCTATTTGTTTTTTGTTTGTTTGTTTAAAAAGACAATAGTCACATCTATAGAACTCTGCTCAAGTGCGTAGGCACCCTGTAAAGGTGTTGGATCATAAAGGAGTCGCTTTTGCAAGCCACAATCTTTACTCAGTATAAATCATTATTGAACCTAACAATGTTGTGTGTACAAGTTACTTACAATAGCCTTTGTAAATAATTTGCGGTATTTGAAATAATAACCTGGTATTAAGTTAAAAATAGGGCCGTTTAAACGAGGAAAAATAAGACGCGTCTTACATAGGACGAGTTCCAACTATCTCGTATAAACGGCACATTTTGTTTGAAATTTAGCTAAGACGCGACTTATCTAAGAACAGCTCCTAATACCTGTTCTTCGATAAGACGCGTCTTTGCTAAGTCGCGTCTTAATGTGCTGTTTATACGGGATAGTTTGCGTCTTATTTAGGACGCGTCTTATTTTTCCTCGTATAAATGGCCTTAATATTGATTTTCAGAAGTCTTTTAGGTCCCATACATGTTTTTTCCAATAAATGTCTATCAAACTCTTTAAATGCTAAACCTTTATATTAAAATAAGTTATTATTTCCTTAGAAGCTCGCTAACGTGACTGATGGTAAGAATCGATAAGCAATTTTGGTTTAGAAATCAGGAAATACATTATAAATCATCACTCTTTTGCTTGTCCCTGAAATCGCACAAGTGAGCCCGCTCGCACCCAGGCTATGGTGCTGTGACAAGTAATCATCTAACGACTCCGAAGTACAATTAAGTTGTCACATTTATTGCGGAATGTTAACAGGAAAAGATAGATAATTCTGTTGAGAAGGTGTGAGCTTTTATCTAGCGTTATGTTTCAACAAATTTTAAAGAGTTAAGCTTAATTAAATAGCAATCTACACTCATTTTAAATCTGGTAGTTGTTATCCCATCTGTGGGTGGATTGCAGGAAAAACGGGAAATATTTAAAGCTATGACCCACTTTTAGCAAAACAATTGACCATGCACTGACTGTAAGGTTCTGAATAAAATTCCGGTTCATAATAATTGTTACAGATTCTGATCTGAATTGTAATAAGCGCATTCGATAATTTGAACCTATGAAGATTAAAATGTTTAATTTAGCGTTTATTATGATTCCAGGTCTTTGTGAATCAAGGCTCAGGATGTCAAGGTACTGTTAACTTTCTTCACGTCTCCCTTCCGGCGGTACTCATCATCACAGTATTCTTTCTTCCAGAAAAAAATTACTGCATGTCTTTCCACGGCGAATGCATTTTCATTCTGAGAAAGCACATAGGGTGCATACTAGACCAGCAGACGAGAAGGAGATTAAAACAATTTTCAGTAAGTACAATGTATAACAAAAAAGAGCTTTCATAATCATGAGTTTGTCTGCATGAAGTCTCACTTGGGAGGAACGGAGGGTGTTCGTCAGCCTCATTTTAGATGTTCATTAAGGTTGGTTATTCCAGTAATTCCTCTTGTTATTGGATAGAGCACACAGTACTTTTGTTTTGTTGTTGTTGAAGAAATAATGAGCTTGGTAGATCTGGGTTTTTATTCTGCCTCAACATGTCGAACACCTGAAGTTTAAAAGAGAGCACGTTTATAAAACATCACGGCATGCAGCCATTAAGGTTGAGAGAGTGCTTAGGCTCGATTTCCGGGGGAGGAGCAAGAACTCGTTTCCAGAACAGCGGCTGATAATCAAGCCTAAAGAGTGCCTTGCTTCACTTTCGTTATAACTGTTCAATTTTCTAGGCTACAAATGAATAAAGTGGTTTAACCCTATTCCCTACCCCCTACCCCTTTCGACGCCTGCTACGCAGGCTAAAAGTGGTTATAACAGTTTCTAAAGAAACTGTCTGTTAGAATACGTTGCATCAGTGAGGGGTGAAATACAAAATTTTGTTTCTATCAACTGAGCTCATCAAGTGAATTACAACTAGCCACGGCAAATACATTTTAAAGCCGAATCCTAACCCCTTTGCCAGAAATAAAGCCAGAATCTTTGACTTTTAAATCTCGTTATGACCCGGACAATCTGACGACTTTATCAAGTCAGCTGATGAAACCAAAGTTTTGAGTTTCTATACTTCAAGCAGCCCCCCCCCCCTCCTTTTAAAGCCCTTTGAGCAATTTACAAATTTTCACATGGAAAACCAGTTCTTTAGGTCAGCTGCTAGTCAAAAGTCAGGAGTACCAGCTGCGTGAGTAACAGCTTTGCCCTGGACAGGAAAAACGTTTGAAAATCTAAATGAAGATTACATTACCCCTAAAACTTCCATGAAGTCAATGGAATTAGTGTTGTCTGCATCAATTTTCCTAAAAATGTCTTTGACTTCTTTTTTGGTATACATTGTGGAACTTCCCTTCTGAGAAAGTAAGTCCAGCATCTTTTCTAGTTCATCACTATCTATTGTCTGCAAACAAAAAAATGTAAGCAAATTATAAGACACCATTATCATTAATCATTTCTAGAATAATAATGCTGTTAAGAATCTATTAATTGATTTGTAGTGGAAACACACAAACTGTAACCTGAGATCAGGCCCAATTTTAGCGGTTCTCACACATTCTCTCTAATGGCTACCACTAAATTGCCCGACGGAATGTCATTTTCAAAACGAAACGAAAATAGAGCCTGATCTCGGGTTACACAAACTGTGTCAAGCATTCCTTTTTTGGTGGGGAGGGGAAGGGGGGGGGGGCTGACAGGTGGTTGGAGAAGAAGAGTTAGAATTTTGCCCACCCATTTTTTGCACCCTCAAATCATCAAATAGGGCTAAAATTCTAAAAAACCCACATAATTTACAGCAAAATATGACAACTTTTATCATTTTATTGACCTTTAGATTATATACCAGTTGATACATATGCATGCTTATCGGAATACTTAGTGCTCAATAGAAGGACTATAATCTAGGTCTAATCTAGGTTGTCTGGTGTCAATGGGAGATCCGACTTGGCATTTTTTATTACTACTTAAGTAATTATATATACCTGTATATCTATATATATTATATCAAGTTAGCCTGTACTATTATAACTGCATTTGACTCACCCCATTTCTGTCCAGATCTGCCTCCACGAACCTTTTTTCAGCAAAAAGAATTGTGCTCAATGGAAGATCAGGATACCTTTCTGCAATTGCCTGAAAAAAGAAAGATTTCAATATATAGAGCCTTTTATCATGTTTCACTTCTGCCCTGTTGGTGTCCCAAAACAAAAAAAATGCTTGGTGGTCCAAACCAGTCTTAATGGGAGTTGAACTCTTTTCTTATGCAAACATTTCTTTTGTTGCAACAAATATGCATAGCTACTGGCCATAATGTGAGTGGAAATGCTTTATACTTTAACTTTTGTAGAACAAGTACCTATTTCAGACTTAAAAACATACTGTCATAGCGCCTTCCTGATCTACAATTACCAGTATACAAAGAAGATTTAGATTTTCCTTTTTATTTTATTTATTTAATTTTTTCCCTCTTTTATAGAATTTATGTTTTTGAAGATATTAGCCTTTGAGGCTTCTCTAGCCCTGAAATTTAAGTATAAATAAAGTTCATGTATGTATGTATGTTAATGCAAAGCTTTATGGCAAGTTCCTCACTTAACTTAAAAAAAATAATTTCCAAACATTTTGTGAAGTGCTGAGATGGGAAAAAGATACTAGAACAAATTAATGTGGAACATACCGCATATAATCTTTCTGGATCCTCAAATGGGTCATCGTGATCAACTTTATTATTCATTTCAGGTGTTAATAGTCCTGTGTCTTTCGCTCCTTTCTCCCTTTTCTTTGCTGCGGGTCTTTTTGGTTTGGTTACACTTGATTTTCGTCGCTTCTTTTGCTCCTACAAATAGAACAATCGCTGTCAAATTATGGCTATTTGGAAGTGAACTCAGACCAGTTTATTACAGAGGATATCCCATTCACTCCTGGAGATGGTGCCAGAAATTCTGCATAAGATTGTTTATTTAGATTATTAGTTATTGGTGCAAGAGCTGTATGGTGTACAAGAGACTGCATGGTTGCGTAAAGCAAGTTATTAAGATTTCATAAAAGTGGGAGACTTTTGTGTTACAGTTCACTTACTTTCAAAAAATTTTCTCATGCTTTTTTTTTGCTTACTGTAAAATCATAATCAATTATTGGATGATGTTTTTGTCACATCTGGAAAAATCAGGGTTGAAGTAAGCATTACCGGCCAGGGCCAAAGGCTAAGATATCACAAACACTAAATCTTATTATGCATCTTATGGAAGAAAATAACAGCAAACACACTGTTGCACAGAACACACTCAGTATGACATTGCTCTAGGAAATCATGCATTGCGTGTACAACCTATAAAGAGGAATGTGCTGAATTCCATAAATAACCTCATATGGCTCTAAGCCAATGAGAAGTGGGTACAATATATAATTTTGCTCATCCATCCTTAGCTGAGTTACCCATAATACCATGCAAGAAATCCCCTAGACAATGGGAACAATAATTACAAAACATTGGATACAGTCTTAGGTTGGTTCAAATTAGCCCATATGTTCAGTTATCAGAAGAAGCAAGTGAACTTACTTTGAAACAGGCAAAGTTCAATTAGGAAGAAAAGATTAAATACGAAAGGAAAATAAATTTGTCAGACACTATTGCTGACAATAAACTTTTCATTTTCAGGTCATGGTACCTGGTAGATGTTTCTTTAACCCTTAAAAATTGTTTGATACTTCCTTCTCTAGTATTATGTCCATAAATTTACCTTATTCTTTTCAGCCACCTAAAAATAGCAAAAGAAAAAAAACACAAATATAATATTAATCTTTTTGTTGTTTTTTCTTTATAGCTTAATAACAAATTTTACATGATAAAAATAAGTCCGTGAATAAAATAGTATTATTATCAAACTAAGGATGATGGTACTCCAATCAATTATGGTGATGATGATGGTAATCCAGCTAATTATTATAATAAATTACTGTAATCAATTTTCCTCCTAACTTTTTCGTGTTCTAACATGAGTCCCCCTCCCCCTCCCTCAGCATTTCCCACCACTCATTTCTAATACTGTAAAATTCCGAAAATAAGCCCCAAGGCTTATATTTTTCAAAGGCCCTTTTTGAGGGGCTTATTTTTGGTGGGGCTTATATTTGGAGCAGCTTATCTACGGAGGGAAATTTGCATTTCAAAATCGATTCGACTAGCCTTATAGTTTCAAGTAAATTTGCCATTTTTGCTTTGTTTTACTTTGTATTTGGGGGCAATTTTCCAAGTACAAGTCCCCGGGGGCTTATATTTGGAGGGGTGATTTAACAGAGGATTTTTTGCGTTACCGGATTGGGGTGCTTATATTTGGAGGGGCTTATACATGGAGGGTCTTATTTTGGGAATTTTACGGTATTGCATTACAGGTAAGGATCTAAAGGGGCTATGTCACCAGGATATCACTGTTTTAGGTCAATTCTGTAGTGAATTCATTTAACTTAATGCCTTTTAATACCTATTTTACACAGAATGGGTCTTTCTTCAGGTACCGTCATTAGAAAAGAAACAAAGGCACCAAACAACAGAGCTCTCCTGGGGGCTTTATTGTTTGATTGTATTGCTTCTTTTGTTCTACATAATCTGTGTCTCAGTACCTACAGAAGGATCGAATCCCCAAAATGTTCCTCAGTGTATAAGTGTATAGTTATGAAGATATGAAACAAATTCCATCAGGGAACTCTAACCACTGGTGATTTTTGCAGGGAAAGCCAATAAGATATGAAAAAAGTTGACCCCAATTTTTTGCAATCCATGTCCATCCTTGTCATCTAAACCAACAGATGAGGGAAACAGTCTCAATATGTAAATGTCATCTTAAATAACATCATTGCAAAGACATTTTAACTTTTTAAAAAGAAAGCAAATTGTGTGACATAGCCTCTTAAACCCAACAGGAAACCTACATCAGTTAATTATTTCATAACATGTCTCTCATTTGTAATTGTAAATTATGTTTACTGTTAATATTATAAGTTTACACAAGTACATACATGTTAGAAATAAAATAACTTTATAAACTAAAATATTTAGCCTTACATATACTAACGAAAAAATAACGTTGGTGTCAACTGGCTACATCATATTTCAGTATACTACACATCGAGGACGATAGTATATTTTACTTGATGATACTTGAGACAAATTAGAAGTCAAGGGTTTAGTCAAGTAACAAGGCTTCCATTATTCCAGCAACTGTAGATAAACTCTGCGACTAACGTATATATACTAGCCTAGCAATAAAGTCTCACTTGCTTCTCCAGATCTTCCAGTTTCTTAGTCATCTCGTGAATCTTCCCTTTGAGGATGTTGTTTTCTCTCTCCTTCTCGGCTAGTTTGTCTTGAAGTTCTTTTCTTTCCTTCACGCCCGTTATCCAGTCCTGTGTTGCTTGGTCGCGCTGTGGAGCACTATTCTCGTTATTTTCTTCAGACATGAGATGTGAACGTTGTCAAACCGATTAAAATTAATCTTGTCTAAAAGTGTGATACAGGTGAAAATCGATCTCAATGACGTGCGATAAACACTTGTCAGCAGTTCATATGTCGCTCATTTGTTTTCATATACACAGTGGTTGCTATATAACACACATTCCATCACGCTCTGCTGCTCCTTTGCAAAGGTACTCGTAGACCCCGTAATATAACTAGCAGAAGAAATAACTCCAAGGAATTATGAAATGTTCCTTCATCAAAAGCTGCATATTTCCACCTCTAGTCAATCATGTTCGATTTTGTAAAGAATCTCGTTGCCGACCGTCGACATGGCAATCGGGTTTGGAATGCGCGATACGAAAACACTCATACATAATGTACTTACTCCCAAATCCTATAGTCTGAGCCCGCGAACATTTTAGATTGCTCAAATCCAACATGGCGAATTATCGAAAGATGCGAAATGACAGATTAGTAGATCCTTATAAAAACTGCAAGTAAAGAAAGTTTTATTGATCTTGGAATCTTTCAATATGGACTTTGACACGCCTACGTTGTTATACAGTGAAGAGGAATATGGACGAACGCCTAAAAATCACAAGTCCATATTTATCTATGAATGGTTGAGGAATCTTGAAGACAACGTCCCTGTTGCTTCAAAGGTATCACTTTCTTTGATTTATTTTCAATTTCCTTTCCTGCGTCTAAAGATCTTTCCCTTTTCAGTTGCTCTGTATTTTTATCACCTAGGCTCTTTTTGGTGGAACTGTAGAATACCTGGCCATTTCTAACAAAATTAATACCAGCAGTACTTAATACCCATTAAAAGGCTGGACCTGCAATTTAAATATATTGTGTACATTGTAGCTCCAAATGAAATTCTGGTTAAAACGGTTTCAAGCTAGTTTGGTTACATGAATGTCGTTTTTTTGTTGTTTCCTTACCCTTGCAGTGATGAGGTTGAAATGGCATGGTAAATTTACTATGTATTAGACAGCTCTTATATCACTTCTTTTCTGTCTTATCCTCTTACAAAGAGTTTGTTAGGAAAAATTTCCCTCGAATGCAGGTCTTAATAATTCTCTTAAGGTAAAACGAGTTAATGAAGGGATTTCAAGGATGTGCTCTAGCAGAGCCCGGTGGCCTGTGGCGCCTAACTCTTGTTCTCAGGTGACTAGAAAATATTTGCTTCTTCATAGAAATCATATGCTGGGCACACTGGATTTCACAAGTTCAGAGCACTGGCTCCCTTCAATTTTTCTTAGAGCACAGCCTTGGATTTTGTTTAAATGCTGCACAACTTTATGATAAATATGGGTTTAGAATTCCAATGATCTTCATCATACTCAGTGTACATAATTATGTGAATTTATTTATCTCTTGAGATAAGATTGTTAGAACATTTTTGTGTTCATCCTATAGGCTCAGATTAAAGATTCACAACAGAAGCTTGAGGTGCAGCTCTCTAAACAGCTGACTGAAATTCTTGGCCCTCCTACCAGACAGCTGTTAGCGAAATGTTATGCATTGCTTTACAGTGTGGGTAACACATTCACAATGTATGAAACAGTCAATAAGTGCAGTGATATTATCAAGTCAAAGGATGAATCCCAGTCTTATCTTCCAGTTAAACTGTAAGTTTTGTGTAATTTTTGTTTTTAGAAAGGACGTGCCTGCAACCTGGTCACCTTTTCAGCAGAACAGACAGACCAAAAAAGTTGTTGACAAACATCATGTGGACTGAAAATTTTCTAAATCAATGTGCAAATCTTAAGCTACAAAATGATAGCTTAGCTTTGGTATTTGATCCATCCAGTCATCATGTCTGACCACTGGTAGTTTTGCCATTGAACATGGGCAAATTTCAGTGGGACATTTTCTCATGACCAGCTGTTGGATGTATTTTTTACTGTGGTATATGGTAAAAAGCGTCTTTGATTGGATGCTAAGGGATTATTATTTCTAGGTTAATATGGTTAATTTTTTATTTCTGTTAATTTTTGTGTTTCCTTTGTTTCAAATTCATTAGCATATTTTACCATACCCAAAAACGAAGGAAAAACAAACTATAATTAAGCAAAATAACAATGATACAGTTCCAAAAATTGATTTTTATTGATAAATATTGAGTCACTGATTTTTCTTCTATGCCTCATTACCTTCTACTTGCTACAACGGCAGCAGGATTAGCTCAGTTGGTAGAGTGCCTGATTGAAGAGAAGGAGGTCGTGGGTTTAATATTTCCTAGGGCCAGACCAATACTCTGGGTCTTAAAGTAACTGAGAAATGAAGGTACTGACTTTGCCCTGCAAATGGCTGGATCTTCGCATGGTTCGGATGACCACATAAAATGGCGGTCCCATCTCCAGAAAGGGGGTGTGAAAATAGTGTCCCCAACAAGTACTTTTGTGCTAATACATTGACTCTCAAATAAAGTGCAGTTTTTTTTTCCAAATCTTTTTTTCATTTGTCATTTTCAGATTTCCATTGATTCTGCCAGTGTTTCTCAGAAACAAAAAAATCCAGAATATTATTTTGTTTAATGGCAATGTTATGTTTTTTACTTTGGTATCATCATATTACTTTTATAGAACTGCAGTGACTTGCATCGGAGCCATCTATGAAAAATTGGGAAGAATGGTAAATCTATATTGACTGTGTCATTATTGTTTCTCTCAGTGGCTTTTGAAAAAATAATAAATTATTTTTATAACAAGGCTGATTATTATACAACAGTATTTCATTGTTCTTGTTTGTTAACAGGCAGGTGGATCATTTCAGGAGACAGTACAGACTTTAATCAAAGCCATGAAAAATGCAGAGGTGCTTTTAATTTACAGTAATTTGAAGGATATTAATGTAATAGCTCATTCAAAGTGCTAAATATTTACGTAGTTATTGTAAATGTTAAGATTGTAATTTCTTGTATATTCAAGCTACAACCTGTTAAACCTGTCAACCAAAAATAATTGCAGTGTTTAGACACTTCACCAAAAAATTGTTTTCTTACTTCATTGTGCCACAAAGGCAGAATTCTTATGTTTACAACATCAATTTCTCCACCCCTGCCTTTTTCAGGGTTGGCCTTGCAAGTTTGAAAATGATCTTGGAATCCTTGCAATTTTGATAATACTATATATGTTCTTGAAGATATTAGCCTTTCTGGATACTCTGAAATTCAAGTATAAATGAAGTTCGTAAGATTCGATATCAGGCTTACATTTACATGTACAGAGAAATGTGCTACATTTTCATTGACACTGCCAATGAGTGCAATAAGACTTTTTTTTTATTTGATAGCTGGGAAGATGTACTTAAAGAGGATGAATTTTGCGAATTGTGAAGAATCAGGATTTGGCCAAGCATAAATCATTACTTTGTAAAAATTTTCATTTGAAAAGTTATGGGCAAAGGCCAAGAACCTTTTTATTACCTTAAAATCAAATAGGACAGTGTCTAATATGGCCTTTCTAGTTCCATTTGCTTTTCCCTTTTACTAGCTCACTGACATAACCCAACAGTATTAATTTTGATTTGTCTAGTCCCAGGGACGCTGTGAAATTATGCTGTGTCTTGAGCGGGTTCTACGGGGTCTTGGAAGTAATGGTGCTATGATACATAGGGATGTTTACAAAGCAGTTCGGGGAGCTTTAACAGACAGAAGCATGTCTGTTCGTTGTGCAGCAGCAAAGGTATGCAAGATCACACTGTTTTTCACAGTGCAGGAAAATACTCTAAAGGCTGCATTTGGAACATTGACATTGACTTTTAAACACCATTTCCTTACCACTTAAACATGCTTTTCTGTATTTCAGTGTACCTTGGAGTTAATGAAGCAGGCCAACTTTTTGTATACCAGTGAACTTGAAAACATGACATCAACTTGTTTCAAAGCATTGGAAGGATCCAACTATGATGTGCGTGTTTGTATTGCTCAACTGATTGGTTCATTAATGGCCATGACGCAGACTCCTTTAACTCCAGCAACAGGGAAAGGTAAAAAGACTGTCAGTCCCTGCAGTCTGGAGGAAGTGTTTGCATCTATGTCAGGGGGATTCCTGCGTGGAGGAACAGGTTTCTTAAAGGGGGGCGGTGGAGAACTGCTCAAGAGTACTGCACCACGTGAAGTAAGAGTTGGTGTAACACAGGTAAGCAAGGTTCTCAGAATCTTTTTTGTCAAAATTGCTTCATTTTTTCAATGGCTGCAACAGTTCATACCAGTAACATGGCCACCAATATTCCTTACTAAACTTCCAATTTAAACTGTTACATATATTGCCATGACTCTGTGCTTTGATAACCTTGTGGTGGTCGACTTGAGGAAGATTACAATCATGTATGGCCATGTTGGTTGTGGCCATCTCTATTGCCTACTCTAGTTTGTAGTTAGTCTCAGTGGTTGATCAAGTTAAGTTTTGAGTGAATATTGACTCCGTTCTCAACTTTATTCCTGATGCTCGATTCCTGCAAGAGTTGAATTAAGATTGCAAACTTTCTTTTGATTGGTAGAGTACGTGTATTTATTTGATTACCAGGCATATGTGGTGTTTTTTACTGAAATGGGCGGAGTTTGGGTGCAAAGAAATATGAGCCTGATTCTTAAGCATGTGCTTGAGCTGCTTTCAAGCCCCAAGGCAACACAGACCCATGTGGAGGCTGTCTATTCCAGGCGCTGTGTTTCATTTATTCTGCGTGCCGTGCTTGGAAGACTCCTTGGTGAACCAGCTCAGTTGGATGCAGCTAAAGAACTGTGCAACTTGATAACCAAACAGATGAACATGGTGAATGAAGCTGTGCATGGTGCTGCTGATAGCAGTTCCTCTGCAAGTGTTATTCAAAGTATGGATGATGTGATTAGTACACAGCATGTTCTTGTCTGTGCACTGCAAGAGCTTGGATGTCTAGTACAAGGACTCAGTACAAACGGCATGTCTCTCATCCATGAGAATTTGCTAGATCATGTCCTATCAGTACTGCTGCACCCAGCTCCTGCTGCGCAGTTGTTAGCTGCTTGGTGCCTGAGGTGTATAACAGTTGCTGCTCCATCACAGGCAACACCCTTGATTGATAGGTGTATTAATCGCATTAGTTCTCTCAAGTCATCTGGAGAGGCTGTCGGAGGTTATGCACACACACTGGCAGCTCTTGTTGGTGGAGTTTATCAGTGTCCACTGGGGATTCCACATGCAAAAGGAAGGGTGAGGTTGCTCTTCAATCATTTTTTTGACTACCTAAAGTGAGAAAATATAATGATATTTAGAACTTTCCTGTGTCAGTAAGTTCATGTACAAGACTGCTGACTGCAAAGCTTCTAAAACACTTGACTTGTAACGTTGTTGCAGTGCAGTCCCATAATTATTGTACACCCCTAGATCCATGCCTGGGGGATATTGTTTTTCATTTAACCACCATGTACAGTGTATATATTATTTATCTATTTATCTATTTAATTTTTGTTAGGCCATATTCAATGTTGCAGATGAACTCCTGAAAACAGCTACCCAGAATCCTAGACTTGCATTACACAAATCTAAAGCAGGCTGGATTTTGTTAGGGGCTCTGATGACATTAGGTGAGTAGGTACTGTGTATTCTCCACTATGAAAACCATTCCATCATAGTTGGAAAGCTTTTGTCTCACCCTGGTAACCTGGTCTAGAAAATAATTTCCAGTGTTTCTGGAGTTGTAAATACATGTAATGTTGGCCAACAGATATATAGGGTATTACCTATTAATTGTCTTGCAGCCATGTGAAATTTCTAGAAGCATAAATTTTGACAATGTAGCTGTTGTGGTTCAAAATAATCTTTGGTTTGAATTTTTTTTTAAAGTTACCAGTTTAAAGTTTTCAAACTGGTTTGAATTTTTCAAGCTGGTTAGAAATTTTTAGACACATTACTCATTCTCATTGATTTTTACCTCTCCTTGTAAAATACGGTGTGAAATAAACTTGTGACATCAAGGTCTCACATTTTAGTAAGCGTTCATTTTAGTGATTAGGGTTAAGCATTTATTTCAAATGGTTAGCCTTCATGTAAAGTCATGGCCACAGCACAGTTTCAGTGACTGCGCTTAAGTGCTCATTTTAGTGATTAAGTTAGGCCTTTATTTCAAATGGTTAGCTTTCATGTAAGGCTAGGGATAGCATTTGGCACCCAGTTTTGTGATTGGGGTTAAGTGCTTTGTTAGAATGGTTTGGGTTATGCTATGTGAAAAGCAAGTTTTTCTAGTTGCCGGAAGACAAAAGTTAGACACCTGAGGCACCCAGACTCTGCTAGAGCAAAGTCCCGTGTGCAAGTAAGAAATAAGAAACAAGAAATACTTGGCTTTGTGACAACAATAAATATTTATTTTTGATTCTCACTAGGCCCATCAGTTGTCAAACATCATTTGCCACAGATGCTGACATTATGGTCAAATGCCTTTCCTAAAACAGTGAAAGACTTTAATGAAGAGAAGAACAGAGGTGATGCTTACACATGGCATGTTACTCTTGAGTGCCGAGCAGGAGCACTGTGCTGTAAGTTCAAGTGTCATGCTGTGATATATTATTGGAGTTACATTGCTGTTACTAGTGTCAAACACATGGCTCTTTTGATCTATGAGTCAGTGTCTCAAAGTCAGTTGCTGAGTCAAGCATCCAAAACTCATCTTTTAGAAAAAATTAATAATGCTTTTGTGAAATGAAAATGTGCAAGTTACCAGAAGTAAGCAATTGAAGGAAAGAAGACTTCATAATGATTAGCTTACAGGTTGTGTGTATTTCTTTGTTATTTTTTTCTGAATTTCAGCCATGGCCAGTTTTTGTGCTTCCTGTTCTGCTCTACTTAATGATGACCTGACTCGTCACCTCTTGGCTACTACAGATGCATGTTTAGCTATGATACCAAGGTAAAATATTTCAAGAAAAACAAACTCATGCTAAGTTAATTTTTTTGCTCTTATCAGGAGTCTCATGTCGCATTTGATAAAAAAGTTTAGTAGGACGGTTCTTTGCATGGTGAATTAGCAAAACCAATCTGCACCACTCAAAGTTTTCAATGTTTCTGCTATTCAAGGGAGCGGATACAAATACTAATTAGTTCTTGCGTAGAGTTTGCTGAAGTGTACGTTGTACATGCACCTTAAGTGTCTTGTTCTTTTTCTTCATCACTTGTGATGAGAAAAGGCTTTTGGACCAGGTAAACTCTATAGCATCCAGCAAATCATGGTTAGCACCTCACAATTCTTCCAGTTGACTAGGAGAAACTCTGTAGTTCCTTGAATGGCAGTTGTTGGATTAAGTGGATCTCATGCCCAAAACCCAAGATCCTTATCACAAACTGGCAAAAAATATGGGACATGTACTCTGACAATCCCTTCAATTCTGTTCGCTGCCTTAGAGTCAGTTGCCTTTTATTGCAATCTATTACACTGATATCTACCTTCGACTTGGAGAAGATGACTTCTTTTACAGCACGGTCCTTGTCCTGGTTAAGTCCATCAAGGACTGTGGTCAATAGTCGTAAATATACACTGGCATGTGAAGTCTTGGAAGACAGTGTCACCATTTGTCCAACATGATCGGGTCTCCACGAGAACCAAACGTCGTTTACTGCCAGAGCTCTAAGTTGCCCGTCCTTGTGTCACCGATATATGTTGCTTTGATTCTAGGACACCACTATGCTTAATAACAGCTTCAGATGGACTTACATGGTGCTCATAAGCAATATAAAGCAACACAAAACAAAGTCAAGTGAAGAATGATCCTTGCAGTTGTGAATGCAATTTATGCAATTGCCTAAGGAGCCCGAAAAAAATTAAGGAATTCAACGGGATCTGAACCCGTGACCAGCTCTCAACATCAGTGGCTTCATAGCTTAAGTGGTTAGAGCATCGCTCGGGTATCGTGAGGTCACGGGTTCAAATGCTGTTGAAGTCCCAAATTTTTTTAAGGCTTCTTACGCAATTGCATAAATTGCGTTCACAACTGCAAAGATCATTCTTGACTTGATTTCATTTCCACAGTTCTTATATATGATTTGTCCCATATACTTTTGTCACAACATAATGACAAAGTGTCCCCCTTTACGGTAACCCTAGGGTGGGGGACTTATGCTACTATCGGAAATAATAATAGTCTTATACATTTAAATGAATACTACGTAACACATTTGCGTTTGTTTAGCTTTCCTCAGATAATCAAGCAGCATGGGAATCATTTGAAGGCCAGTTCAGCTATTGTCAGATTACGATTATATTCAGTACTTTCTCTTCTGCGACCAAAGCTCTATGAAGGTTTGTACCCTAGCAAGACCTTAAGGAAAGCTGTTCCAAAGAGGAGAATAGTTCCTTGTGTTTGATCATGGCATTTCACCTCCGCTTTTGCATTGTCTGATATCACTTTCCTTGTCCAACATACTTGCACTAATAAGCTAGTGTATTTGATATTGTATATTTATGACCCTTCGGGAGGTATTCTAACACTTTCACGTGGAATTAGCTGATGCTTCCAAATTTGAACTAAGGCTTATACAAAGTGTTTGACATAACTGGAGTACTATTGTTAATCAGCTCTCGTTTAGGGAAACTCTAATCTTTATATAATGCCGAAAAAGAAAAATAATAACATACTGGAAAACAGTTTTTTTGAGAGATATCATTTTGTCAACAAGCTCACGAGTTGGTACATCAGTACTTCTCCTTTATAGGTGTTCTTACACAAACTGTAGATACACGTACACATAACAGCCGTGAGATAAGGTGAGGTGTGTGGAATCGTCAACGGGAGACTTTCTTTAGCCTTGTCTTAAAAGTATATTTTATTTTTAATAGCATTAACTTTAAAAGCGAAAATCGGTTTTCACTTTTGGTGTGTACACCCCAATATATTTTTTCCTGTGCACCTCTGTAGGAAGCTTTCATTCTCTGTTGCGCTGCTTGGTGGCAGAATTCACTTTGGCAGAAAATCCTGCCATGACAACTACATCGCTACTGCGCACTGTGTGCCACAAGGATGATTCTATTCTGCTTGGCTCATGGCTTCAGGAAACAGACCACAAGTTTGTTGAGGAGCAGGTGTGTAAAACGTCAAGCAGAGTCTTCTGTTTGAGTTTGAAAGTAATCTGATGTTGCTGGATGAACAAAAGTTCAAATGTTTGCATCGTTATTTATGTGTGCACTGTATCTACTACTTGCTTTTAAAAACCTGATCTTTTTCTTTTCTTATTCCAGCTTCAAACCAATAGTGCATCAGGATCTGGATCTCTTGAACATGATCCATCATGTATATTTGAACGCTGCCCTGAGGTATACTTGTCAAACAGCGGACATTTTTATTTTATTTGCAAAATATTATCGGCAGTTTCTGTCGATTTTTGTCACTTCTGCATTTTCCTGGTTAAAAACATAGTTACTAGAGAGCAATGGTTATGAAGCCCGTCAGATGTTTTTGTGGACCTGACGATACACAACGTTCAATAGAATTCCTATCATTTTGACTGATCTTATTGGCAAATAAAAACGTCACATTGATTTCAGATTGTTCCGTCATATTTTGTTAACGAAAAAAATGTTGTTCTTATCTTCAAATTCGATGTTTGCCGTCTTTCTCAACCAGTCTTACTACACTGTATGTTGAAAACTGCTGGGTACTTTACTTTCCACCTTCAGTTGTTCAATTTAATAACTTTGTCTGCCCTTTCAAAACTGTTTGTTTTGTGTATGTTGAATAAACCAGAGCAGCCGTGCATTTGAGCTTCCAATATTGACAGATGATGACAGTGTTTCTTTAAAACTTTTGTAACTGTAATGTCAACTATTTTGCGGCTTAAGAGTAGAACCATTGGGAAAAGAATCATAAGGGTGGTCAGTTTGTCTGTTAACAAGTTGTCCGAATCATAGGGTAGAGATGTGAAAGATATGATAATCAGCGTTTCACAAGAGTAGACAAGTAATTTCTTTTTCACCCGCTTGAGACGTGCTGATTATCACATCTTAAACATTCATTTACTGAGCTCAAAAATGAAAATTGCCCGGCATCTTTCTTTATTTATCACAACAGGGTGAAGATGTTCCTGGCCCGCTGCCGTTAGGTGTGGCAGTCATAGATTGGTCCATCAAACTCTTTGGAGCTGTGTTCCCATATGTTGCACAAAAGCACCGCAGTCAGCTGCTGGCTCATTTTGCTGAGTGTATTCGGCAGGCCAAGTCATCAAGACAACAAGCGATACAAACCAACATCTTGACAGCATTTCTCGTTTCCCTGAAGGTATTGCCAGTACACCTTCTTAAACAAATTCAAAACATTCCTCCCATCTCTGCGTTAAGTTCCCATCTGTAAAACATTTGCCTGTCCTTGAACAGTTGCCGCTGCATATGAAGGGATGCTTACTCTCGACTAGCAGATATTCTTTATAAAAGCAGTTGTCATATGTTGAGTGGTATTTTTGCGTATTCTATATTTTTGAGTTGCAGTAGTAGTTCGGCGATTCTGTCTTTGAATAACAAACCTGTGGAATCTTCCACGATTTTCTCCAGTTTCTCGCTGTCAAAGCAGCTGAATCGCCACGTCACGTATCCCTCTTTCTGTTAATATCATTACAATTGACGACAATTGTATCGATCCAGCCTCCTCCTTCACAGGCAACTCCGGTTACACGATCCATATGGGCGATTCTTCTCTAAATTTGTTCAACGCTTGCTGATTTTGAAAAATTATCCGGGGGGGATTCAAAGCCAATCAGAAAAGGAGAATGAATTGTTTTGAACGAATAATGGGTGGGTAATGGGTGGTGGACCTTATTACTGGAGGTAATAACTATGACCAAGATAGCTGTTAGGGAAACATACAAAGTAAATGATATAACGAACGTCTGTTTCATACCTTCTACCTGAATTGTAAAGTGAAAAATAACAACAATTATTTGTGTTCAGGGACTGGCTGAGTCAAAGACCGGTGTGGGTGATGAGGATGTAAGAAATACTGCTGTCAATTTAGTCATGGTAAGTCTTCTGGAGCCACTTTTCTTTTTGTCACCTACAGTCAATTTTGTGCTCGTGCTTTTAGTCAAAATAGGTTGAAAGATACGCCTTAGCCGAGGTACGCTTTTGCCGAGAGTAAACAATGGACATTATTTTTATTACTATTTAGGCTTTTCACTGATATTGTTTTTATGGTTATGTGACCATCCAACCTTGAATAGCGAGCTAATCAAGACAAGAGTAAGATTTAAATCATTGAAAATTTAGGAACTAGAATAGAAGGGAGAAGCTTAAACTAAATGCACCCAAACGGAAGTTACAAAGAGAGTGTGATTTGTTTCATCTTTTTAAAGTACTTGTCTTCTTCTTGATAACAGTTCTTACATATAAAAAGTGTCTTACGACTGGGTCTTTTTTCTAGGCTAGATTACACTGGGGCAGATTGTTCCAGATTCTCAAATGCTTCCTGGGGGCCCGTTTCTCGAAAGACTCGGAAACTTTTCAGGCACGAAGACACATGTTAAAATCCTAACCTGTTGAATAGGTAGCACAGTTGCTAGCCCACAAACCAGTCAATTTTGCCTCTTTAACTGACAGTTTCATTGAATTATTTTCAAAATTATTGAAACTTTGATCTTGAATGCAAACACAACAAACACAAAACAGCTTTCCGGGCCCGAAAAGTTACCGAGACTTTCGAGAAACGGACCCCTGATTCGTTAGATTGGGGTATTACAGGGCGTTCACACACTGGCTTCAATTAATTGGAGAAAGTCCACTCGGATACAAATTGTTCTGGCACTTAAGATTCCAGATAAAAAATCTCTGGACACTCGACCAAACCGGGACTTGTTTTTGCGTGTAAAAAAAGAAAAACAAATCCAGTACCAAAGTGTAAGATCCGTCCCGATTTCGGGAAAATCTTCGCCAAAATGACCCTAGCCAAGCTTACATGTAGAAGATTTGCTCATGTTTGTTTAATTACAGGGTGCTGTAACAAATCCTGATCCGATTGTTCGCTGTGCCGCGGGTGAAGCTCTGGGACGCATAGCTCAAGCTGTAGGGAGTCCTATTTTTACATCAAACATAACTCAGAAGATCTTTGATCAGCTGAAGGCGGCTCGGGATGCTGTATCCAGGACTGGATATTCTGTTGCACTCGGTTGTATTCACCGATATGTTGGAGGAATGGCATCAGGACATCATCTAAACAGCAGTGTTAGCATACTTCTCGCCTTAGCCAAGGATAGTTCGTCCTCCTTAGTCCAAGTATGTTATGTCAGCCAAACATTTTCTTTTTTTTTCAATCGGCGACAAAATGAGTTGAGACATTTCGCGCTAAAGGGGCTTTTTGACGTTTTCCTGACTTCAAAAGAGGAAAATATAATTTTTCCTCCCCCATCCCCTCCATGCAATTTTGTGCCGATGTTCGAGCTATCTTTAGAAAACAACAAACGCCCCAACTTTGAATGGAGGGGACAGGGGAGGAGTGTGGATTCGTATGTTGTCTGAAGTTACCCTATTTGAGTACAATGTCTCAAAAACTTTGTCGCCGATTGTGGTCATAACAGAGACATATTCCATAAATCAATAGACCCTTCCAGGGTTTTTTCAACTTTTGGCTGGGACCAACTAGCGAAAATCCCTCAACACGGCTAAAAGTACCCCTTACAATTAGTCAAGTTGCCAAGTTTAAACGTAATTTGTTGAAAACTAGCGAAGAAGTAGCTACGCAAACTCGCCGAGTTTTACAAAGGTTTGTATGGTGGGGGGAAAGTTTGTGCCCCCCACCAGACATACGTCTGGAAAATTTCGCGACTTTGTGGACCAATATCTTCGCTCGCTTTGGACGTATCTGAGAAAGGCTACGGAGAGAGTACACTTTAAGCAGATAGTCGTAAAAGTTTTGAGGTCATCGGGGACATGAGAAATTTGCCAGGCCTTAAAATCTTAATTCATGAAAATTATGATTACTGCAATATGTCAATATCACCTTACCATTATTGTAAATGACTTGTGAGTCAGGGTAATTGTAAGAATTTCTCTTTGCTTACCCTTATATTTTTTTTCTGCTTTGGGCCGGGCATCCTAGATAGTTGATCAAGCTATGTTTTTGGAAGCAATTCCTCCGCAAATGATTAAATGTTTACATGCGCATTTAAGATAATTGTCCACAGAATTCCGAGGTATAACGTTATCAAGGAGGCTGAACAATTCACTGCATTGTGCATGGTAATTTATATGTAGGTTTGGGCATTGCATGCTTTGGCTCTCATTGCCGACTGTGGTGGTCCAATGTTCCGAAGCTATGTTAATCCAACCTTGGAGCAAGTTGTTGACCTTGTTTTGACCGTACCATCTGCTATAACCGAAGTTCACCAATGTCTTGGGAAATGCCTGGCTGCTCTTATTACATCGATTGGTCCTGAACTTCAAGGTGAGCGGGAACCTCAATTGTCATCAGTCAATACGTCATAGAAGACACTGCACTGTTCAGACATGTTTCGGCAGTTTGATAAGTTCTTCTTAGGGCCTGTTTACATGGAGTGGGGGACCCCAGTCTAGTGGGGTTGGTTTCTTTTGTTTTCACGCTCTGGAGGACACAAAACAAAAGAAACCTACCCCACTAGACCGGGGTCCCCCACTCCATGTAAACAGTCTAAGTTGCAAATGTTTATGATGGAATTGAATACAACATAAACTTTAAGAACGCTTAAAACTTGGGGGTTAGACTTAACGATGAGTTTTCTTTGTAATAGTATTCAATAGTTTTTGCTTACAGTCGATTTGCAGAAAAGTTTTAACTCGAGGAGGTGAGTTCTTATAAGCTACAACAAATTTAAACGACAATTATTGATCTAATGTGTTAGAATAGTGGCCTTTTTGAAACTCCATTCAACACTTTTTTCAATTTGTAGGAACATCAAAGTCAATCCGAGACCTGCGTCTGTCATGCGTGGTGGCCTGTGCCATCATGCAAAACCATCCGGATTCATTAGTTCAAGCAGAAGCAATCAACTGCCTTCAGCAGCTTCATGTGTTTGCACCGAGCCATATTAACATAGGAACTGTTGTTCGCAAATTATGCGTCAACCTTTCAAGCCCTCACCTGTTGTTACGGCGAGCTACGGTAGCTTGTCTTCGTCAATTATCGCAGAGAGAAGCAAAAGAAGTCTGTGAAAATGCTTCCGCTGCTGCAGAGGAGCTAAATAAAAGACGGCAGTCCAGTTATGCTGTTGTTATTGGCGACAAAGGCTTAGAAGGTATAGATTTTAGTGGTTGGTCTAGGGCGCGCTTTTGTGCATGCTGTGCTTTTTTAACACCTTCTCCTGTATAGAAAGGAGAAGTGGTTACGTCACGTTGCCATGGTAGCAGGATCTCTGGATCTCAACCGTGGTCCTGCTGGAAATATGGTAGAAAAAAAGTTGACATGTACAGTGGAACCTCGATTTAACCAACGACTATATAATGAAGTCAACGGTATAACGAACGATATTCTTCGCCCCAGTAATAGAAAACTACAGCTATTTCGAGGAAGGTTTTTCGGATAAAGTGCACGCTACAACCCCGAAAGGTATTGTGGGTGGTTTTGAGTTCACGGTTTTTTCAAAGAAAATTGAAAGAATGGCACGAGAGGCCATGGACATATGTTTGCGAGTGCTAAAGGAAAGCAACAATAGAAGATTCGACAGCTATAGTGTCGGGAACAGTGTATTGATCATATCCCCTATTACCTTTCGCGATTGTCGCGTGCACATTTTTTCCGACAACCTTTCTCGAAATAGCAGTATATGGGAAAGAACCTCGACATAAGGAAACTTTGTTATAGCGCAAGTATTTTGCTAACCCCTCCGTGGCCCTTCATTTTATCGAGGTTGTACTGTATGACTTCCCCGTTCATGATTGCACTCAGGAACTAAAAAGTACTGTAACTTGTTTTTTAGGTGCATTGTTTGGCATGTTGGACACAGAGACTGATGTACGGTTAACATCTGATATTCATGATACTTTAAACAGCATGCTTCAGTCTCTTGCTGCTAATAATCTCACTCACTGGCTGGGGCTGTGTAGGGATGTCTTGTCGGCATCTAAAAGCAGTAAAGGAGGAAACGGAGGGGACGCTCAAAAGAGAGAAACTGAAGAAGGTGAAATATTGACACTATATGAATATTTTGTTGTAAGTGATGTTTGAAAAACCTAGACAGCGCGATAAGACGAGACAATTTAGAATGCTTGATGTTAACTCGTCAAATTATGAAACGGTTTAATATTTTAAGGAATTAAGACATGGCACCGTAAACTGTTTAAACAATGCCTGACAATTAGTAAAAATGACTGAAACTGAAATAAGGCCTGATTTGGCGCTCCATTCCGTGTAATTGTTTTCGAACGAAAAAACTTTTTCATTCTTTGTAATAGTTAGTTCCCAAGACTTCAAGAACAATGGTACGCTAAAAAAGTTGAGAGTAAGTTAGATTTTTGTAAGTTATGAATATCCCCATTGGGAAACTGCGCACTAGTGAAGGATGTTGATTTGTTTTGGTTGTCCTGTGCATTGCCCCTTTAGAAGCTGATGAGGGAGGGGAGGGTGATGCTGATGAAGGAGGAGGAATGACAGCAGGGGAGGCCCCTGAGGAAACTCATCCCAAGGTGGATCCAAGATGGCCAACAAGAGTGTTTGCTACTGAATGTATCAAGAAAATCATTACCGTTTGTCAGTCAAGACAACAGGCTCACTTTGATTTAGCACTGGCTCGTGAGAGGCGGCAGCAGACTGGAGAAGGTAGGAGTAATTATGTGAACTCCTAAGCCGGACTGTCAGGTGTTTGTCTGCTTTATCTTATAAACCTTTGTAAGTATCTACCCTTGCAGTTTCCAAGACCGTAAAATCCCCAGAAGGGCTTAAGCGAGTTAAAAGATCACATACTTCAAAGTTTGTAGCAATATCACGTTTATTTTGAGACATGAACGGCAACGCAAAAAAAATATTATGTTACTTAGGTTTTCTTGAAGACCCAATTTTATAGAGGTTGTCCATTTGCCATGCAAACAGAAGAGTGGACACCTTTCCTTTATAGGATGTGATTCCTTTCTCCAACAGACATATTCAAAATGTATTTCCGCTATGTTACAGTACATACCTCCCAAAAGGAAATGCAGCTTGAGGAGCATCAAAGTTGTCAACGCCATCACTGTCATTTCTCAACCTTTTTTTTTTCTTATTTTCGTTGTTTTTTCAGATTTTCTAGTCATGCATCTTCAAGAGCTCGTCAGAATGGTGTTTATCGCAGCCACAGCCATCTGTGATCAGTTGAAGCTAGCAGGGTTGAGCACTTTACAGGTACATTAACCAACTCTTTTATATGGTGGCTCGATTCATTAACTCTATAATTATTGACATGTAAAGGTCTTTCTTTAGTTGAACAGTCACTTCCTCTTAACTATTCTCCCTCCTCCTCGTCCAAAAATAAAAAATTCGCTCGTCTAAAGATTTAGTGCCCTCCCCCACCCGCTGCATTTGATTTAGTAGTTTACAGTCCCTATTAAGATATTAAGTGGGTCCCTTACGTTAGGCGAGACCCTGTTCACCGTCCTCATACGCGACTGGACTGTCTTCTGCGTTTTATTTTCGGCCTGTGTGAGTGTGACTTTAATATTCTTTGTAAATTTATTTCAGGATGTTGTTAACATATTTGCTTCAGTTTCTGACCCTGATTATCCAGGTCATGTTATACTCGAGCAGTTTCAAGCTCAGGTGAGAGTTGTCACTCTCGATTGTCCGTTCTGAGGTAGTTCAATCAATCAATCAATCCTTCAACTAATCAACTTATTTGTGTCATAGCTTGGGATAGGGCTGCCCCGAATATCCGTGTCAGAGGTTCACGTATAAAACGCATAAATGTAGGCAATGAGACAAAACATAATGAATTTATTTAGTTTTCAATGAAATGTTGCGATAGATGTACCAGAAAATATGAACGTATCGTCTAAAAATGAACTAACAATGATTCGCAGGGAGCAGTAAAAATGCAGAAAAGAAGAAGAAAGAATAACAGGGCAACTGAAAAACTTTCCGATTGAACACGATCTCTAAACAAAAAACTCAAGGTTTAAATTCCCCATTTGTAATAACTGAAGACAATAGCCTCGCTCTGCGTAATTGTGGGTAAACTGTAGTAGGTCGCAAGAAGTGCGCTAACCACAGTACCTTCTTCTGTTAAACATGAGGCGTGATGTGTTTTTACAGGTCGGCGCTGCTTTACGACCAGCGTTTGCGTCTGACATGCCGTCTGATGTTACTGCTATGGCGTGTGAGGTCAGTAAAATTATATTGTGATCTTGACCATTGAGCTTAAATTTCCTGTATTGCAGCTTACAACGTACAAAGCACTGTTACGGTGGTTCCAATCGAATGTCAGTAAACCAAAAGCAAAGTATTTGCAGAAGCAAATCAACCAATCAGCACACTCCAAGCAAGTACATGCATTTGAGGACTCTTTTGTAAATCACTTTATCAGTGAAATTGATATCCTCAATAAAGATTATTATTATTATTATTAACCAGTGCCGGTCAAGAGCAGGAAAAACTCTCTCGAGCAGGTCGCGATCGGGTTAAGTTTTGTGATTGGTTGAAATGTTGGCGTGAGATTGTTTTCAGCCAATCACAAACTATACCAATGAATGAAAAGTCAAGCTTCTCTTTCTACTTTCACACTGATCACGCCGTATAGCACACGTTTACTGCGTTGAGAGCCTTTCAAGTTTTGGGCCTGTTATCAGTGTTACAAGCATGTACTTCTTGTGAACGTGATATTAGATATGAGCTTTCACAATTAACTGTGTATAGAAATTTATATGTGATTTTTTTCACTCATGCCCTTTTTAAACCACAATTTAGTAGAGGTATTCCATGGATTATCTTTGTTTTTTGTGTTTTCAGGTCTGCAGTGCATGGATTGCTAGCGGCATTGCACGAGACTTGAATGATGTACGCAGAATTCAGCAACTGTTAGTAACTAAGCTCTCGAAAGTTGGACAAGCAAAAGATTCTTCTTTACAGCTGTACAATGAGGCTGCCACTACAATGGAAAAGCTTGCTGTTTTGAAAGCTTGGGCAGAGGTTCTGTTTATTTGATTTTATTGTGTATTATTTTCAGTTTTGTATGATCGGTAGAACTCAGCTTAGATACATTGTCCATGTTGTACATGGACATAAGCTCCCTTATGGAGACTGAATATGTTGCCAATATTCTTTGTATTCTTGTTATGGAACATGACCAATTGATCGTACCCTTGGTGAGACGTCTTGTTGTTTCAAAGAAGCTAAGTTTTTCATTGTTAATGCAGTTTTGGCTTTCACTAAGGGTTCACAGAACTGCCTAAAAGAAATATCAGGGTGCTCGGATTGGCAAAATTGGAGAAGTTTTAAGCGGATTACGTAGAGGAGACCTTGTAAAAAACGTCCGTCTGATTTAAAGTTCAGGTCCCGGTTGTTCACTATCCAGTGGATTGGTATTAGGGAAGGCATTTGCGTTATCCACTGGATAGAGATTTATCCCGTAAATACTGTTATCCATCTTTCGAACAACTGGGCCCTGATCTCTTGATTACTGGCTATGAAATCAAGCGCGCGGAAACCGGTGATATACCTAGTCTCACAAGAGTAATATTTGCTGTGTTGATATCAGGTGTACATAGTTGCCATGAAGCAGCAGGATAGTCCGACTCCATCGAGTGCAGGTGAAGAGGAAGACTTTACAGAATCTTCTGGCAGCCTTTTGGAGTTAGTGCAACCAGAATTAAAATCGCTTAGTAAATACTGGCTCGGAGCTCTGAAGGATCATGCGCTTCTTGCTTTGCCGGCCGAATATTCATCTCAGCTGCCACCCCAGGGCGGGATGTTTTACAGGTACCGTATTAACCTTTAGTCTTAAATGATACAGATGGAACAGTTGTTGATAAGAAAGATGTCCTCAGCATGACATAAGCACTGGGCAATGATTTTTGCCCAATAATAATTAGATCTAGGGTCTCTGTTAACTAGTGGGTGTTCAATGCACAATTTTGTTGATGTTTTTGTTTTAATTAGTAAGCTGAAAATGGAGACGCAACTCAGAGCGATGAAATTTAGAGTTGCAGTTCTACTTTAAATCACGCTGAGTTAGAAAAGTTTTAGAATTTCTTTACGTAACAATATTTGCTTTGTTGATGTGCTGTAGCCCTGACTCTATGGATCAAGCCAAACCTCATTACCAGAGTAGTTGGCCTTCTGTTGTTCATGCAGCTTCTTTGTGGTTAAATAATGGAGGATTTGAGAGCATAAAGCGTGATATGGAACAAGGTAAGTTACCAAGGTAAATGAATGACCTGGGTTTGACATAATGATGAATATTTCACGTTTGTCAAAATAAACCAAACAAAAACAACAACAACAGCTAACTAACTAACGTTACTAAGAGAGGAATGCACTTGACAGTTTCAAGAATTGACGAAACTTCGGCCTTTGAAGTGTGCCCAAACCAACTTGGCTAGAGACACCTTCAAGGTGGAATTAAAATTTGTGACATGTTGATTTTAGAGGAGATGGGGAAACTGGAGAAATAAGCAAAGAAGAGAATCAACCCACAAAAGATGTGTGCCGAGTGCGCGACTCGAACACAGGATACATTGGTGGGAATTCTTTCAACACTGTGCCATCATCCCTGCTCCTCATACCACCCGACGCTTACGTTAATCACAAGGCCAGGAAAATCGTTCCTGAATACGAACTTATATTTATCTCTTAAGTTCTTTTTTATCAGCTTTACTGCGGTCAGACAATTGTCCCTGGAACCACTTCTTCGAGAACGTAGAGTTTTATGACGGAGTTGGGAGGCGGGAAGAACTAACTGTAGAGTGGCCTTTGTTCTTCCAGGGTTATCAAGCGGTTCTTTAGAAATTAACACTGGACCAGTGATCACAACTGCTAAGACACCAACAGAAGTCAACGCCGATTACTTTCATTTACTGGTGGGGATCTGCATGGAGTCTTTGTGTTCATCTAGAGCGACGCAACCTAACAGTACTGTGTCTGCCTGTCTGAGTGCATTCTACAGTTTGCTAGATTCACAATGGGCGAGAACACTCATTGGAAAAGAACAGGTGATGTCAACAAAATGTTTTATTTTTCTTCAAATATGAGCATTTAAAAGATTCGTGAATTCGGACCCTGATTGTTTCTTTTTGTTTTGTGCGTTTGCATTGGCAGAGTACTGTGAGAGTGGCGTAATTACTGTGGTCAGTGTTTTTCTTGTTTTAAATATCTAAAACAACAAAGATTAGCAAGTAGTCTATGCCAAAACTGCAGGGAGTGGTTTCATTTCTGTGATCACTCCAGAGTATTAGAGTAGTTTTGGCCCCCCTTGACTGTGACTGACCCCCGTTGAATACTTTGTTGTCAATGCGGTTGTTGGTGTAGTCTGTAGTAATCTACCACTACCGTTGTCTCTTAAATAATCCCCCCTAGAAGGCTTATACAGTATTCTTTCCAGCTATTTTCGAGAGGGAGGGTGACCCATGGTTGTTAAAACTCGATTTATCAGTCAGCTGTATTTTAACGAACCTTTGAGTGAACATAATTGAATAATTTGTGGCCGTTCAATAACGGGAAGCGTATTGGAGTGGGGGAGGCTTAAACGAGAGAGGTTACAGTAAATTAAAAAAAAAAATTACCTTTAAATTTTGTTTCCAAGCAAGTCATATCTCCATGTTTTCCTGTTTTTTCTTGGCAGATTCTTGGCGTTGAGTTGCTGAGTGTGTTACACAGAGTGCTGCTTACACGAGAGTCACTTGATATTCACTTTGCTGCAATCAGGGTTGTTAGCCAGATTATTAAAGCAGCACAGGAATCATTAGACAGCAAAAAGGCTGCAAATGCTGAGTACGTAACATGTCACTTTATTATATCAATTATAAAGAATGACCATATAAATAAATTTAGTTATATGAACAGCTGTAACAGCGGTAGAATTTCTTCCTGGACCTGCTACAATTGTTATAGTCTTGTTTTCCCCTTACACCTTTCCCTTACACCTCTCTACTGTGAAGAGACAGAGCTTCCGCTTAAGGGAAGTTCCTTGCGTGCCCACTAAACCAGTTAAGAATGTTAAAAGACTTTTGGATTGTACCGTATAGTTGTAGCTGCTTGCTTTGTTGTTTTGCAAGTCACCAGACAAAATAGAGTATTAGAAATTATTTTGTTTCTTTCTAAAGCACCAGTGAAAGCAGTGGAGAGGAGAGTGAAGGAGAAGAAGATTTGACGCCTGGCCGATCTTTGGTGTTTGGTGTCATGGAGATTTGTATGTGTGTACTCAGAAGGCAGCTGCCAAATCTCCTCCCGTCATCTGCTTCTAATCAACAGCCAGTGTTACTCGTAGCCATTGGCTCAGGTTTCAAATGTAAGCCCGATTACTTTTTGACTGTAGTTCGTGATAGAGCGCCTCTGTATACCCATCAATTTGTCCCAGTAAACGCGTTTGAGAGCCTGGTATCGCGACCGTCAAGGCAGTAGGCGTGCCGAATTCCAGAATGTGGCAGGGTGGGGCTCACTTTCGTTGAACTGACTAAGACGAGGCTGGATACTCTTGGACGCGGTAACAACTCCCACTCGACGACGTGTCGTGCCACAAGGGGGAGGAAAACGTTGGTTAACTGGTGTGTTTGGCCGGCTAATTGACGTACTCAGTGGGAGTAATAGCGATGGCCTGACGCCGTGCTGAAACAGCAACAACAACGAAAAACAACAATTGTATTTGTAATTACAAATTTTGAGGAGAAGCACGGTCTACAGCTAGAAAAGCTATTCAAGGCGGACAGTGTATGCAACTATAAGCTCTTTAAGGCAGATGTATTGATTGCGGATTTTACTCATGACGGTTCAGATGCTTTTGTTTTTAACCCATTAACAGGCCGTTTTTGATATACCTTAATATTTTGGTAACTTCATAGTTGTGGTATTCTAAGAAAAGGCTTGTTGGATTGTATTTTTTATTTTCTTTTTCTCTGCATTGTTATTTCCTAGCCTTAACAGAGCAGAGTTCTAAATTGATATGTGAAGCAGTGTCCATCCTGCCAGCAGTAACCGGCCTGTGCACTCCAGAAGCTTCAGTTAATGTGTTACCAAGTGTACTGTACCTTCTGACTTGTGCGTTACGTGAAGTTGCGTTAATCATGGACTCCTCGTCACAAAAGGCTAGATCAGCTATACTACAAGCTTTGAAACAGCTTACCACCTCACCATATACGCACAATCCTAAATGCTCCAAGGACTGGATTGACTTGCTTCAAAGGTTGCTCTCTTATTGATAATTTGTACTCTAAGTAGTAGATGTTTTACTCTGCAGAGTGGAAGAAAAACCGGATATTCACTGAGCAAAATACCCTTGGTCTAAAGTCAATTTGTATTGCAAGGTGTTATTCATTGTTTTTTTTCTGTCTATCGTTTGTCCCAGGCCATCCATTAGCGACCGTATAAAGCAATGAGAACGTTGACATCCCGGAAGTTTTCCAGGACTCGAAAGAAAACTTGGAATCCAGCATGTCCTTTGGGCAAGCAGCCTTGCTATTCTTTTGTCCCAGGGCCACTTCTTTCTTGACTTAGTTAATGATTTTGTTAGAGGATGACTTTCCTGGACTCTTGCCCACTTGGCGAGTAAGCTTAAGTTACTTGCACAGCAAGAAAATCTACTTGTCCCAGATTACGGGACGGGAATGTTTTCGAGCCTTGTTTTCAGACAAAAGCGTTGTATTAAGTAAGAAACCAAACTTCCGGTTGCTATTATGATGTCCAGGACGTCAGTGTTATCGTTGCTTTAGCTTACTTCTTTGTCATTTATCGCGACATTTCGATCACCTACTGTTGGTCTTCATCAGTCGATGGTGTCGCTTGCTGAAAGGGACCATAAGTAACGCCCTAGTTGCTTATGATTGATGCAGTGCCAACCCCACTCATGGTCAGTTTGCTCGGCAAAAAGGGCCAGCAAGAATCTTGTTATGACAAAGTCAATTTGTAACTTAAGCCTGGTTCTCATATGCCGCCGATGTATTAGCAACGTAGCCGACAGTACCGCCTGGGACACTTCTCGAACGAATGAGAACATGCGCCGCCGGCAACTAGAGCCATCGCAGAGATTTACCGCCCGCATGCCTGCGAAGTTGAACTTGGGTCAACTTCGCAGGCTTGCCGGCAGTAAAGACTGGGATGACCAGTGTTGCCACCCACTTCTGTTCTCATATCGGAACAGTATCCCAGCCGGGCAGTACCGGCGGTCACGTCGCAGGTGGATCCGCGGCATATGAGAACCAGGCTTTACTTATCGCTTATTTATGATCTTTTCATTTGACAGTGCATTAGCCACAGTGCTGTCGGATGCTAAAGCCAATGTAGGTAATACACCAAACGTAGCCGCTCCGCAGTCAGTTGCAATGGATGACAGTGTTTTCATGTTAGCATTGGCTATCTTTATTCTCTCTGCACCCAAAGAAATTGTATTGGCATCAGATCTACAGAGCCAATGCATCAATGTATTTAACAGGTGTATCACATCGACTAACATCCAGGTCAGTAGGTTATTTTATCGATCTTTTAGGGTTCGTGCAAAAATCTTTTACTAGGAAATGTAAAAAACGTTATAGTCACAGAATTCGCGGCTTTTCTGTAAATCGATTGGAAATGGTTCTCTTTTTACCACATTTGCAGTAACCTGACGGCTGCGCGCTGGCATAATTCGATGTCAATTGTTTTGTGTTTTGGACCCTTTTCATGTGAGCCGGGCTTGCCGTCTTTACTGGGATAACTCTGAGCTCTGGGTATCATGTGGCGGGCCGGCCCGGGTTAAGGGCAATATCTGGCTCGGGGGTCTAAACTGTCCCTTAAATTGCTCCTGCATGACGAATTCGTCGAATAATCTTCTGTTCGCTACGTTGCTTTGTTGTGTTCTGTGTTCTATGTTTATGCAGTTTCATGTTCTGTTATACGTCTACACTCTTAACGGCAACAATCTGAAAATATTGATGACTTAATTCGGTGGGAACGAATTTTAATACCTTTTCTCTTGCTGGCCCCTTGTTAGCTGTCCCCCTGGTGTGCTTCGCCCATGAGATGGAACGCATCGGGTTTATAGTCCACAGGATTTGGAGGGAGTATAATCAAAACCTTATTGAAGTCTCAAAACTGACCAATACCAATCTTCTCCTAACAATATTAATACGTAATGAAAAGAAGAGGTTAGGAGAATTATCAAAATGGTCACCAAAGAGAAAATGTATTGATCTTTGATCAAATTCTCTATGAAAGAATTCTTGAAGGAGATCAGTTTGGGGACTTTGTATGAGGATATTGGGGGGGGGGGGGGGGGGGGGGGTGAGGGTTAACCTTTTTTTGGTAAAAATTAAACAAAAAATTGGAATTTTTTTTTCCTCTGGGGGTCTAGACCCGGGCCTAAAAAGGGGAAGGCAACAGGTTGAACCCCCATAACCACAACAACGCGGGTGGCGTCTTTCGCGTGGAAAAAAACAACAATGTGGGGAGGAAAAAAAAAAAAATTTTTGATAAAAAAAAAAACGCAAAAATAAACTCTTCTCATAAAAAAAAAAAAGAGAAAAAAAAAAAAAAATGAAGAGAAAAAAAAAAAATATACCAAAAAAAAAAAATTTTTTTTTTTTTTTAATAATTTTTTTAAAAAAAATTTTGGGGGGAAATTTGGGGGGGGTTTTTTGTAGGGGGGTGGGGGGGGGGGGGGGGGGGGGGGTGCGTGAAGGGTTAACCTTATTTAGTTAGAACTGAACTACGAATTTGTAATTTGTATTCCACTGAGTGACTACGACCAGGCCTCAGTTGTTCAAAAGCTGGATAGCGCTATCCATCGGATAAATCACTATCCAGTGGATAAGTATTACGGAAACCAATTGCAATATCCAGCATTTGAACAACTGAGGCCAGATATTTAATTTCTTCTTTTCAGATTCAGCTCAAGGCATTACAAACATTAGAGTCGGTGTTTCAGTGCAGAGAGCGCAATGTTGCTTTTCCCTTTATCAACGCTTTAGCTCCTCATATTATGATGATTTTAAATAACATGTGCGTGAACAAGCCAACAAGGGAGGATCAGTTGACAGTGACCTTAGAAGCCATCAAAATAATGGAGATTTTAGTGGATCTAACAGAGGACCATCTAAGTATGTTTTTTTGTTTTCTTATTTTTTTTTTTAAATTTCAGATCGTTGTCGATATTCTAGGCTAGTCGATAATCCATTAGACCTTTATTTAGTCATCGTACTCAAATATACTGGCACAATGGGTGCGGTGAATGATTCACAGTTCGCGCTAGTTATGAGGAGTATCAAAGATCTACTGCTTTGCTTGTCATTGTTTCAATTCAGTAGTGACTAATACTATTGAGACAGATTGCACTACACTAGCTGTTCAAAATAGTATTATGTTATTTACAGTAGACTGTAGAATAGAAATGCAGTAAATAATAGTTAAAGGATTAGATTAAATTTTTTTTATCAAGGTCCTATGGAAGGCAGCATTGACGTTGTTAAAGTAAACTAGTAACAATAACAGTAAACATATCCTCCAAATTCAGATACAGAAACACAGGCATGAAAGAACCTGTAATGTTCTGCTTTAGGCTGATTGCGTAGTGAAAAATCAGCCTGGAGAGATTATAAGAAGGTCTCTACATGACCCCCCTCCATCTTGATTTGCCAAAATTTAACCTCAAAATTTGTCAGTAGTCTTGTAGGAACGGAATTATCCGTTTTGGTTTTCCAAGTATAACCGTATGATTACGTTATGGTTCAGTGATGTCATATGCGAGTTTCCCCGTGTCAATCAACTTAAGAGCTTCGTGAGACAACCAATCATCACTATTCCTAATTTCAGTGAGCCAATAAAGAAACATGACATCGTCGGGTTAGGGCTAGAAAAAACTCCAAACCTGAAAAACCGGTTATGCAAGGCGCATCATAAAAAAAACGTGTCGTCACCTAATCTAAATAAAGTATATATTTATGACGTCAACAGCATTAATGTATTTTGAGATGCCAGCGAAAAATACCGATAACTTGGTCCCTGTTGTACTGCTCTATTTCACATGGCATTATCTCGCGTGAAATCGATTAAGAGTGTGTATCGGGGCTGTGACGTTTACACTCTTGTGACAGATTAAAGTTCCTTTACATCTCTGAGAGGAAACAACGTCTTTTTTCCTGAAAGGTTCAAAGTAATATCTTAACTTTATTTGTGTGCCACTTGCATGACTTTTACCTCTTTTGTCGCTACAAGAAAACATTGATTCTATTTTGCTCTTTTATTTCAGAAGTGCACATGCTGGGCTTACTTGTTCCAATCCTGGTCGCTTTACTTTTGGACAGTGCAAGCCTTCCGAAAGGAAGCAAAATAGCTAAAACCCTTCACGAACAGGCCTTACAGAAACTTATGAAAATTGGCCCCAAGTATCCAGACCCCTTCAGGACAGTCATGACCTCGTCACCAGACCTCAAGCCACGCTTGGAAGCTGCAGTGCGAGCCAATCAGACTTTGGTCAAGCCTAAACAGCCTGCAGTCCAACCTAAAGTGGCTCCTGCTAAACCATCAATCAAGCTACGCATGGACTTTAGTAATTATAAATAGAACCCATGCGTTTAATACTGGAATTTAAACCGAAATAATTACTCCACGGAATCACACCAGACTGCAACAATTAAATACGTTGAATAATCTTTCAATTATAGCTAAAGTTAACTGTAACTGGTCTTTTGTTCCGCACGTTGTTGGTTGAGAAGCAGCGGTCGGTAACCAATCACAAATTGTAGTTATGCTCAAGGATCGAGAGATTGCTTCCACACTTCGAATTATGATAGACTGCGGTTAATAATTATAATCTTTATTCTATAAAACTGCAATGTATAACATAGACTAATTATTTTATTGTACAAAGAAAAAGATTCCTTTGTTGAAAATAGAAATAAATCTAGGCGAGAATTATGTTGCAAATGTAACTTGACAAAAATAATCAGTGGTTTTAGTCTAGTAGTACGAGCACAGCTTCGCAAATTCAAATGCATCAATCCTTTTTGTATGTAAGTTTCTTTCTTATTTTCGACTTTAACTTGTCGAGCGCGGATTACCCTGAAATAGCCGGTTAATGATATCATCGGGAAAAAAATTATTTCGTTCCCATATGATCTTTGATTTGTTGCGAAAAGACTTGTGTTTGTTAAAAAAATATAATGAGTCCCGAGATGGCTGCAACAGAAATTTTATGCCTTAAAATTTCCACAAGAGGTGATTTTTTCCTGATTAGTACGGTATCCGGAAAATTTTGGTTTGGTCGTATACACGCAGATTTGTGAATCCACACATTAAAAACTTTTCGGAGATCTTGAATCCGAAATCTAATGTGAATTTGTATCTGATGATTACTTTTAAAATCGCAATATTTTCTAGTATAACAATTCTGGCAACTAATCTTGATACTTTTCCTCCTTTCCCGCCTTTTCCGTTTAGAAAGCACAATCGCTTTCCGAATTTAAAAGCAAGCTTGCCTCTTTGCCTTCTGCTGGATCGGTCTGACTACAACATTTGTATGGGTGAATATTTTACACTTTTACTAATCAGTTATTTTACAAAACTCCCACCAACATATATTGTAATACTAGATATGTTGTGCAGATTGTATGTAATTAATTATTCTCTGAAATTTTGTATTTTTTGTGAGCCCCATATTGCTTTTATTTTTTGTGATGTGTGTTTGCCTACGCGCTACGCCCCACCTGTAAATCAGCTTTTGTTGTTTTAGCTAGCGCAAGGAGTAAATTTGTTGATTGCATAGACCTTGAGAAGAATTTGTGTGAAATTTAAAGGAAACGAAGGTTATTTGCTTTGTAAGAAGCTCTTTAAAAAAAGGTGAGGGGTAAAAATAGAACATCTGAGAGGGCTAAAAAGTGGCGGCAGTTGACTGATGCACTTTGATAGACTGCATGTCAAAATAGGCTGGTATTCAACCAGACACGATATATACACTTACACTCAGATACCGACGTTTAGAATATTACCTTTCAAGCAAGCTGAACATCACCTTTCTTCTATTTACAGCTGCATACTGGTGAAAACTAAGAAAATATCCAAGTTTTTGGTTATTTAGTTGAGGAATGTGTCAGTTGATTACAGGTTTACGTTGTGATTTAATAACAATTTCAGAGCGTTATTACTTGGTTCCAATAAAACTGTTTTTTAAACCTGGTTTTATAACGTCATTTCCTCTTATAAGAATTATTATTTTCAGAGAATTTGGCGTTTTACCAGGTAGGGAGCCCACCGTAGGACCAAATATCAGGAATTTGAATTCTTCGTCAAGTGCCATTTCGATTCGGTTCGATCTTAGTGGATGGGCACACTTTTTCTTGTGTCCTTAATTGTTTTTTTTTTACAATTGCATCATTTTAAGGCCTTAAGGCAGATCATTTCTTTGCTTGGCAATGTTAAGATATTGTAAAGGAAAGGTCTGATTGAATGAATTACTTGTAATGGGGGACTGGGTACTAGTCAAAAAACCGTTTACCTGCATAAGTGATTACCTATTCAAATGTTGCCCAGCACAAATTTGTAGTTCTTTATATTGTAAGTTGTCGTGTAGCAATTAAGTNTTATTATTTTCAGAGAATTTGGCGTTTTACCAGGTAGGGAGCCCACCGTAGGACCAAATATCAGGAATTTGAATTCTTCGTCAAGTGCCATTTCGATTCGGTTCGATCTTAGTGGATGGGCACACTTTTTCTTGTGTCCTTAATTGTTTTTTTTTTACAATTGCATCATTTTAAGGCCTTAAGGCAGATCATTTCTTTGCTTGGCAATGTTAAGATATTGTAAAGGAAAGGTCTGATTGAATGAATTACTTGTAATGGGGGACTGGGTACTAGTCAAAAAACCGTTTACCTGCATAAGTGATTACCTATTCAAATGTTGCCCAGCACAAATTTGTAGTTCTTTATATTGTAAGTTGTCGTGTAGCAATTAAGTCAAAGAACTTCCAATTTTTGCTGCCATTTTTGCTTAAATAGTTTTGGCGAGTGTAGCAGGTCACGTGACCTAAATTGCATAATGTTGATGTAATAAAAGATATAACTTTTCGAGGAATCGCTCGTTACAAACAATTTACAGCTTAACGATGAATAATTACGAAAATATACCACCCCTTAGTTTCCAATTTGCAACGAAAATAGCTTTTGACCCGGCCATGCCTCAATTTACTTAGGAAACGAGCGACCCTGGAAAGATTCATTCTCGTCCCCAGAGCCAATTTGTAACGAACAAGAAGACGCCCGAAAGCGTTTACGCGGGATGTGTGGGTTTAAGAAAGAATTACGGGTATGTTGGATGGCAATGGAAAGTTGAGTAGTGTATGCAACAAATGTGTGCAGGAGAGACGGAGATGTTCTGTTAAGGACTAATACACTAGAAGATGAGTTACACACAAGGGTTCCTTTACTACTCAAAACAAAACTTACATCAGTATTACCACCATATATGTTAGGAGTATGGGTAGTTCACTAAAATTTCCATTCCTTTACTTATGTCCTCAAAAAATGCACTTCCACATTTAACAATAGCATGTAAAGTATCATACTTCCAATAACTACAGAGCTGCAAGAAAGCGCTCTAGGGAAAATTTCAGGGGGCCCTTTGGGCTCCCCAAGCATTTTTAGCTGGGGCTCCCGGGCCTCCAAGTTGGTCGCTCAAATTAATAAATCAATGAGCTGTTAGTTAATTATTAAAAATTAAACAAATTATTTTCTTAACAAGTCAAGCAGAAGTTTGTGAATATTTTTTTCATGAAAAATCACATCCCTTTGGCCTCCTGAGCGTGCGAAAAAAAAAAACCCGCATGTTGTCATATGAAAGTAAGTTTTCGCGCCACATGAGAAACATGGACAACGACGCCGAACATTTCATGTTTTTTAAATGGAAAAGTAAATTTGGGGTCAAAAATAAGGGCACTATTCTTTTTACTAATCATTTTGATTTAGGTTGAAAAGAAAATTCGCTTATTAAGATTGACTGAGATCCCGNTTGTAACGAACAAGAAGACGCCCGAAAGCGTTTACGCGGGATGTGTGGGTTTAAGAAAGAATTACGGGTATGTTGGATGGCAATGGAAAGTTGAGTAGTGTATGCAACAAATGTGTGCAGGAGAGACGGAGATGTTCTGTTAAGGACTAATACACTAGAAGATGAGTTACACACAAGGGTTCCTTTACTACTCAAAACAAAACTTACATCAGTATTACCACCATATATGTTAGGAGTATGGGTAGTTCACTAAAATTTCCATTCCTTTACTTATGTCCTCAAAAAATGCACTTCCACATTTAACAATAGCATGTAAAGTATCATACTTCCAATAACTACAGAGCTGCAAGAAAGCGCTCTAGGGAAAATTTCAGGGGGCCCTTTGGGCTCCCCAAGCATTTTTAGCTGGGGCTCCCGGGCCTCCAAGTTGGTCGCTCAAATTAATAAATCAATGAGCTGTTAGTTAATTATTAAAAATTAAACAAATTATTTTCTTAACAAGTCAAGCAGAAGTTTGTGAATATTTTTTTCATGAAAAATCACATCCCTTTGGCCTCCTGAGCGTGCGAAAAAAAAAAACCCGCATGTTGTCATATGAAAGTAAGTTTTCGCGCCACATGAGAAACATGGACAACGACGCCGAACATTTCATGTTTTTTAAATGGAAAAGTAAATTTGGGGTCAAAAATAAGGGCACTATTCTTTTTACTAATCATTTTGATTTAGGTTGAAAAGAAAATTCGCTTATTAAGATTGACTGAGATCCCGTGGAGCTTTCCAGGAAAACTGTTATGATTTCAACGAAACCGCGGCGCCCCCCGGGGGTTACTTGTGTTAATTTTTGCAGGGTATGTGCCGCTGGCCTGTCAGAGCCCCTACCCCATTATAGTCTTTTCTGTGGCCAATTGTAGACCCCATATTCGTCACTCTTGGGCAAATATGTAATTTTTGCGATCCCAACTTAGTCACTTTCTATTTATGTATCTACCTTATCAATCCTTTAAATAGGTCATCAAAAAATGAATTGACCCATTTTTTCATAAATTGAATGAAGAACACTTTACTTTTCACCTACAGTACAAATATCCTGATACGTTTGCTAACCGTAAATATGAACAGCTCTCTTACCCCAAAAATCCGAAAATGTGCGACCCCACTCTAGTAACTCTTTTGATAATAGTCAATCTAGTCGTGAAAATGCGACCCCATCTAGCGGCACATCCCCATTAGCCTCTTTATAAGGAAGTGCACCCCCCCGGGCCGCCCCAAAACTATTGTCAACCATTATCTCTTTTGAATAGATCATCTTGTTGTAAAGTCGTCGTTTAAGCGCAAAGCGGAAGTATTTTCTTTCTATATTACCGGTGAAACGTTCAGGACAAATGTACGTAGATTCGGTTAGCTTTTGCGTATTTATTTTTGGTACGTGATACGTAATGCCTTGTCACGACACGAAAGACAATGCGGGATTTATACCCGATTCTAGAACAATCACAATTATAATAGTCGTCTCTTTTCTTTTTTATGCATTGTATTTTACTGGAATAACAATCTTAGTTATGTTTTAGCCTCGCAGACACAGCAGTTAAAAAAGGTAAAAATATTTAAAGAACATAAAAGACCGACTCTCTTGTTTATTCAGCGATTTTTCAAAATACAAAACTATTGTTTTGCTTCGCCGACCGTACCTCACGCCTGTCAGAGCAAAAGTTACAATTTGTTTTGAAAAACTAACTAATGAACAATCCTAATTTGAATAAAAAATTTCAAGTTATTATGAAAAGCTGTTACTATCGAAAACTGTGCAGCTTGTCACGTTCATAGTCAAGGATTATGTTACATGTGAATTCACGTGAAACGACCTAAACGACCGATTTAACAATATTTTCCTAAAGCTTTTTGATAGACATGCTACTTACTGCTACTTATAAGTCGACCTCAAGAGTTTCTTAGCGAGCGGAGCGTTCTTTTTAGGCCGCGAAGCCACCGAGAGAGCTACGATTTCGCAAGTAATAAATTCTAGACATTCATGATTCTTAGCTTGTTGAGTTTAACTCAACAGATACAAGTAAGACAACACCAACACCTGCAAGTCGCCCGGCTGGGCCACCTAGACAATATTTTCAGTCGCCCGAGGCCAAGTCTTGCGCCGTATTAAGAGCACGGCCTTGAGTCTTCGTCCTCCTTAGTCTCCGTCTATATGAGCTTACTTTTCCCTCCTTTGCTGACGCAGTTTCTTTTCCAGCCTGACTTGCACGTGCTTCGACGTTGCGGCCAATAAAAATCCACACAATTTTTCGGGACGGGCACGGAATACGGGAAAGTTAAAAAAACAAGGCAATTTTTGACTCCCAAGACGACGAAAGGAATGCGCTACCGAATTTTAGACGCTGGCTGACTACGTCATCCCGCGTAACTAGTGGCTCTGGACGCAGCGGAAATTACTAATATTTTCGTTGGCTGAAGATAATTGAACGCGCAGAGCAAATGAAATATGATCTACTGCTTAGTGTCGGATTTACGTCGATCGCAACAATCCTGTTTTGTTTTTATGCAAAAGCAGTGAAGAAGGGAATTGAAGGTAAAGGTTGAGACGTTTCCACGAGGACCACGAGTCTTGACAAAGAAAGTTTGCCTTCGTTGTGCGCCAAACCTTGCCTCTGTATCGACCGTCGCATCCTGGGAAACTGAAGGAGGAGTATTAAAGCTATATATTGGATGCATGTATTTGACCTTGAATTAATGTTATTGACATGAAAGAAGTCTGTAAAGTGGAATCTTTATGAGATTTAGTAACCTGTCACCTATTTTTACGAATGCGTCATCTCCAATTTGGCGGCGTTGCTAAAACAAGGGTAAGGGTAACACTAAGGGTGAGGGTGGGGGTGGGGGTGAGGGTAACGTGAGCTACTCGATCGGTGGGGGAAGATTTTATCATTCGCCTAGCAACAGGGTTTTGATATTTCACGCAAAAATTACTTTGTTTAATTTGTCCTCCCAGCTACAAATTATTCAAAAGGTCGCTGAAGGTAATCTTAGCTCATAATTTTTGGTGGTCATGCAGGACATTCCTCGGTAACTGCGGATTTCGCGGGAGGTTAAATTAATAAAAGCATGCCGCAGAATTAAATACAGCGAGTAGATCCTATGACATTTTCAGCGACCTTTTGAATAATTTGTAGGTGCGAGGACAAACAAAGTAATTTTTGCGAGAAATATCAAAACCCTGTTGCTGGGCGAATGATAAAATCTTCCCTCACCGATCGATTAGCTTTCCTTCAACCCTTACCCTCACCCCCACCCTGACCCCCACCCTCACCCTTGGTGTTACCCGTGCCCTCGTTTTAGCAACGCCGCCAATTTGGAGCAACGAGCACGGTAGGGGGACATAATTGCAGTAATTACAAAGAACAAGCTGAAATTTAAGCTTTACAAGATATCCAGTTGACCTCTCGTATGATCACATTTTACATAGTCGTCCATTGTCTGCTGCTTCAGTTTAAAAGATGAGCAAGATAAAAGGCAATCCTGTAGTCGAATCTTCGCCTTTACCCGAGAAGATTGAAAAGATTCTTGATGGTTTCCGAGAGTCTAAAGCCACGTTTGCAGCTTGCGATTTTGGGATCTTCGACAAACTATACAATTCATCGTCGCCGCAATCGGCCAAAGAAATCACGGAGATGCTGTCCTCTGATTTAGACGCCACTACACGACTCTTGGATACCCTTGTTGCTTTGGAATTCTTAGAAAAGTCGAAGCAGGGCGATCAGTGGCTGTACAAGAACACAGAAATAGCCTCTAAGTTTTTGACAACTACAAGTCCTGATTCTCAACTTGGCACAATAAGTCTCTTTAACAAGATTGTATATCCTCTTCATGGTTCCTTGGAGAGTGCAGTCCTCGATGGAAAGATTCAGTGGATGAAGGCATTTGGAAAGTCGCCTGAAGACATATTTCGTGAAACCGTTAACAGCACTGAGGAAGACAGCTTACGTTTTAATAAAGGAATGCATAGTTTGGCCTTCCCTGCAAGCTATGCAGTTGCTAAAGCCGTCGATTTAAGCGCTTTTAACAACTGCTGTGATTTAGGAGGTATGTCAGATTTCAAGCCAGATATTTTTTGTTTTAGGGCAAGAATTTCATTGTTATTTTAGACAACCTTAGTAAAAATTAGTATGATGGTACGGGGGTCTTGCTCAACTAACCTTGTCCCAGGGGCTTTAATTTGGACCGAGACTGGTGTTCAATGCATGAAATTTTAATTAAGGTACGTAACATTTGTCCATGCACATACCACCCTGCAAAAGTAGCCACAGGCAGCCCAGGCTAACGATAGGGGAAGCAGCGGCATTGAATAAACCGTTCTCTGTCAACATAATTTCAAAATTTCTAATCATTTTTTTCTTTTTTCTTTCCATGACATATCCAGGAGGAGTAGGAACTCTTGCCTATGCGTTGTGTCAGTACAATCCTCAAATGAAGATAACAGTCTGTGACCTGCAGCCTGTTGTCAGCTTAACTCATCACTTCCGACCATCAGTAGAGGATTGCCCCAATCAAGTTAACGTCTCTTTCATGATAGGCGATTTCTTCAAGCCTGAAACTTTACCAAAGGCTGATTTGTATGTCTTGTCTCGCATTCTTCATGACTGGCCAGAAGAAAAAGTTGAACTGATTCTTGACAACGTCTTCAATTGTTTACCCTCAGGTAAGACAGAAAACACTGCAGCTAATATAGAGAGCTTGGCAACTTAACACCAATGATCCGCGAAACACCTTTGTGTTCCACGAAACATCGCATTGCACCTTATCTATGAGCCAGGACGCCATTCAAACCCACCAGTATTAATTTTGTCTACCAGTTGTTTCGTAAAAAGGGGCTTACTGGAAACTAAGAGCAATAGCATTTTTTCGTGCTAAAAGATATCAGATTTAAATTAAAGCACTTTTCTCTCAGAGAAACTTGATGGTAAGTGACACACGTAGACGCCAACACCACAAGGCCTGGCCAGGACCTTTCGCATTCTCTCCATCATATCACTCATCAGCAGATTCCTGGCGTTCAGATAGTTGGAAGCTGCGCGAAGTAAAACGGGGCGCGAAAAAAATTAAAACGAGCGAAGGGGAGAGAGGTGATAGGGGGAGCCTCACCGCTCTCTCCAGCCCGCCTTTTTTTTTCCTTCGCGCCGCTCCCGATTATCTGAACGCTCGCAAAAGGCTAAACATCCGGACAGTGTGGCGGCTGTAAACAGTTCTCCTCTGCATGGAGTACGCTGGAAAGGTGGATCAGCGTTGTTGCCGATCAACCCACAGCCTGACAACCAGTACCTGATCAGTACAGTGTTGGTCGCAAATTGCTAATTTTTTTGCTTATGCTATTTTTAAAGCAACTGCAATAGTTGTGTTTTCTGAATTGATCTTTCGATCCGTGTGTCAGTAAATTAAAGGCCTGTGCGTCCGTTTGAGGAATTTGTGAATTCTGTAGGATTATTGGATGAGATTCTTAGTGTTCAAAAAAGATGTGCGCTCATTATACTAGATGCTCCTTTTCAGGCTTGAACCCTGCCACTATTTTTGGAACTGGGGTGGCTACCCATCGATCACATCTGCCTTGAAAGAAGACTCCCTCTGTTAAAAAAAAAAATCTTGGATGGACGTGCACCGGATTACCTCTCTGAGAAACTGTTATCTTTGAAATATCACAAGTCACATGATAAAAAGGTCTCGGTTGCCTTATCGTCTGTCTATTCTACGTACCAACAACATGAAGCGAATGCTCTTTTATAATGCAGTTAAACTGTGGAATAAAGTCAGTGACAATGATGTAGTCTGCTCTTCTGAAATTCAAATCCAGTTATGTGTATACTCACGCCTGGTAGCTTTAAAATTGACCGAAATTTTTTGGTTTTAGATGACATATTTTTTCATAATTTATCATCTTAAAGTACTTTAGCTTTTTAATCATGTGTAAATTTGAATAAATTTCGCCTGAGAGCTTTAGAATCGACAAAACATTTTTAGCTTTCTTAAACTTGATATTTAAATTATTTATTACTTTATAGTATTTAAAAAATCTAGTTTTTTAGTAGTTTCATGCGGCCATAAGGGAGAATTATGCACGAATCATTCATTTATTGGTTTTTATTAGGTGAGCCAGCCCGATTAGCCGGGCTGACCTGCTATACCAGCCTGGCTGGGCTCATGCCTTATTTCTTCATGAAATTTTCGTCGTGTTTATATGAGAAGGAGGGCTGGCCCCCTTGCCGAGATGCCGATTCCTCGATCGACCCGACATCTCGGCATGAGGGCCACACAACAGCAATTTTACGAGGAAATAAGGCGTGAGCCGGGACAGCCCAGTAAAGCGGGCCAGCCTGGCTCACCTCCTATACAAACTCCAGCCCTTTATATCAGAGAACCGTAAATTCTATCCACGGCCTGGTCAGAACCTTCATCCAAATTTCGACAGATGTATATGCTGGACCGTTTTTCCTTTAGTAAACTTAGCATTAAAGAAACGATGGTCGTGTCCTCGGAATACCCCGAAAACGTTTTGATTACGCTTCTTTTAACCATGTATTTAACTTTATTAAATAATACACAGGTAGCGTTTAAATTGAGTAGGAAAAAAGCAAGAATATCGAGCTTTGTGGTGACAACTCCTCTTTTCTTTGATGTTCATTAGGAGGGGGACTTCTTATTTGCGAGAAGATTTTAGATGAAGACAAACGAGGCCCGAAGCGTGCTCTTCTTGAATCACTTACCATGTTGGTTGCTACTGGAGGAAAGGAAAGAACAGCATCTGAATACAAACATATCCTCGACAAACATGGATTTATAGTAACTCAAACGAAACAATTACATCAGTCTTTATTTATGGATGCCATGTTATGTATAAAGAAGTAAAGTTCAATCGGTGAGTGAGTGGTCTCAGCTGTTTTTACCGCTTACAATTGGAAGCCGAGATCTCAATGAGCTCCGGGCTTGTCCGAGATTTTCTCGCTACGAGTCCTTTTCGTTTAAATGTGTTAATCATTTTTGATATTTTACTATTACTGTTTTTAAATTTTACAAAGTGGCAAATGAATAAAAGAAAATACAGAAATACCATAAAATAAATGAAGTTCACAGCTACCCGAAAACGCCTTTCTTGTCACCCTAGACATGTCATCTCTCGACACTAACAAACCTCATAACGAGGGCATAGATGCCTGTCGTCATTTTCTCAATACAAGCGACCACAACGCTTCATCCATGAGCAATGAAACACTTTGTGACCTCATACACGTGACTTTCAAGATTGGTTAAAAGCTTAAAATGACGTATCGGATAGCTCTAGACAAAAATCTACAAATAAGGAAATTAAAAAAGATTATCACTTAGAAGAATATCTAAAGATAGTTAGAAATCCAGCTCGGTAGAATCAGTATGACTAAACTGCGATTGGAAGTTCATACTTTACGTATACAAACAGGGAAATATTAAAATAAGGATCTTCTATACAAGTAGAGGAGAGGCTTTGTTTAGTTTGCAAAAGAAACCGCATAGAAGACGAGAAGCACTTCTTCTTGTTATTGTATGGAACACCATAGTCTTAGACAGAAACTTTATTTTCATACTTCTGCAAATGATGCAAACTTCACCAATTTAACAGATCATGTACTAGTTACATAATTTTAAGGCCTTTAATTAGGCAGATCATTTCTTTACTTGGCAATGTTAAGATATTGTAAAGAAAAGGTCTTATTGAAGGAATTACTTGTAATGGGGGACTGGGTACTAGTCAAAAAACCGTTTACCTGCATAAGTGATTACCTATTCAAATGTTGCCCAGCACAAATTTGTAGTTCTTTATATTGTAAGTTGTCGTGTAGCAATTAAGTNGTTAAGATATTGTAAAGAAAAGGTCTTATTGAAGGAATTACTTGTAATGGGGGACTGGGTACTAGTCAAAAAACCGTTTACCTGCATAAGTGATTACCTATTCAAATGTTGCCCAGCACAAATTTGTAGTTCTTTATATTGTAAGTTGTCGTGTAGCAATTAAGTCAAAGAACTTCCAATTTTTGCTGCCATTTTTGCTTAAAGAGTTTTGGCGGCCGTAAGAGGTCACGTGTCCTAAATTGGATAATCGCATGTAATAAAAAGTATAACTTTTCGAGAAATCGCTAGTTACACACAATTTACAGCTTAACGATAAATAATTACGAAAATATACCACCTCTCAGTTTTCAATTTGCAACGAAAATCGCTTTTGACCCGGCCATGCCTCAATTTACTTGGGAAACGAGCGACCTTGGAAAGATCCATTCTCGTCCCCAGAGCCACTCGGCGTAATTTGTAACGAACCAGTGGCTCTGAACGCAACGGAAAATACGAATTTTTTTATTGGTTGAAGGCAATTGAACGCGCCGAGCAAATGAACGATATGATCTTCTGCGCATCAGATTTTACTTCCCGCCCTCTCGCACTGCAGAACCGTGTCTGTTTTACGACGATCACAACAATTCTGTTTTGTTTTTATGCAATAGCTGTGAAGAAGGGAATTGAAGGTAAAGTTTGAGACGTTTTAACGAGGACCACCAGCCTTGACAAAGAACGTTTGCCTTCGTTTTGCGCTAAACCTTGCCTCTGTATCGACCGTCGCATCCTGGGAAACTGAAAGGACGATTATTAAAGCTGTATATTGGGTGCATGTATTTGACCTTGAATTAATGTTATTAAGATGAAAGAGGTCTATGAAGTTGACTCTTTATGAAATTTAGTAACCTGTCACCTATTTTTACGAATGAGTTATCTCCAATTTGGAGCAACGAGCACCTTGATTTACGTGATTTGAGGTGAGCGAAAGGGGGGGTGGGGAGGGGGGCATAATTACAAAGAACAAGCTGAAAATTAGGCTGTACAATATATCTAATTGACCTCTCGTCTGATCAAATTTTACATACACATTAGTCGGCCATTTTCTGCTACTTCAGTTTAAAAGATGAGCGAGATAAAAGGCAACCCTGTAGTCGAATCTTCGCCTTTACCCGAGAAGATTGAAAAGATTCTTGATGGTTTCCGAGAGTCTAAAGCCACGTTTGTAGCTTGCGATTTTGGGATCTTCGACAAACTACACAATTCATCGTCGCCGCAATCGGCCAAAGAAATCACGGAGATGCTGTCCTCTGATTTAGACGCCACTACACGACTCTTGGATACCCTTGTTGCTTTGGAATTCTTAGAAAAGTCGAAGCAGGGCGATCAGNTGCCTTCGTTTTGCGCTAAACCTTGCCTCTGTATCGACCGTCGCATCCTGGGAAACTGAAAGGACGATTATTAAAGCTGTATATTGGGTGCATGTATTTGACCTTGAATTAATGTTATTAAGATGAAAGAGGTCTATGAAGTTGACTCTTTATGAAATTTAGTAACCTGTCACCTATTTTTACGAATGAGTTATCTCCAATTTGGAGCAACGAGCACCTTGATTTACGTGATTTGAGGTGAGCGAAAGGGGGGGTGGGGAGGGGGGCATAATTACAAAGAACAAGCTGAAAATTAGGCTGTACAATATATCTAATTGACCTCTCGTCTGATCAAATTTTACATACACATTAGTCGGCCATTTTCTGCTACTTCAGTTTAAAAGATGAGCGAGATAAAAGGCAACCCTGTAGTCGAATCTTCGCCTTTACCCGAGAAGATTGAAAAGATTCTTGATGGTTTCCGAGAGTCTAAAGCCACGTTTGTAGCTTGCGATTTTGGGATCTTCGACAAACTACACAATTCATCGTCGCCGCAATCGGCCAAAGAAATCACGGAGATGCTGTCCTCTGATTTAGACGCCACTACACGACTCTTGGATACCCTTGTTGCTTTGGAATTCTTAGAAAAGTCGAAGCAGGGCGATCAGTGGCTGTATAAGAACACAGAAATAGCCTCTAAGTTTTTGACAACTACAAGTCCTGATTCTCAACTTGGCACAATAAGTCTCTTTAACAAGATGCTATACCCTCTCTATGGTAACTTAGAAAGTGCAGTCCTCGATGGAAAGATTCAGTGGATGAAGGCATTTGGAAAGTCGCCTGAAGACATATTTCGGCAGGCAGTTAACAGCACCGAGGCAGACAGCTTACGATTTAATAAAGGAATGCATAGTACGGCCTTCTCTGCAAGTTATGCAGTTGCCAAAGCCGTCGATTTAAGCGCCTTTAACAACTGCTGTGATTTAGGAGGTAAATCAGATTTCATCCCAGATTTGTTTCGTCTAGAGCAAGAATTTTATTGTTATTTTAGACAACCTTAGTAAAAATTAACATTCTAAGCCACCGTGGTTCATTAAAATTTGTTGCATGGTTAGCAGAGCGGAAAGGACGCTGGACCAGAGAACAGGGGGTTGTGGTTTAATCCCGTGGGCGATCTTAAAATAACTGAGGGGGAAGGTACTGCCACATTCTCGTTCCCAGAACTTCGATCTTCTTGGTCAGCGTCTGGGATCGATCCCCGACGCTGACCAAAAGGATCGAGGATCTGGGAACGAGAATGGGTTCCGCCATTGCCCTTCAAATAACAATTCCTTTTCGTGGCTCTTAGGAATGATTGCACTGTCTCCAGCGGGGGTCGTGCTCAGCTAATCGTGTCCCAGGGGCTTTGAGACTGTTGGTCAATACATGAAATTTTAAATTAAGGCACATAAAATTTATCCATGTACATACCACCCTGCAAAAGTAGCCACTGGCAGCCCAGGCTATCGATAAGGGAAGCAGCGGTATCGAATAAACCGTTCTCTGTCAACATAATTTCAAAATTTCTAATCATTTTCTTTCATTTTTCTTTCCATGACATATCCAGGAGGAGTAGGAACTCTTGCTTATGCTTTGTGTCAGTATAATCCTCAGATGAAGATCACAGTCTGTGATTTGCAGCCTGTTGTAAGCTTAACTCATCACTTCCGACCATCAGTGAAAGATTGTCCCAACCAAGCCAATGTATCCTTCGTAGTCGGTGATTTCTTCAAGTCTGAAACGTTACCAAAGGCTGATTTGTATGTGCTCTCCCGCATTCTCCATGACTAGCCAGAAGAAAAAGTTGAAGTGATTCTTGACAACGTCTTCAATTGTTTACCCTCAGGTAAGACAGAAAACACTGCAGCTTCAGCGTAGCACTTGTGCAACGGATCGTCGCATTGCACCTTGTCCGCGCGCCAGGATGCCATTCAAACCCACTAGCATTTATTTTGTTTACCAGTTGTTCCGTAAAAAGTAGCTTACTGAAAAACAAGAGCAATAGCATTTTTCGTTCTAAAAATATCAGATTTATAGCACATTTCTCTCAGAGAAACGTAATAATAAGTGGCACTACGTACTTCATAAAATAATTAGTTAGCTATTGTCGATAACAGTACAGACCATTGAACACTGTTGTCGATTTGTTTGGTAACACTGATCTGAAACAGGAGGTCCATGAATTGCCAATTTCCGGCTTGTTAGTAGTCGTCGGAAGGAAACGAGAGGTACAGTTTTAAACAAGGTAGGATGACAGAACGATGATTGTATTATTGGCGCCAAACTCATTCTAGCTGTAATAATATTAATAATAATAACTTTATTCAAATAGCGCTCATATCCTGCGCTCATGGCGCTTTAGAATGTAAAAAGCGGGGGAATGAATTAATTTACATTTATTTATTTATTTATAAATTTTGCCAAGAGGCCTCGATCACTCACAGAGCAAACTCCAATACGAGTTCCAGAAAAAAAAGAAAGAAAATCAGTAATACAACTACGAGAATGACAATACTTTAGAAACGGCAAAAAAAGAAATGAACAGCCAGTGTTCCAGAGGTAGGCTGGTAAAGTATTCCAGATTCTTGGGGCTCTATAGTAAAAACTGTTCTCAAATCAAAGGTGATGGTGTTAGCCCTAATCGTATTCAACAGCGTTCCCCTGGAGGAGACAGTACTCTTGTGTCTACTGGAATTTATGGCTGAAATAAAACCGTCCGATAGACTAACTACACATTTGAATACGTACACAAATCTAAAAATTCGTGCCAATTACACAATGGTAGTAGCTCAATTTTCAGAAACCTCTGCTTATAACTAACTTCACACTGACACGGCAAAGACAGAATGAATTTTGCTGCGCGCCGCTGAATTCTTTCGTTGTCAAGGATAAGATTAACAGCTTGAGGAGCCCACGCCTGCGAGCAATATACGAGTTTGCTGCGAACTAGTGACAGGTAAAGTAGCCTGCGAGCTCGCTGGTTATGAGTGTCGAAAGTTGATCTCCGGAGAAAGCCAAGCATCCTCTTGGTCTTCGAACAAGCTGCCAACACTTGAGAGTTCCATTTCAGATGTTTAGTAACGAAAACCGCAAGGTCCTTCTGAGAGGGTGTGAATGGGGTTAACCAACTAGCGACAAAGGGCGAAAAATATTACTGACTACCGACAAAGTGAGTAAAAAATTACCAACTACCGACAGGAAAAATATTAACCGACTACGGACATGGGCTATATATTATTAATATTTGTTTCCAGAAAAAAGAGCATTTTGTATTTAATCTAACCGTTAGCTCGAGGAAGTAAGTAATCTCTTTAAATTTATGACTCATCAGATCGCCTAAGGGAAAGAATTTCCTTTTTTTGTTGTTGATACAGGTACATTGCTACAGCCAATATCAAAATCACAAAGTCACACCTTAAAGATGCTACCGACTTTATAAATTTTATTGAAAAGTCAAAGGTGAAAAAATCGAACGTTTTTTGCTTAGATTAATCCTCAAAGAAAATTCTTTCCCGTTTAATGTAAAGAAATATCAGTACAAACCCACGTTACCGCGATGAGCACAAAGACAGCAGTTTCCTTTCCAACATTTTCATGGCACATATTGAAACACAAAGTTTAAGCAAAACCGTCTTTAAACCAACTGTTTGAAAACGCTACATAAATGACATTTTTTCCCCATGGGACATAAGTAAACCAGACATCGTAGCTTTCTTCGCGGAACAAGTAAACTTACATGCCCTCCTATGAAATTCACGGCCGAAAGATCTGAAAATGAGACATTCTTTTTAGAAACGGTTGTATACCAATGTACAACATTCAGCGAAAAAATGAGAAAAAGCTATCCTTGACGTAAAGACGCATTTGAAACGGAAACCTTACAGTAAAAACATTTTCATCTCTTATCACCCACCAGTTGTTAAAGCGACTGTTTGACAAACGAGAAGCCTTGAGAATCATACGAACAAACTCCTCTGAGGAAGTATTTCAGATTTCAAAAGCGCTTGATGGACGGAGGCTAGCCACACAATTTTGAAAGAAAAATTGCTATTAGAAGTAAAACTCACAGAAAGGAAGGCAGTGCTCCTGAAAAAAAAAAAAACAACCAGGAAGAAAAAGACTGAAATATTGCCTTTCGTGACACAATACCAGCCCTTAGTGTCTATAAAAAAGAAGCTTTAATGAAAAAGTGGAATCTCATACAAAACCAACCACTACCTTGCCAAAATTTTAAAGAACCACCTAAAGTGCTATTTCTTTGAGAAAGGAAAATTATGGCAAAGGACATGCTTGTTAGAACCAAAACATGAGACGGATAGATGTGCAGCCTGTCATCCCTTGCAGTTTTTCAATAAAAATAATTTAAGTATCCAAAAGGCTAGAGTCCAGTAAGTAATTAATTAATTACTTTTTACTGTGCCCTGTAGTCGACAGGGAAACCAAGTTCGCATTTACAATAAAAACTTGGGTGATTTTATCAGTACTAATTATTCATTTAATGGCAAACAGTGATGAAATAAACGTTCATGTTGCATAAAAAACAAGAGTTAATGAACGGTTTAGGCGCCATCAAATGATGCATTCTTGCAAGTTTTACTCTTTCCTTAGGGATCAAAGTGTGGAAAAGTGGGTGAAATACATAAGAAATATTAATAATTAACAAGCGTTTTTGCTTATTAACTGAAATTTTCGGACAACCGGCGAAAATTGAAAAGTTTAACCGACTACCGACAAAGATCGAAAATTTTAACCGACTACCAACAAAATTACTGAATTTTAACCGACAACCGACAAGTGGACCCCCATTCAGACCCTCTTCTGAGCTTCCATCGCCTTAACTTGGACATCGCGATCGGGCAGTTGACTGATGCGGGCTAGCATTTCTGGTAATAGAAAGTAGCCCGCACTTGGATTGATTTAGATCTATTTGCCAGAGATCACACCATTGGTTAATGTGGTCGAGGTCGCGCTGTAGGCAGGCACCATCCTCCATCCTTTCGATTGACCGGTAGCACTTCGTGTCGTCAGCAAAGAGGAGCAACAGATGTTGAGGACGCTACGTCAGGAAGATCCTTTACATATATGAGGAACGAGAGTGGACCAAGTATTGATCCTTGCGGTACACCTGATAACACAGGGAGAGATTTAGAGTTGGCCCCGAGAACGGTGACCCTTTGGACGCGGTCAGTAAGATAGTCTTTGAACCAAAACAACAGTGTACCGCAGATGCCTAATCGGTGGATCTTCTTGATCAGTAGCTTGTGCTTAACCCTGTCGAAGGCTTTGGCGAAGTCAAGGTAGATGGCAACAACCTGCCCTCACTTAACAAGATTTTCGCCTATGTTGTGAAGGACTTGAAGTAACTGGGCCGTGGTGGATTTGCCCTTTAAAAACCCGAACTGCAACTTGTGGAGCTGAGGAGCGATATGGTCGATAACTCTGTTGTAAACGCAGCGTTCGAGAACTTTTGAGACAAGAGGCAAAAGTGAGATGGGTCTATAGTTCGATCCTCCTTGGCAGTGCCGCCTTTTAATAATGGGATGATATTAGATTCTTGTCAAGAAGATGGCATTTTTCCCAAAAGCAAGCACTTGTTGAAGAGGGCACACAAGGAGGAGTAAATGTGGGGTGCGCAAACCTTGAGAAGTTTGGCAGGAATTTTGTCTGGGCCTGTTGCTTTGTAGGGATCCAGAGATAGTAGAACATCGCGGACTTCAGTCGGCGAGAGAGAGAGCATGAAGTAAAAAATATGAAAAATCTATTAACAATCCATATATTATAGGTCTTAGAATCATTTTACAAAAATAATGACAGCTATAAACGTATTATTCCATCTCTAACTTAAATACCCTTCATCCCACTATTAAACTTATTTATACCAAAGTGCTCATTCAAATCTTTCTCCTTTCTCTACGTTAAGGTGTCCCTCAATGATGGTTCTATCGATCATTGAAATTATTCTTTATACTAAACCTACAGCCGAACATCAGTACCTTTTAGGTTCATCATGTCACCTCTAACACATTAAACGAGCTTTTCCATTCAGCCTTGCCCTGAGAATTCGACTTATGTGTTCCTCGAACGAGATGTTCAAACTGCGTTGTAACGAATTAACACAAGAACAATACCTTAACAGTCTCCTCAACCAGAAGATACAACGTGTTTATACTATCACACACAGTCACACAAGCGACTCACACACACGTATCCCTCTGGTTGTAGGATACCACCCCGCCACTCGACCGCTCAATATCATCAATTTTTCACAAACACATTTACATTCTCTCATCCTCCCAACTTTGGCTACTCTGTTTAAATATATACCTCTCGTTACCTTCCTACGTACTAACAAGCGAGAAATCCGCTAAGTGGACTTCTCGTTCGGAACCAGACCTCTCGATTAATGTTATGGCGTTATACACTGTTCGAAGTCCCCTATTTTCTGCATGATCGTCAAGAACAAACGCTACAGGCGGCCATCTTGACCGTCTCTAGCTTGACTGCTTAAAGGCAGGGGGACGCTTTGGGAACCCCAAGGCCTGCCCTCTCGGTACATTCGAATCTAATTACAAAATGGCTGCCAGTGAAGGTGAGGGCTGGAGCTCGACGATCTTGTAGCTTAAGAATTGGTCGGGCTGACCCTCTTTACCAGGCCTGCTCGGCTCGTGCCTTATTTTCTCATAAATTGGCCGTTTTTATGATAGAGACGTTAAAGTCGTCTAGACGCATTTTAGTAACGTCTGAGACCTCAAAGTCGTCTGATAAAAGCGTCGTTCGGACGCACTTAACAGAAGACGTTAAAAGACGTCAGATGTTAATAATAATAATAATTATTCATAATAATTAACATCTAAATATGATCAAATGCGCCTTACATGCAAATATAACTACTACTTGTAATAATTACAATAAAGTATGCTTAAGAATACCTAAAATTTATAATCTAAAATTTATCAATGGCTAACTATAACAGGCAAAAGCCTTCCTAAATAAGTAAAAGGGAGTTGTAATAAAACAGTCCAACGTTTAATGCGTCTGTCTTAATTACCGTTTTTTTTAAGACGACTTTAACGTCTCTAGCATAAAAAAGGCCATTGTTGTTGTGTTTGTATGAGATGGCAAGCTGCCCCGATTGCCGAGATCCCCGGTTCCTCGAGCAGAGATCTCGGCATGAGGGCCACATAGCAACAGTTCTATGAGGAAATAAGGCATTAGCCGGGCCAGCCCAGTAAAGCGGGCCAGCCTGGCTTGTCTTACATAAACAGTATTTGCTTGACAGTTTTTCCTTCAGTAAACTTAGCACTAAAGAAATTAAAGATGGTCGTGTCCTCAGGTTGGGTTCATATTGAGTAGGGAAAAACCAAGAATATCGAGCTTTGTGGTAACAACGCCTCTTGTCTTTAATATTTGTTAGGTGGGGGACTTCTTATTTGCGAGAAGATTTTACATGAAGATAAACGAGGCCCGAAACGTGCTGTTCTTGGATCACTTACCATGTTGGTTGCTACGGGAGGAAAAGAACGAACAGCATCTGAATACAAACATATCCTCGACAAGCATGGATTTATAGTAACTCAAATTAAACAATTAGATCAGTCTTTATTTATGGATGCCATGTTATGTATAAAGAAGTAAAGTTCAATCGGTGAATGAGTGGTCTCAGCTGTTTCGCCCCATTTAAGGGAATCGGGATTCCGGAATCCCGGAAATTTTTGCCTGTAGAATCCGGAATCTTAGAAAATTTTGCTTGTGGAATCCGGAATCCTGAGCCTTGGAATCCGGAATACAGCTGTAGGAATCCAGAATCCTACTAACAATTGGAATCCGGAATCCAAGGTCCACTGAAAAAGATTTCAAATCCAGTAGTGAGAATCCGGAATCCATGGCGTGGAATCCAGGATCCAAGACTGTCTTGGATTCCCTAACATGAGGCGAGCTGTTTTTACTGCTTACAATTGGAAGCCGAGATCTCAATGCGCTCCGGGCTTCTTCTAGATTTTCTCGCCACGAGTCCTTTTCGTTTAAATGTAATAATCATTTTTGATATCTTACTATTACTATTTGTAAATGTTACAAGTGGCAAATGAATGAAAGAAAATACTATGAAATAAATAAAGTTCAGAGCTACCCGAAAACACCTTTCTTGTCACCCTAGACGCGTCATCTCTCTACACTACCATTCCACATAACGAAGGCAGAGATGCCTGTCTTCATTTTCTCAATATTAGTATTTTTGATATCTTAGTGGTTATTTAATATTTACTGTTATTATTTTTACTTTGTTACCGTGTTGCTCCAACAAGCAGGTATCCTAAAGTACTTTGACATACAAACAAAGTTATTATTATTATTAGTAGTAGTATCATAATTTCCTGTCATACATAATTACATATATAGTTACATACATACGTATAGTTTAGTGTCATCACACTTCTTCGCCCCTAGTCAAAGAACATTACTTTTTGCAACTATTTTTTTCTGGTAGCAGGTGAATGGTAGTAAATGATACTATATCAAATTTAGTACTTTGCTTTAGTTAGCTGGTTAAAGCACACTCAGCGACATCGTGATTCAAAGTTTTTTACGAATATTGATCGCTTACTGTAACAAAATGTATCCCGTTTCCTAGGACAACTAAGTATATATTTGGATGAAAATCTTAGCTGACCAGGTAAAAAATTCAGCTGAGCAAACGATAAAAAACAACGACAAAATATGTGACTGAAGTGGGGACTTTTCCGACTACCGACTTCCGATTTTTTTTTTTGAGAAGTTGACTGACGAGGCTCGAAGAGCGAAATATATCTCGAGGATTTTAAACTTCTAGGACATTTTTATTTTTACATTTTACATTTCCTATACGTGCGTCGAATGTGGTAAAGACGTGATGTCTTATTTTGCAAGTAGTTCACGACTTCCGATCGAATTCCAACAGATTACTTCCGATCGACCCCCAACTTCCTAATTTTGAAAATTTTTGTTTTCAATTTTCCCATCTAAACTATAGGCTCAAGTGAAAATTTTTTACCTCACTAGTTAAGTTCTGTATTATAAGAGTCATTTACTTAACCCGTGTGCACAATAGACTACCACGCACTATTGTGCCCTAATTCCACTGTCTTCCTTCGCCATTAGTTATTTAGTCAAGTCTGTTTCACGGTAAAGTTATGCACCTATCAATGTAAATCCCGTGGGGGGGGAGTGCGGGCAAGGGGAGGGGATTTGATGCCTGGGACTATCCCCGCTGTCGGGCTTTTGATCGTGCGAAGCGACCCCGGGGTCGGGACATTTGACTTTGACCGACAGAAGCCTGGTATCAATTCAGAAGCAGTTACCAAGTCCGTCCCTCGAGGCTTCCTGAAAGTCACGTTGTTGGAGAAAGGTATGAAGTTTTCATTTGTTTTAATCGCCATAATCCGATACTTTAAACTGTCATCTAAACAGATAATGTCTATTTTGAGGAAGTTTTTATCTTCAAGTTCCCATCTGATTGTAAAACTTGATTGAAATCGAATTCCACCATGAAAGTCAGAGGATTTTTTATGGGTCACTGATCCGACCTGTTCCGACATGTTGAGCAGATGTTATACAGCATTTTACGTTTTATTAATATTATATAGCAAGGTCAATCTTCCTGGAGTGATTTTGTTGTTCAAGATAAGAGATGCTAGTGGAGAGAGAAAAAACTTAATTACAGCGAGTAATTTAACCGTTAACCGTAAATAAAAGTAGTAACAACGTGTTTGACATGTTCTTTTATTCGTTTTATATAGTATTATAGCATTGTTTGTTTAGATTTTTTCCCCTGGGGTGGGGGCTTTTTTGACACTTTTGATTGACCTTTCGTTTCCCACCCTGGGGAATTTGATCGAAAAATTTTAAAATTTGTCAAATCCCCACCCCTTGCCCGCACTCCCCCCCCCACGGGGTTTACATTGATAGGTGCATTAACCTCCCAGGCAGGCGTTTTTAAGGGAGCTCGCTAATTCATCCCTCCTCACAAACGCCTGCTCAACCGAAAACAACATTCCTTTCCCATTGTTTTATTTGCGTGGTACATGACCAATCAACAGTTTTGAAATAAAGTGTTGAAAGACTTAACACGACTAAAAAGTGACCTTAGAGTAACGTTTCCTTTCTTTTCTTTCCTTCGCTAAGGTTATGGAGTGCTTGGAGTATTTTGTGGGGAGAGATGAAAAACTAGCTCCCCTAAAAGCGCCTGCTTGGGAGGCTACGGTAAAGTAAGGTCACTCTAGCTTTTTACAAATGCATCTGTATGAAGCAGAAACTTGTGATAAAAATCAAACACCCGGGGGGCAGGTTTTAAATGTCATTGTGGTTTCGAATTTACGTATACGACTGTGTTAATGTATTGTCTTTATATTCGAGTCGGATTAACGAGCACCTTTGTTTATGTGCATTTCTGACCTTCAAAACGTTGATTGATAATACACAGAAAAAGCTGAAAATTATGACGCAAGTTAATTACCTTCGCAAGTGACCTCTCGTCTCATGATCACGCTTAAGTTAAGAGATGAGCGAGGTTAAATACAACCCTGAGGGTGGATCTTGTCCTCTACCAAAGAAGATTGAAAAAATTCTCGATGGTTTCCGAGAGTCTAAAGCGTTGTTTGCAGCTTGTGATTTTGGGATCTTCGACAAACTCCACAATTCGTCGCCACAATCGGCTAAAGAAATCACGGAGAAAATGTCCTCTGATTTAGACGCCACTACACGACTCTTGGATACCCTTGTTACTTTGGAATTCTTAGAAAAGTCGAGGCAGGGCGATCAGTGGCTGTATACGAACTCTGAAATAGCCTCTAAGTTTTTGACAACTTCAAGTCCTCAGTCTCAACTTGGCATAATAAGTCTCATGAACAAGATTCTATACCCCCTCCATGGCAACTTAGAGAGCGCAGTCCTCGACGGGAGTATGCAGTGGGCGAACGCATTTGGAAAGTCGCCCGAAGACGTATTTCGTGAAGCAATTTACAGCACCGAGGAAGACAGCTTACGATTTAACAAAGGAATGCATAGCGTGTCATTCTCTGCAAGTTATGCAGTGGCTAAAGCCGTTGATTTAAGTGCCTTTAACAACTGCTGTGATTTAGGAGGTAAGTCAGATTTGAAGCCATATAACACTTAATTGTATTTTTGGAAATCTAGTCGTTTGACAACGTTCTTGCAGGGTTACGTCATGTCAATCTTGATTCTTAAAGGGCAACTCTCGCGTAGGACAACATTTTTCAGAAAAACCTTGCAAATGTTTTTCTCATTGTAATACCATCAAGAAATATATCTTCAGCGATCTATTTGGCTCAGAAATCGAGATTCAAAGTGTTAAATTTGCCGCTTACTCGAACTTCCGCCATTAACGCTTGGATTTTGCCTATCACGTGACGTGACGTCACAGGTGTGGAACAACAGATGATCTCGAATATGGCTGACTGTAGTTCTTCAAGTGATAGCGCTACCTCTTTGTCCGATTATTCGGTTCTAGAAAAACTTTTAGAATGCGAATTATAGGGCAGCCCTTCACGGAAATTCAACCCCGGCGTTTTGAACCGCCTGGAAGATCGTCCGAAGCTGATTAGTTCGTGCGTCGCCAGAAAACGTCGAGCCTACCACTCGCCCGCTGCGATCTCGATAGTGAAGAATGGTGAGTGCCTAGATGGTTTTGAACAATTCTTGTGTACAGTGCGATCCGTAAATCGCTTGATTTCATCAATGCTATGAATGCTTCAAATTGTAAAAGGAAAAGGACTAATTAAACACGCATTTTTTTTGTATACTGAGCGTTTATAATTTTAGATCATTGTTTTCATATGTACAAGTAGTCGAAAGCGTACCTTCCCCTTCTAACGACTACTGGAAATGATAATCTGGGCAAGTTGTCTCAGTGTAGTTTTTTTTAATTTCTGCTTTAATCCTGGTTTTACAAAAAGCAGTGATTTATATCGAAAGCAATAACTACGCTCTCGTAATTCGTTGACTGCAACGCAAATAAATTTCCATATCTTTGCCCCTTGACAGCCGCTCATGCTCGACTCGTGGAGTGCTTGCACTTTAAAATTTGTCTCCCTTGTTGTTCTACAGATTATTATACATAATAACTGAAAGGCGCTGTACAGTTGTTTTCCTACAAGTCGTTCACTTACTTTTACTGTGTCTTGCTCTGTCAATGAATTTGGTTCAGAAGTTATTATTCTAGCTTCTGTGTATCGTGATGTTATTATTAAGACAATTTAAAGTTGGGATGAGATACACCTCCATACCCATGTGAACTAACTGCTTGCATAAAACGTTTCTGCTCCCCAGTATATGATTTTCGAGGTTGGGACATGTCGTATTCACTTTGTCTGGAGCACAACAATGGTTATGTTAACTACAATAATAATTTGCATTTGATGAGATATAACTGCAGGAACTTCTATTATAATACACCCAGTATTGAAAACGTGTACATATTTGAAGCTATTTTGTGGTTATGGGCAGGAGATAGTATGATGAAGCCATAAACGTTAAAGAGTGAATAAGCTCAAAATTGAAATAATATTCTCTGTCTTGACTTATGGCAGTTTGATAATTTTCTGGGTGCAGAATGAAAAGGTCAATATTCAACACTTGTTCTGTTGCCCTCCATTAACCGACGTTCAATATTTATGACTAAAGACAATAACTACTATTGGATGGGGTGAAAATATCTGCTTCCAAGAGGTGGCTGTTGTAAAACGTAAATATTTGGAGGCAGTTGAAGTTAGAAATATGGAGGAGCCTCCTAGAGGAGCATAGTGGAACACCCAGGATTCCAGGCAGTTTGTCTGAATTACTGGGTGTTACGAGCTGCATGGCAATACAAGCGGCAGCATGGTGCCTCAGCATATGAAGAATCAGATGATAAAAAAAGCAGGCACATTGCCTACAGGCAATTGGTAAGGTGATACTGGGGCTCCCTTGGCAGGGACACAGGAGTTACATTACCGTCCTTGATTCCTGTGCAGTTAAGTGCATACGACCTCATTTCGAGGAGCCTGAAAGGTTGGAGGATGAGATGGAGTTCACAGGATTCCATTGAGCAGGGCCGAGTTATTCAAAGCTGGGTTAAGATAACCCAGGGTTAGTGCAAGATTTGAATTAAGATTTGGAAGCTTAAAAAGTAATTCAGTTTTAATTCTTTTTGTCCACAAGTTGATGATTGGAAGCTCTAAAAATAAGAGAGAATATTATTCGAGAAAATGCTTTTGAACACAAGAAAAAGAAACCAGGGTTAAATTTAACTCCGGGTTAAGCGCTAACCGGCCTTCGAACAAGTGGGCCCAGATAAATAAATATACCATGTATTGCAAATAACCCTACTGTATATAAAATATGATGCAATTTTCTCACTCACCACTGGAAGACTGGGCTAGAGCAACTTTGTTGCCATTAAAATGATTGCTACCCAGCAAACAATGTCAACAATAATTGTTGGAACTAAAAAATCTATACGACTACATGGTCTTTTAAAGTCCAATGGTGTCTGTGTGGGAAATACATAATTCTTCTCGACTATTTACTCACAGCTTCTGAATAATAATGGCGGATTAGTGTTTGACTAATAACATGTCACCCTTTTTTTCCAGCAGGTGTGATTGTTAACTGGGAAATAATGTACCAGTTGAAACTTTATATCTTAATAATAAAATGGTATTTTATTGTTCATTGCTGTATATCTTTAGGTTATAATGGGAAACCCTCATTTTTAAATTAGAATTTACAAATGGATTGTTTCCATCTTGCATATTTTAATTGATAAGGCAATAATAATAAAGAAAACCGGTCACAGTTTAAGTGGACCATACAGTGCATGGTCATCTAAGTCACTAATTGCAGTAGTGACCTAGCTTAGCCTAAACTACAAAGAATCAAAACATTGCAGGGCATTGTAGTCCTTCTTTAATTGACTAGGCTGGAAAGATTTTATCTGCTAACGAAAGAACCCATTGCCTCATCTCTGTTGGGCCTCTCTTTGGACGAGCAAGTAGTGTAGGGGTATTCAGTTGCAGGTTCAACATGTAGTTTTTTAAAGCCCTTGAATTTTCTTAATAGCCAGCAAAGACTTTCAGTTATGGTGCTTGAGCCATAACCTTCAATGAAAAGGTTCATACTGCAGGAACCTTGCCTAGTTCTTTCTCCTTTTTCACTCCCGTTATGGATCGCATTTTTCTCCTTGGAATTTTCCAAAAGTACTGCGTCGGAGATTTAAAAACGGGTTAATAATTTCTTTTTTCCTTTCTTGTGAGAAGTCCCAAAGGGAAGTATTGCAAAAGAAGCGTGACACGCGTGGCTATCAAGGCAGTTTTATAGTGTTCGCGGGTAGGACGGGTACAAAGTACCACTAAAGATAATAAGGCAATCCTATTTTAATCAACTTTTTTTGAACTGTTTTCATTTCTTTCCATCCTTAAAAGGCCCATTACATGTAATTTTTTTCGTGTGTGCAGGTTTTGCATGGAATGATGCTATAATCTCGAGAGCACATCTCGAATAACTACATTGAAAATGATGATCATAAAATCGCAATTTTCGGCGAGAAGTGAGTTTTATTTCGCGTGTTTAGAAGCAAAGGTAAATGGATGGAACCTGCAGATTTCAGACGAGAACAACACTTAAGTGAAAACACAAAAGGCGGTATAGAATCAGGCCGGTACGGCGGTCTGTGACGGAGTTCTCTTCAAAGATGCGAGTATTTCCCGGGAAAAAATTAATTCGTTTTCGAGGAATGAAGGGCATCAACACCCATCAGGTAACATTAATGGTTGTATCAGAATTTTAAATCTGCTATAGGAAAGATGTTCTTTGTATTATACGTAGCAGATTGGGAGCTTAGCTGTTTACAATTATTGACCCCGGGTCGATAAATGTCTCACGCGACTTCAAAAATACCCTAACAAAAAAAATACAGAAAAAAATCTAAATCACCCGCATCTGATGCCCGTGTAAATTTAAAAATTGGAACCATCATCGAAATGCTTTTCCTGAACGTTAATAAGACAGTAGAGGCTCTATTTCTCCTTTATTTGCAAGAGAAATTTGGTGCGCTTTTCTCTTATAATCTTCACTTGGCAATCCGTGTTCCACACGTGTGACGTAAAATCACGTGACTAACCTGAAATCCGAATGTTTTCAAAATGGCGGCAAAAATCGAGTTTTCGAAAAATTATAAAAAAATAAGTTTCGCAGATATATCCGAAATTTCACCAAAGAGAGACATTACATGCCATTAGGAAACCATAGAGAACTTAAAAAACAGGGGTAATTTTCCCGAGAGTTGCCCTTTAACAAATGATATTTTTAACATACCATAGGTTATAGTCTTCGCATGGTTAGCAGAGCTGAAAGGGCACTGGTCTGCTGGGTGGGTGGCCCGGGTCCAAAGTCTAAAAAATAACTGAGGGTGAAGGTACTGAGTACTACCATTGCCCTTCAAACAGCATTTACTCACAAGGGGGCAGAAGAGTAAGCGAAAAATATGCGCTTTCTGTGCATGCCCGAATTTGCGAGGCTGATATTTTGGCATTTATGGCCAGTTTTGGTTGTTTTCTTCTCAAAAGTGGCCTTACCTCATGGGAGAAGTTAAATGTGAGTGCATAACAGTTCTCTAACAACTTTTCTTTCCATGACATATCCAGGAGGAGTAGGAACCCTTGCCTATGCTTTGTGTCAGTACAATCCTCAAATGAGGATCACAGTCTGTGACCTGCAGCCTGTTATCAGCTTAACTCATCACTTCCGACCATCAGTAGAGGATTGTCCCAATCAAGCCAACGTCTCTTTCATGATAGCTGATTTCTTCCAGCCTGAAACAATACCAAAGGCTGATTTGTATGTGCTTTCCCACATTCTTCATGACTGGCCAGAAGAAAAAGTTGAAATGATTCTTGACAACGTCTCCCATTGTTTACCCTCAGGTAGGACAGTTAAATGTTTTCAATTATATAAGCTAAAAGCGCGCGCTAAATCATCTATGCACTGATGAGAAGAACCTAACAGAAGCAAAAAGTTCATATAAAGAATGGTCGGTGCTTCGTTTTGTGCTCAGAACCGTCAAGATTAATACACACTTCTCTCAATCAAATGTATTTCAAAGTGTCCATGTGTTGTTTTGCAAGTTGTGAAATGGTGGCTTTCTTGGCGACACCTAATTCTTTACTAGTACTAAAGCACCAATAGTTGCGTCTTTAATTGAAAATGTGATCGTCGCAGTGGTAACTGCAATTTAAGCAATTGCAAATTAACCCGAAATAAATTTCGGGACTTCGACGGGATTCAAACTCATGGCCTCTACGTTAGCGATGCAGTGCTCTACCAACCGAGCTATGAAGACCGATAAATTGGGAGCAGACCAATTTGTTGAGTTCATCTTAACCTGTGAAAGGAATGAAACATAGAATAAAGATGATGTGAACTGCGAAAATACAAATTTTAATTGAAGATACGATCGTCGCATTGGTAATTGTGTCTTTGGGTCGAATACCCCATAAAAGTTTTGATTACTCGTCTTTTATCGATTTCATATCTATTAATACTAATTCGCAGCCAGGTTGCGTTCAAATTGCTGAGTGCGAAACCGAATAAAAAATATCGAACTTTGCGGTTAGAACCATTCCGTTTTATTATGATGATTATTTTTTTCACTTTGAGGTGGGGGACTTCTCATCTGCGAGAAGATTTTAGATGAAGACAAACGAGGCCCGAAACAGGCTCTGCTCCAGTCTCTTAGCATGTTGGTAGCTACGGGAGGAAAGGAAAGAACAGCATCTGAATACAAACAAATCCTGGACAAGCATGGATTTATAGTTACTCAAATTAATCAATTAGATCAATGTCCTTTTATGGATGTCATCTTATGCCTAAAGAAGTGAGGTTTATTCAGTATATGAACTGGGCTGTTTTTGCCTTTTGTAATTGAGATGGATGTTTATTCATTCTCTAAAGAAAGTGATTGCGAGACTGATTGACATCCGAGTTCCCCCAACTGGATTCGAAACTATACTTTCTTTCCCCGATTGTTCAAAAGGTGGTTTGCACTATCCATCAGATAAATCTCTATCCAGTGGATAAGGATTAGAGAAACCAATTGCACTATCCAGTGGATAGAGATTTATGCAGTGGATAACGCTATCCATCTTTTGAACAACTGGGGTCTGGTTGCTTATTCATGATATCCTCCACCACTGAGCTATAGGAGACTCGAGGGATCTAACGTCAATAAACTTCTGTCTAAACTAGGTTCAAGTGAAGGATCAATTTAGGTTTCAGGGAAACTGCCTACCTACCCCTCCCCTAAACTAACATTAACACTTAGTTCTCACTCAGGGCAAAATGTTGGCTTAGGGGAGGGGTAGGTGGGCAGTTTCTCAGAAACCTAAATTGATCCCAAGTGACAAATATTCTGCGCACTAGAGTGGGCCGTGAATGAAGCCTGCGTGCACGCAGGCTCAAGGGAATGTCATAGATCGCATATTCCCCAGTGTCCCAGTTGTTTGAAGGCCAATTAGCGGGTTCAATTTTAATCCGGGTTTCTTTTGCTTTCCGTCCAAACATTCCAGTCCTAGTAGGACTATTATAGGGAAAAGACGCCTGATCGCAGATTAGGAGCACTGTCTTTGCCCCATATTTACCGTCCTTGCCCCATATTTACTCCTCCGTTTTTACATTTTTGCGACATATTTGCAACGAGCAAATTTGTGCAAATCCTTTTTTTGTCCAGTGCAGGATGTTTGTTACAGCTGAATGGCGTTAGCTGCCCGAGTTTCCTCTTGGCTCAGTGGTATAGCACCTGGACGAGTAACCACAAGGTCATATCGAGGTTCGATTCCTGTTGGGAGATCTCGCATTTTCTTTCCTAGTTGCTTGTATCACGGACGCAACACAGTTAAATTTTCATGTAGACTGACGCCATACTCCATTTTCTAAGTACTTAGAGACAGGTGACGCGCGTCATACTTGCTTCATAGGCAACTTTTTTCAAGTACGTTTAACATAAGATAGACTTAGTATCATTATTTGGCCTTATCATTCATTATATCAGCTTTGTCCTGTTTGTCTATGCGTCTTATTTCTTGTTAAGGTAATGTTGTCATTTTTCGTTCGTTCCCGCTCAGTCAGTCTGTCTCTTTTTTTCAAAGTCTTCCTTCAATGATCACCTAACAAACTCTTTCCAAATTCCAGTTCGATCAGGAATCGGGTAGACGAAGAAGCACTTTGTGGATGTGCTACCTCCAAATCATTATTATTATTATTATTATTATTATTATTGTTATTATTATTATTATTATTATTATTATTATTATTATTATTATTAAAAACATTGTATGGTGAAAATACTTTAAATGAACAATGAAACAATTGATTGAACTCGGTTTCCATATGATATAAAAAATCATGCAGGTCTCATAGGCGGGCTGTCCAGTCCTCACTCTTCATATCATACTCAGCCTCATTCAATAGTTATTTTCAGAAAATTAAAGCAGAGGAAAAGTGCAATCAATAGTTTGATTAATATATTTCCCTTAACTTGAAATAATGAATATGTGAGCCTGCGGATAAGGAAATAACTGCAAAGAAGATCAGTCCTCAGAGTTAAAGACGCAACTTATGCAGTTACAGGGTTTGAATCCCTGAATTTTTTCAGGCTTTCTTTTCGCAAGTGCATAAGTTGATTATATTCCTTACATTTATCTTTATGTTCTTTCTTTTAAAAGATTTGCCTGTTTCTCGGTGTTTCTGAGTATGAACGGATGTTTTTCCTTGGATGTTATCCAGGAAGCAATATCTTTTTGCGTATTCCTCTATTTCAATGTTCCGTTCGTTTTTGTTATTTCATGCAGGGAGTCCCTTTTGATGTAGATTTGAATCCAGCCTTGAATGATAATGTAAACAGTGAAAAGCTTCACCTTCAGCATGTTCTTACGCAAATTTTTCATTGTTAGTCTTTACAGAGTGTTTCACTTAACGTCACCTTCGCCATATTGGTGTTTCAAAACAATAAAACGGCGGCCATGTTGGTGTTCCATACCAATCCTGTGGCAGTGTTTCAATTAAATTGCATAGCTGCTGACCACATGGTTGAAAACACGTGGATAGGACGACCCACTTTCTATGAATTATTAAACATCGTATGGTCTGAAATGAGAAACCAAAAAAGTTCAAGGTAACAAGCCCATTGTTTTTTTTCTCAGTGATTCACTTTACTTTGCACAGGGGCACCCAACGACGGTTTCTTCCTAAATGCATTGCTTTCCAGAGCACTCTTAGATCTCTAGAAATGCATTCTAAGCGGCGCTATAAAATTTGTATCTGTTCGGTCATCCTAGGAAAGCTTGAGGCTTTTCGAAACTACAAAAGCTTCAGTGTTATTTTTCCGAAAAGTTAAGATGCAATTGAACGTTTTACGAAAATGAGAATTTTTCTTATTCCTCACTCCATCATATTTTTGAATCCGAAAATTTTGGTTTCTTTTTTCCACGAAAATCAGCCTAACGTGGGGAGTAAAATGTGAAAAATTAAACTTCAGAAAATCGTAGGGAGTTCTTAGATAAGCTTCGAAAATTGTACCAGAATGGAACGCTCATCCAGAAATTTTTAGCCATGTTTGAGCAATAGAAAATTCTAGGCAATATTTGCTTGTCCGAACAGATATTTTACTGAAAACAGTCGTTGGGTGCCCCTGTTTGCAATCAAGAAGCTTAAATTTTAAACAAAACCATTTCAAAAACAGTGAAGGGTTTTTCAAAAACGATGGTTACTTTCACCTTAACAATTCATTTATCCACAATCGTAAGAAATATTTGCACTTGATCGTCACACTTCTGGTGCCATTACGTCTTTTGTTTGACGGCCGGGCTTCACTCGCCGAACCTAATGATGATGATGGACAACTGAATCTGTTGTTCTTGCTCATTAGCATTAAGTTTAGCTCATGCTTGTGAAGTAGGGTGTTTGACCCGAGCGTTTGTTGTATACTATTAACATCTAAGAGAGCTTAAGAGGGGAAAATACATGTTTTAATCCATCATTCGATTGGAACACGACTCGCCATTAACTTTCAAGTATCATTATCGGTGATATCAGCCAAAACACTTGACGGTTACAAATCATCGCTCAAAGAGTTATATCGGAGCATCGTTACGCCTCATCACCTGGTCTTCAATGTACGTTTTGAATACATGCATATTTTACTTGACTCATGAAACAGATACTAACAACTACTGCAAAATAGCTACAAGTAAACAAAAGAAGACAATAGAATTAGTGCATAATAATGCGTAGTATTCTACTACCTATTTCACGAGTTAAGTAAAATTTACATTGCTTTTGTCGTTTATGACTTCAAGAAATGAGCGATACAGCTAGATCGTTTAGTCCCATGCCTGAGAAGCTTGAAAAATTTCTGGATGGCTATCAAGAGTCGAAGGTGTTATTTGCTGCTTGTGATTTTGGGATCTTCGACATACTTCGCAACTCATCCGTACCGCAATCGGCTGCAGACATAACCAAGATGCTGTCCTCTAATCTAGATGCCACAACACGACTCTTGGATACCCTTGTTGCTTTGGAGTTGTTAGAAAAAACAAAACAGGAGGACGAGTGGCTTTACAACAACACTGAAGAGGCCTCCAAGTTTTTGACAACTTCTAGTCCTGATTCTCAATTGGCCATCGTAAGTCTGCACAACAAGGTAGGATACCCTCAACAAGGCAACTTGGAAAGTGCAGTCATCGAGGGACGCGTTCAGTGGATGAGGACATTTGGAAAGTCATCAGAAGACGTTTTTCGTGATGCTTTGTACAGCAATGAAGAGAGCGTCCTGCAGTTCACTCGAACCATGCATAACATGGTCTTCTCTGCAAGCTATGCATTGGCTAAAGTCATTAACTTAACCTCCTTCAGAAACTGCTGTGATTTAGGAGGTAAGTTTTGTGCATTTGTCCATTCTAGGCCTTGCATTTTACTGCGACGTTCGGAAGGACTTTTTAGCGAAAAGGTTAGCATCAGAAGAATCCTCGAAATGTGCGTTAAACTACTCCTTTGAAGCACAAAGAGAAAGTCAAAAATGTATTCTCCAAGCTGTGGATCCCGGATTCCACGCCACGGATTCCGGATTTCAGACACTGGATTCCAGTCTTTGTCAGTGGAACTCCAATCGTTAGTGAAATTCCGGATTCTTTGAGCTGTATTTCGGTTTTCATAGCCCAGGATTCTGGATTCCGCGAGAAAACTTTTCCCAGATACCGGATTCTAAAAGCAAATTTCCCGGCATCCGGATTCCCTTGCATGAGGCGAACTGTGTCTCATGTTTGAAATATATCTATAGCGCTGAAATACAGCTTGAGCTGGGTCCTATTCAGACTGGCCTCCATTCAAATTTTTGACGAGTAACCCCACCTTTTCACATGGCAGTCACCCCATGTCTGTTAAACTTCAAAGTTTCGACATCGCCTGCGATCAGGGTCTCCGTGTATCTCTATTATGTCTTAAAAAATGTCTTATCGCAGTTCACTTCCTTCTGTCAGTCCCCGGCCGTTCTTAGCTAAACCATTTTCTCGTGCTAGTCAGCAGCCCATAACACGGAGCGAGCAACTCCCTTGTGCCTATACAACGGCGTTTTCACGGACCAGTTTATTTTTAGAACGATTTTCCAGCAAATTTTAAATATCCTGTGCTAGGATTGTGACGAAAAGGAAGACCAAGCCACTCCGGGATTTTCATCAATACAAGCTCTTCCCAGGTCTTCCGCTATGAATCTGAGGTCAATTTAATAAAACTTTTACCAGTGTAATTTTCAAGTGTAGCTATTGTTTTCAGACTCCAAAACAATAGCTACACTTGTAAATTACACTTGTAAATTACACTTGTAAAAGTTTTATTAAACTGACCCCGGATTTTCAACAAGAACACACCAAGCCTCTCTCGCACAACACAAATTTAATTATAATTTCGGTCTGTACGATGAACGTAATAGCTATCGTCTAGCGCTCCATCAACTGTGCCTCGCTAATATCACCCACAATTAGCCCAGAGGCAGATGACATGTGGTTTAACTGATATCTGAATCTTTTGGTCAAAATTACGAGACGTGACACGGCTTTAAAATGGAGATGAATAATGGATGGTTGACAAATGCCCAAATATTTGCCCACTAACTGCGTGTCGGTCCAACATCCCATTAAGATCCATTCATCTGCTTCCAAATTTTTTACTGGTAAAAAAACAATGGTTTTGGTTTAAGATTTATAACATAAATAATGTAGGTAATACGATGTACTCACGTGGGAATACTGAAATAATGTTGTTGTTGTTGTTTATTTCTTTTTTTTTTTGGACACATCCAGGAGGAGTAGGAACTCTTGCTTATGCTTTGTGTCAGTACAATCCTCAGATGAAGATCACAGTGGGTGACCTGCAGCCTGTTGTCAGCTTAGCTCATCACTTCCGACCATCAGTAGAAGATTGTCCCAATCAAGTTAACGTCTCTTTCACTATAGCTGATTTCTTTAAGCCCGAAACGCTACCCAAGGCTGATTTGTATGTGTTATCTCGGATCCTCCATGATTGGTCAGAGGAAAAAATTGATTTGATTCTTTCAAATGTGTTCCATTGTTTACCATCAGGTAAGAAAAAAAAAATAACCACCCAATGTACCCAGGCCATGATTATTCTTGGTACTGAGTTGCAGTCCATATAATTAATTAATTATTAGTGAAAGTTATGACCAATAGGGCGATACTCACGCTGACGTCACCTATTGACGAGTGTGCCTATCAGAAGCGCATTGGTTCTTGTAAGAAAAAATTCTTTTGTTTCACTCGTTACTCGTATGCATGCTTACCGCCGCAACTCCCAATATAAATCAATTTGATGCAAACTTCACTAAGCTTATTAGCATTCATAACTTCGCAACAGATGCGTCTCTAACGCTTAATTCACTTGCCTGAGAAAACAGGCGACATTTGGCGACACTACCGACCACTGGTTTCAGAAATTCCATACTGATGACGCGTCAGTAGCCAGATCAGGGCAGTGCTTCTGTTTGATCATGCCGCGTGGGGAATTTGACTCAACCAATCAGAAGCACTGCGCAGATCTGGCTAGTGACGCGTCATCAGTATGGAATTTCTGCGCTCGTTTCTCAGACGTCATTTGGTGGGGAAACCAGTGGTAGCGTCGCCAAATGTCGGCTGTTTTCTCAGGCTATTAATTCACAAGTACGATGAAATGTTTGTGCCATTGTAAATGCCCATACATACAGATCTCGTACCTGACTTTGAAAACGGATTATCCGTCTCTAGTGTGAAAACAACCATTTTATCCAAAATAAATTACTATAGTCACATGTATTTTGCGGACTGCAATTACTTTGTTCGTTCGACAGTTGTTTGGATAAATTATCTCCACTAAATATAATTACAGTACAATTGTGCACTTAGCTATATGGATTAGTTAAAAAACTTCACTAGCTACTTTATGGGTATGCCACTACGAGTAAAGTAAAATAATAGTCGTAAGAGATAAAATATAAAATAACACATTATAAAAATTAATCATCTCATTGTGTTTGAAATTAGTTTTGTTCAGTTTTATGTATCAGAAAGCTATCGAGACCAAAGTTTAACTTTTAGTTTCACGTGTGTGTGGCAGCTTCATCAGTTGAAAACTTCCGTTTGGCCGCGGGCTAGAACTGATTCGTTGTCGTAAAGCTTCTCAAATTATACGTTATATACTTTTTTGTCTTTAAAGGCGGTGGACTTCTCATTTGCGAAAAGTTTTTGGATGAAGATAAAAAAGGCCCCAAGCGTATTCTTTTGCAGTCGCTAATTATGCTACTTTCCACAGGAGGAAAGGAAAGAACTGCATCTGAATACAAACAAATCCTTTACAAGCATGGATTTATCGATATTCAAGTGACTCTAGTCGAGGACTCTCCTTTGATCGATGCTATTCTGTGTAGAAAGAAGTAGAGTTAAGAGGCACCTTTCAGGGAATGAAGAGGAATGATCATCATTATAGGAATAACGGAAAATTTCGGGCTGGAATGATGGAATAACAACAAGAATTTTCGAATGAATAATGAACACTCCATTATTCCTCTTCACCCCCTGAAACTTTCTTCATTCAGTCTCGTAGTTTTGAATTAAAATCACCGTTAATACTTTTAACGGTTGATTCTAAATCGGTTAAATCCTCGCTTGAATACATTAAATTATCTTAAGCCATGTCCACACGAATCCGGACATGTCTGCAACCGCATAATTTTTATCCCGATTGTGTGGACGGAGCCTTCAACTGCTCTGGAGATTGGGGCGGTTTCAAAACAATGCGGTATCGGTCAGCGGATTCACTGGCAAGTTCGTTTGGACGGACTGGGCTGATTCGTGTCAAAAGAGTGCGGTTACAAAAATTTCCGAATTCGGTGGACGTAGCTTTAGATAAGCGATGCAGCTGGAATTCAATAGTATATTTAGTGTATGTTGCTTGTTGCAGTCAATATAATCTGACATGCATTGCCGTTGTTCTGTTAGTAGTAATAAGCGATGCAATGAATAAAAGACATGCTGCCAATTGCTATAAATGTTCATTCTCTCTGTGTTATTTATAGTAATGTGCCTGTAAATTTTGAGCAAAAACCATTTCATAAAAGTTGAAGGGGTTTCTTAAAAACGATATTCTATACAGGTAAACTTTCACCTTATGTACTCATTCATCCACAAACGACAGAAATACAAATAATACATCCACAACTGAGGCTTGACGCTGGATTTAAAATCATGATGACTTCAACATTCCTATCTACTATAAATTTGAGGCCGTAATACGCAATAATTTGTAAAGAGGACAAAGGTAGCCCCGATCCGTCTTTACCTTTAATTTGCTTAATACTTAAATCTGAGTACGAATGGGCAACTTCGCAGCCTAGATGAAAAGAGTTACAACTACCAATTCGAAAGAGACGCTCATTGGACGTTATTAGTCCCCGGGGTATCTGGTCGGTTCGCCGGATAGCAGTTCGCCTTGACTAAGTCGATTCGCCCGAAGCGTATTTGTAAAAGGGAATAAGCAAGGAAAGACAGTGACTGCACATGTGGAAACCAAGGGTCACTAAAATAGAGCGATTTTCGTATGGCCTTGAAAAATGGTCTCGGTAAGTGTTATTTGTTTTATCAGCCAATGGATAAAAAGAACCAAACATGGACTCTTCGTTTTCGCGCCAAAGAAAACCCTAATATGGAGAGGGTACTGCTCGATTGGCCAACCCCGTTGCAGTATGGCGTCAAAGCGATTTCTAGAAAGTTCTTCGGGAATGAAGGTTTTTCAGCCGAGCCTTCGCTTAACCAACCAAAAGCCAGGTGCATTTGTATCCGTTCGATAAACCAATCAAATCGCTCTATTTCCCTTCGTTTGTTGTTTCTGTTTTGTTCGCGCGTTTTCGTTTCAAGGTCATACGAAAATCGCTCTAACATCTCGAAAGGTATTTTCACCATGTTGTAGGGTGTTGTATGTCATTGGTCGAATCGACTGACGTCCTGGCGAATGCCATTGGGCGAATCGACTTTCGGGCAAACCGACGGCAATTCGTCCCCGGCGTATTGGTCTCTCTCTCATGAATGGAGTTACTGTTACAGGCCACAGTAATCGGCACCACGCGCGCTTTTGCTGTGAGCCTGCAAAGAATTAGCGAACCTATTAAGTAAAAAAATAAATATTAAGTAAATAAAGGTCAACAGGCTGCCAATGGATACATGTATTACATGAATTCCTGAGACAATGAAACTACACATTAACCAAGTTTATTCCTGTCTGTAGATTTCACTCCGGCATCTCTTTTTTAACGTGAGTCATGAGTTCAGAAAGACTATACAAATCATTTTGCCTATCATGTTGCTTTTTTGAGCAAAATGTACTCTTATGTCTCTGAAGATATGCTGCTTGACTAAATGTCTTGTGACAGACATCACAGACAGTTGGCTTTTTATCTTCATCGTAACATTTCTTGCACGTGAAACGTTTGTCTACCAGCCGCTTCCTTTCTTGTCTGTTAAGTTCTTTGTAACTGAAGCTTCTGCCACACTCATCGCATGTTACAATCGTCATCTCCTTTGCATGCGCATTCTGATGAGTCCGTAAAGTCGAAGCCTGACGAAAATTCTTACCGCACTGATCACATGTAAACGGTCTCTCTCCAGTATGCCTTCTTATATGAATCTGGAGAACCTCTAATCGACCAAAATTCCTTCCACAGTAGCTGCATTCAAACGGTCTGTCCCCAGCATGCGCTCTCTTATGTCTGTACAGAGCTGACGCTTGACTAAAACACTTCCCACACTCGTCACATTCAATACGTGCTTCTTCACCTGAATGAACTTTTAAATGTCTCTTAAGATTCGCCGGGTGAATGTAACTCTTCCCACATTGATCGCAAATGTTCTTCTCCTTTTTCTCAGTTGTATGTGCCCTAATCTTGTGCCTTTTAAGACTCCATGACTGACCAAACTTCTGACCACACTGATCGCATGTATAAGGCTTCTCACCTGTATGAGCTCTGATGTGCTTCTGTAAAATTTCTGCTCGATTAAATCTTCTGCCACACTGATTACAAACATAGGGTTTTTCTCCTGTGTGAATTTTCTCATGTCTGCTGAGCAGCCCAGATTTGTTAAAACACTTATCACACTGTTTACATTTGTAGATCTTTAGTTTATGCTGGAAGGAGTTCTCACTGCTCTCATTCATTCTGTCTGTAAGCCTCAAATCTTTGTTGATCCTTAATATAAGAAGAAAAAAAATGTAATACTATATAAACTAAGCGATGATAACTGCTTGAATGATAAAATACAATTTCCATAATGATGCCCAAATCAGTCTTTTTCAAAACATTGTATCAGTGCTTATCTGACAGGATGGTATTTTAGAAACAAAACAAAAAAAAGGAACCATATTTTCTAAAAGTTTCCACAATGTATACAACAGCAAAATCTGCTCAGAAGGTATGAACTCTAGATCTATGATCTGTTAAACAAGGTTTAAGAAACTAGAATTTTAACCACACTTCAGACATCACATAGCCAAGGAAACCTGGGATATTTTAGTGGTCTACAATTGTTACAAACTTGCCTACAGAAAATGAACCAGTTTAAAAGAGTTTTCTAAAAACTTTGTGATTTGAAGCTTCTAATTCAGTTCATGTCTGCTACGCATATTATGCTGCATATTTTTCCACTTCAGTTTTATAGATTTTAGTAGGTGAACTATCCCAGTGAGTCAAAAACTGCTACCATAAACAATGGCAGGAGCTTAGCCCCTTGCCAGTCCAGTCCGAGTATCACACTTAATCCTTCTGTATTTGGATTGGTTATATGTTTGATCAGCATTTCAGGGGCAGTAGAACATTTTTCAAGTGGGGAGGTTGAGACAACTTGTCTCTTAGTAAGTCATTTTTTGGAAAAAGTAATCAGAGGAGCATTAAACCACCCCCCCCCCCCCCCCCCCCCTCCCATAATAGGATTTGTATGGGAAATTGTCGTAAGATTGATAAAAAGGTTAAAATGTACACAAACAGCTATTAAAGTATACATACCTCATAAAGAGTTGTGTCTGAGTTGTTTTCTTATTCTTTCCAGCCCTATGAATGCCATTTTAGTAAGTTTTAATGTTTTGGTTTCTCAACTACTAAGAAGAAGGCAAGGAAAAAGGGTTAGGGTTCCTTTTCAAGAAAGGAAAATCTTTGGTCTATGCTCAAGTGAAGGTTTGGAGCGATTGGAGTGGAAGAAAAGTAATTTTTGTAGCTTTTTCTTCGCGTAGTGTAGGACAGCCGAGTTTTCCCTTGTCTTCTTCTTAGTAGTTGAGAAACCAAAACATTAAAACTTGCTATTAAAAAATGGTGTTCATAGGGCTGGAAACAGTAAGAAAACAACACAGACACAACTCTTGTTGAAGTATGTATGCTTTGATAGCTGTTTATGTACATTTTAACTGTTTTATCGATCTTACGATAAATTCCCACACAAATCCTTATAATAATATTTGGCTTCCAGTAGGTTGTTGTGAGTCCGGGTGCCCTGTGGTCCTGTGGTATCACTTGAAGCATATTTTTTTAATAGAGACGTCGACTCAGGCTTGAGTTAAACATGTCCTCTTAACCCGATACGTACCAGTCGGTAAGACGGTAAAGTGTCTTAAAATGATATTTAAGGGCTTAATTTTTTAACGGATCGGAAAGTGCATGCCTTTACAGTCATGTTCACAAGCATAAGTTCAACTGATCTTGAAAAACTGATGAAGAAAAGGAGATTAAACTCGTTCAAACGATTATTAATGTGGGCCTAACATTAGCTTACTGTACAAGCTGTCAGTTTCGTTACCTTACGTTACAAGCAGGCCTGAGTTACAAGCGAAGAAACTTCAAATTATCGTCCAAAGTATTGTGAAACCAAGACGCCAATCTCTGGAATGTATGTTGTATATGGTTAATGAAATGCACCATGAGTTAAACATCTGACCCAGGGGCGCGCGGCAGAAACGTTCGCCTCGAAAGTTTTTAAGACTTTAAACAAAGTCAGCTGAATTATATGAAAGAAGATCATCGCATTTTGACACAGTCTTTCGCAGTTGCGAAAGAAAGCCAGAAAAAATTCAGGCTTGTACGGGATTCGAACCCTTGACCTCCTGGGTGCCAGAGACTTTTCTTAGAGCGGTTTCCGTCCGGTTCGTGGCTTCGGCCTTCGGCCAACACCGAAAATTCCCGCCGCGCGCGAGAAAAACTTCTGGTACCCGGTAAACGCTAGACCCAGGGTACTGCAATACGAGGAATTGAGTTCAATGACTTCAAAGATGCCACGTAGGAAAAACGAATATGCCGCAGAACGTAGGACGGAGAACGTTCTGCGCATATTCGTTTGCATTCTCGTTTTGTCCAAGTAGTACATGAAAGAGGACCTGGTCAAATTTCTTTACTAATAAAGCAGGTGGTACCACTTGGGGATGTGAATAGAGAAATGAAGAATGCAGGAGAAAAAAAAAAACGAGCCATTCAGTGAAAGTGGCTTCAAGGTCGTTATCTGGCTGTCTTAGAATGGAATCTTTTAGGGGTCAAATAAAGCTTAAGTCACACCCAGATTGGTGTCCTTTAGGGATTCATTTCAATTTTCTTATGAGTATCTCTACCCTTCTCACAAAGACCACCCCCCTCTCATTCCCCCTGGTTACATATACCTCTCCCAAGAGATAATGTGATCATGAGCATGTGGGGAGGGAGGAAGTACGACTCCCCTAAAATGCCCGCGTGGAAGGCTCGATCAGAGGACATAGGATTACTGTCAGTGACTGAAGAAGACCAACAAATTCAGATGAAATATTTGAACTCAATGCTCTCAATGCTTAAACATTGAATCAGAAAAATGGCTAGACAAGTTTATAAAAATTTGTTAACTTATTTCTCTGAAAATATCTTATTACTCCGATACTTTCTTACTCTGTTGCCTTGGTGACTGTAATCTTATAACTGAAAAGATAGACTTGCCCTTTCTTTCTTCTAAATTATGAAAAAATATATTTATGACTTTAATGGCTATAAAACAAGTTTGTATCAGTATCTCTGACAGGGATAATAAAATCTGTTTTATTTGAAATGCTAATAATACCTAAATTTATAGCCAGAATTATAAGCAAGCATAACAAAATTCACCACAAGTCAACTTTTTTTTAGTGATAAGGTCATGAGAACCCAACCCAAACCAGCCTGAGAAAACAGCCGACAATTGGCGACATAATTTACCACTGGTTTCCCCGCCAAATGACATCTGAGAAATGAGTACGGAAATTCGATCCATACTGATGACGCATCACTACCCAGATCTGGGTAGTGCTTCTGATGGGTTGAATCAAATTTCCCATGTGGCACGGCCAATCAGAAGCACTATCCAGATCTGGGTAGTGATGCATCATCAGTATGGAATTTCAGCACTCGTTTCTCAGCAATATTTGGCGAGAAAACCAGCGGTAGTGTCGTCAGCTGTTATCTCAGGCTACAACCCGAACAGAATTTAGGATGTCCAAAAAAGACACATGTAAACACTGTGATCAGATTTTAATTTTTCAATGCCACAATACCATATATTACTAATAGGTACAAAAACACATTGTGTCTGTCCTTACAGGTGCAGACACGCCTTAGGCACTTAAGCTGGTCGAGATTTACACCAAATCTGATATTACAAGCACCCTTAGAAAATTCAGATGCTTGAGTCGTTATTTTATTAAAAATATAAATTATAGATGTGAAGCAACAGAATTTGGTTCAGTTTCAATCGTCTTCAACTTCATCTCTCTTTTGTTTATATTTATTTAACATATCCACACTTTCTTTCACAGCCTCTATCTCTTTATACTTGATGTATCTGCATACCTCCCTGTAAAGAGAGAATATAAGATTCACAATTTTACTATTAAGTGAAAGGTGTTGAATAGGTATTATAAAATAAAATATATGGAGCTTTTTCAATAAAGTGTATCCACTTGAGCAAGGTCATACTAGATAACTTTATCAAGTAACTGCATGATTTATATGAACCAAACTGAATTATTATATGAAACAAAAATTCCAGCAGAAGATCTTTTAGGATACTAGAAAATAAAAATAAATACGTTTTAGTTGCAAAAATTTTGGCATAAAGCTGTCTGATTATAATTATTTGAATGCAGATTTTTTTTCAAACCCTACAGACCAAGCCACTCTAAAGCTTCTAGTCCAGAAACATACCCTGTTCAAGATTGATAAATTTAACACCCTGTTTAAGGGAGAGACCCCCAAAAAAGTAACCTATGGGAGGAAATTACTGGTTTAGGCAAAATAAGAAAGCATAACCCTTGAGGGTTTGATTATGTCAATTCCTGTGTTTTGCTCCTGCACTGCTTGAGACATACACTCAGTTCCTTTAGATGCTTAACTCTGTAATGAACAAAAGGCAATTTACCAACTTCCAAATGAAATTAGTGTAAAAGAACCAACTGCATAGCGGCATGACCTCAAAACATGCACTGCAAAGAACAAGGCATATATAAGACCTGGTTCTGAAGAACAGAACTTTTTTCCAACAGACAAAAACTCTCCACTAAAATGCACTTAGATTTAGCCAGAGCTAAAAGTAAAGCTCCTTCTAAGGCATTTTAAATTTACCTCAGTTAATGGACTTTAAACCACTGCAATAAGAAATCCAAAAATTCATAATTACTTTAGGAGAGAAACATACAACTGAAAAACATAAACTTTAGCCTGTGATCAATTAAGAGCTAATAATTGGTCACGTGACCTCGATGAGTGGGCACCTGAGCAAGCGATACAGTCCTGCGAGTCTATCCATATATGGATGTCCAGGGCTGTGCTCTAGCAGAGCCCGGTGGCCCCTGGCGCCTAACTTTTGACCTCGGGCGACTAGAAAATCTCAGATTTTTCATACAAATCATATGCTGGGCACCCTAGGTTTTACAGTTTCAGAGCACTGGACTCCCTTCAATTTTCCTTAGAGCACAGCCTTGGATGTCTATTATCAAGTTTAATACAGGTTACAGGCTCCCACACTACACTAGCCAGAAAGTTTGACCTTTTACATTGGTTACCCTGTGCTACGGACAGACGGACATACAGTCATGTGATTACCCAAATTTCTCCAATGGTTTGATTACAACATTTTCTTAGGTATGGGGCTTTCCCTGGGGGCATGCTCCCTGGGGCAAATTTCACATTTAAGTCTTCTGAAATGGCTATGAATGCATCTAAAACTGCCGATAGTAATATAAATTTGTAATTATTACATTGGCATTTAAAAACAACAAGTTACAACCTGGCTCCCATGTTAGACCGAAATTTAAATGAATAGACTTTGAAGCTAAACCCAACACACACAATGGTTGAGTGTCACCTGGATATTTTTAAGTCGGATTCTCTGAATGTGGCCAAAGTTGCCTTTCTGATTGTCATTAAGAGCTACAAACTCATTGGTAACAACTAACAGACAAAGTTTGTCTGTTCTCTGTTTGTGGGTCAGTCAGATTACTAAACCTTGTTTGTGTGATAAGTGACAGATCTGGGTAACCAAAGTAAAAAAAAAAAAAATTTACCATTTGGAAAAGTGGGGGTGCGGGCGGACCCCGACAGGCCACCTCCTGTGCGGTCCCTGATGTATACTTCACCCCACGTAAGAGAATCCAGGAAATTTTTGCTAGTGGAACTCTAAAATCCTGGCCTTTAGGATCGGGAACACAGCTCGAGGAATCTAGAATCCCACTAACCACTGGAAACCACAATCCAAGTTCCACTGCAAAGAATGGAGTATAGTACCTGGAATCCGGAACCCACGGCGTGGAATCCAGAATCCGAGACTGACTAGGATATTTCAATACGCTCTTCTCACGTATGGCAATATGCCCGTCTAACCTCGTTTTTGAGTAAAAAGTCCTTTGAAATGCTAATCAGACGACGTTTTCGTATTTGAATTTCAAAAGAATTTTTACCCGTAAACGAGGTTAGACGGGCATATTACCATACGTGAGAAGAGCGTATTCCATGGGGCGAATGACATAAAAATTTCCACAACAATCAATGCCACCATGCATCCGATCCCCTAACTCTCCTTACTGTATAAAAGTTGAAACATGATCAAACCTCCAGCAGAAATAAAAGAACTTTTAGTTTTACTCACTTGATTTAATAAAATAACCAACGCCAACCACTGAACCGCCGAGAATTCCATACATCAAAGATTCACGAACACATGGCGTTTTCTGGATAAACTTCTTCACATTCCAACTATACTACGTAACGAAAAAAGTTATCAATAAATCTTTAGTCAAATGTAACAGCATTTAATCAGTGTCCTCTGGGAAGCAAGTAGTGCAAACCTGTTTTTTGTCATCCGAATTGACGACGTCGTCCGCCATTTTGGCTTTTGTGAAATGCTTATGTAATGTTTTTGGTCAGCAGTCATTACCATGAGGAATATTGCCATCCATGAAAATTTGACAGTTCAGTTGTTATCACTCCTAACAATCAAATTATCTCAAGATAGTCCGTAGAATAAGGGAAAATGTCGTCTTTCCCAGTTGTGTTAAATGTATACGATATGGTAAGAAAGAATCGTTTTTTATTATTAAATAGGCCTCGACAGTTATGTTTAAAATGGAAGGAGGAAGAGGAAGTTGTTGTAAATTACAAGCCAGCTTTAAAATATTTACCCGCAATTTACAGTCTTTATTATTTAAATCTTTCAGTATTGGATAAATCACTACACCTTTCCTGTCGGTCTTGGGGTTTTTCATTCAGGAGTAGTTGTTCATGGGAAAGGTTAGTTGAAGTCTTACAAATAACCTCAACTGGATAGGTATGTATGTCATGTGTGACATTGTTCATGAACAGCTGCTGGCATGGTGCATTCCGGCATGGTACATTGTAATTGTGTATATTATTGTGATTATTGTTTTTAAAAAACTTCCTTTGTTCTTTAATAGTCTTAATTTCGAAAATATGAGTTATGCTTTGTTCTAGCTTGTGGTGCAAAAGGTTTTACGTTCAACACCGTTCGGTAATTCCGATCCCATTTTTTAATACAGATAAAACAGTAGGTGGATCGATCATATATATTTTTTTATTTTTGAGCTGGTGAAATTTATCGGCCTAAGCTTTGCTCTAGCTGGTCTTGTGAACGATTTTTTCCAAATATAGTTCTGTTTTCTAAGCTTTTGTGGCTTTTATTAAGTGTAATTATTCTAAGGAAACCTTTGTTTTTGTCTGTATAAATATTGTGGTATTCTTCTCAGAATTAAGCAGAGATGCTGTAAAACATTAAATGAGAGGGAGAGCTATTATATTAAGCAAGGATGTAGTCTTAGAGAATAGCAATAATAATTCTAGGGACCCCAGTAGCACAGTTTTAAACAAAGATCGACTGAAATCTAATGCAATGACTTTATAACTTGCACTCTTAGCTTCACAGCTCAGGGTCATGTGAGAGACCATCTGTCAAAAATGTGGTCTATAACCCTCAAAATATCAGAATTGAAAAGGGCAATACAAAACGTACAGTGCGTCAGACAATTCTCAGATTTCAAACTGAAAACAGTGCCATTTTATTGTGCTTTGAGTATTAAGAAAAAGTGAAGAATATGCTCCAAGTTGCAAAATCTCTGATCTGCATGTCATAATTAATGGCCACCCTAGCATTTTTTTCATAAAGTCACTTACAACTTTGCAAACATTAAAATAACTTGCATCACCACTAAATAAAATTTGGCTTTTCTGCTAATTATCTCATGCTTACTCCTTCTCTCAGGTATTGTTGAAGTTGTGTCCACCATTGGCTGGTCATGTGCTATAAAACTATAAAGGTTCCATTGAAAATCCAGAATGTAGTAACTTTCAGTGTTTATTCCCCAATACATGCAATCAGTAGGTGGGGAAATGAACACCTAGGAAGTTTTTTTGGTTCTATTTTCCTTTTGAAAATAAACAGGGGTTTTGCTTATTAGTCTCAACATCCTCTCACAAGCAACCACTTATCCAAATACCAGAATTGATGTTATCCAAGTCAAAGCACTTAAAATAGTTAAAATCACGGCAAATCTTGACATTTTGGGCAGTTTGCCTACTAGAAGTTTAAACTGAGAGTGTAGTTATGTCTTCCTAATACCCATATTGGCTTGAAGGACGGACTGTAAACCTCATATAAACCTGGACTACTTGCTTAGCTAGCCTCAGTTTAAGCCATTGATTATTTTGCAGACATTGCTTGACCATTGTTTTTGTTCTGCAGAGTATGCATTTGGTGGTCATTCTTATAACTGGTCAGGGATATTTGACATGACACCAAAAGCTGTTGACACACTGGGAGAGGATTTCAAATTTAGGTTTGTTAAGACCCATCACAACCAGTCTACACTTTTGGTATTTCTCTCCTCCTAAACATCTATAATATGCAGACATCATGCAGTCCTCCATGAAAAGAACATGATCTAAAATTTGAGGCTACCATTGATCAGTCATTTCCTTTGACTCCCAAGGCAGATATCTTAATTAAGGCTTCATGACAGTGAGCAAAACTTTTTTGGAAATTTTTTTAGGATTGTAGGATTAGATGGAAGGAAGTACTTGCAGATGGAACCAGATTTTCATGGACTAATTTTTGGGTCAAACTTCACATGGCTTTTTTGCCTGTTTCTCTGGCCTTCTTGATTAAATCATGCTCATTTTGGTATGGTTTGAAAGATCCCTTCCCAATGCACAAGTTAGGTATTGACAGTGTTGTCCTTCACCAAAAAGGGACATGTAAGGAGATCCCCACATGCAGTGATCAGCAATTCAGGGACGAATGGGTCAATGTGTTTATCAGTTTTAGCAGAAACTGGACTGAGTTTATTCATTTATTATCAAAATAGGGAAACCATTACAATTGGAACAACAAGCCTTTTACCCAAAGAAGTGGAAGATCTTGTGAGAAGTATGGGATTAGATTATACAGGATGCTCTTATCATCTAATTGACAGGTATATTTTACATGTACAGTTGAACCCCGATTACTCCAAACTTTAAGGGAAATCAAAAAAATTTCAAGTGATTGGGAGTTTGATCAACAAATAACCAGAAGAAAGGAAATAGAATGGAGGAGGAATGCAAGTATCATGCACACTTCACTACAGGGGCAGCAAGAAAAATATTGCTGTTGTGATTTCAAAAGGAATTAAAAAAACAAAGCTTGATTAATCGGTAAAGAACTAAACATTGTATTAAATTGGACTAAGAAAAAAGTAAAGACAAAGAATACATGGTTGTTTTAAAATAAATTTAATGTATGAACTGGAATACACTGCTTTTTTTGCCTTATCACACACTTAAAACCATGGTTCAAGTACATTATTGAGGGTAAAATTGTATAGATTGAAATGATCTGAAGGGAAACAAAAGTAACTTTGAGTTAGTAGGAGGTTCAAGTTACATAGGGTAAAATTACAGTAAATGTATGAAGGAAATCCAGGGGAAATCAACTTTGATTCAAGTTACTGCGAGGTTCGAGTTCGCAATGGTTTGAGTTTACCGGGAGTCAACTCCCCATTTTAAGTATTTTTAGAAGATGCAAAATAATGCAACCAACTTTTAACATTCTTTGAATAACACATATTTGTTATCCTTTTTAGGAACTGTAACCATTTTACATCAGAACTTTGTCAGGTTAGTAAAATTTTCTTTCCCCCCCCCTCCCCCCTCACCCCACTTAAGCTGTGACAAATCATGTATTCTATCTCTTCTCATTCCTTCCTGTCGTCATAGGTACTTTATAGTGTAGCACTTTTGTACATCAATAAGTCGTTATTGCTAAAATTATTTTCTTTTTTTGGTATTATTTGTAGGTCCTTTGTAACAAGTCAATTCCTGGATGGGTGAACCGACTAGCCTCTGTCAGTTCATATTTACCATTTCTACTTAAATGTCTTCCCAAAGAGTGGATCAGTCCAGAGCCATATCCTCCAAGTAGCCCAGGCTTTGTTTCGCATCCAATCTTTCAAGGTAACAAATACCAAATGATCAAAGTTTACTTTTTTCGGTAAATTATAAGCACAAAAGTCAGATTGCACCCAGATGAACTTTTGACTGATATTGAATTTCCAGGATATTGTAAATTGTAAAATTGTAATAAAAAAAGGTGTAATTTGTTTACCCGTGAAGCACTTAGGAGTTCTTGAGAACTCGTTGAAATGTGTCAGTTCGTTCCAGATTGAATTGGAATTTGAAAGTGTTGGTTTTTTGAGGAGAGGGGAAAACCGGAGTACACAAAGAAAAACATCTCCGAACAAGGGAGAGAACCAGCGACGAACTTAACCCACATATGGCATCGATGCCAGTTATTATAAAACTATGCAAACTGTCTGGATTTATGTGGGAGTCTCCATAGATACAGCACAAATCTCCTGGTCTCCTTCATAAGTCCCCATTAATTTCCAATTATTTTGTCATAACAGTCATGGAAGCAACTGCTGTAGGTACATAGGGCCTTTCCGCACTAGCAGACAAAATCGGAATTGTCTTTGAAACATCTAAACCAAAAATTTTATGGTGACAATTTTTGTCTTAAATAATTAAATTTATCTTCACGGGCTGTTACATCTGCCAGTTCACTTGCATTTGTTTGGAAAGAATAACGGCTTTATAACAAATAATTGACGAGGAAATCACATTTTTGTTTTTTTCAGTTGATTTTGTCCACCATGCAGTTTAATTTTTACCCTCCCATCTTGGACAAAATTTGTAAAATCAGGACAAACCATCTGCATTTGTTAAGCAGTGGTGATGACAGGAAATTTGTATTTTTAATAAACAGCTTTTTCGCTCGTGCGGATAGGCCCATAAAGATACATATAGATTTGTGTGTTTTGGGGGCCAGGGGCCCGTTTCTCGAAAGTCCCGATAATTAACGGGCCCGGTAAGCTGTCTCCGTTTATATTAAAGATTGAGGTTTCAATAGTTTTGCATCGAACATGATAAAACTGTCACTTAATGAAACAAAATGGAGTAGTTTGGTTGCCAGGACCCGCGCTCTTACTCTTTACATTTCGATTTGAATATTATTTTGATTTTGGGCCCGAAAAGTTAACGGGACTTTCGAGAAACGGGCCCCAGGTGTGGTGGGTTGAATGTAATTAATTTCTTAAGGAGGGGGTTACTGCGAAAGGAAAAGTCTCCAGAGCTAGGCATCCCTGATAATATACAATTTCAAAGAACAGGATATTTGACTTCAGACACTGAGACAGAGCTTGTGTTTATAAAGAAAAAACTTTGAATAAAAAACTATGCATCATTCTTAATTAATTGTGAGTGAGCTGATGTCAGGTTTATTAGCAGTTAGTATGTCAGTAGCTGTTTTCATACATGTTTGCTCAAAGAATTATTAGGATTTATATTATTATACTCATTGACAAATTTTGCCATAGACTTCACTGGCTCAGTAGATCAAGAGGATGACAGACAGAGAACCAAACACAGTTGACAAGTAATTGAAGGTGATATAAATCGAACTGCCTCAGAAGGATCATACGTTGTTTGATCAAGTGAGCTCTTACACTGGAACTGCTACACTTATCGCTTCAGAAAAGGCATTAATCCTCATTAATTTTGAAGAAATGAGGAAAGGTCTTAAAAGGTAGTAAAGTAAGATGCAATTAAGAAATGGTACTGATAGAAGCAAAGTTGGTGATCAGTGAATTCAAAAAAAAGTAAAATCATCTAAAATAATATGATTAACAGAATAATATGTACAATGTACAGTCTATACAGGATATTCATTCCTGGTGTGCGTGGAAGAGTTTGAAATATTTCCTGTTGAGTGAGCACTGCACATTTAATTAATTACTTCAAGTTAATAGTACTTTGCAGAGCAATTTAGTGAATTCTACTTTTAATATACTTTTCTTTTAAGAAAGGACATGATATTATAATTTTGGGCCCTATTTTAGTTGGGCTGACACTGTTATTTGTGTCTCTGCTCTTCTGTTAGCCTGAGTCGCAGACGTAATTTAACCCCTGGTTAGTATAACGTCAGCCAAGCAGCACAGAAATCTTTGTTCTGGGCCCCAAACGGATTCAACGAATTGACAGGAATGAATTTCGAATTTCCCTTCATCCTGATTGGCAAATCAACAATGGCTTTTTTAACGGGCCAATCATGGCGCATACTCAAATCCTTGTACACAGGTGAGGAGGGCCCAGAGCAAGGATTTGGGGGCTGATCGCAGACGGACTTAACCAAAGTTTAGTTTTGTCTGCTGCACAGGCTACTTTTCTGTTTGGTGGAGCTCATTATAAATAATTTCAGAAAATACGCTTATTGCACGTAATTCTATTTAGCACAATTGCTATTCAATTCAGTTTCAAAGTTGTTATTTTCCAAAAATTAGATGTAAATCATTGCATCCATTATTTAATATGAAGAAATATCATAATTATTTATTTCAATTTTCAGTGTTAATATTGATTGAGCTATTTCAGTCATAAGCACTTGCTGGCTTACAGAATAATATTTCTATTTCATTTTCAAATTTGTAACTTATATTTAAGGATATATAGAAGATCCTAGTTGCCATATCCCTCCTGACAGAGATTTCACTTTTTTTTTACAAGCCCAAATTTTTCTGACTTTAAACTAGCCTGCGTGGCAGGCATTCGAAAGGGAAGGGGAAGGGAATGAGGGCACGAGACCACATGCTCTTGCGCGCCCAAATTCTCCCTCTTCCTTCCCCTTTTAATGCCTGCCACGCAGGCTAACTTAAACTGAAACAGAGAGATATGACTTCACCAATGTATGGGATGATTAGGTACAAACTGGAAAATCAGGAGTGTGTTGATTATTTTTCCCCAGTGCTTCCAGTCTATGATGGATCCAGGTGATCATTCTCATCATATCAGAGCTCAAATTTGCATGCACTGTTTATTGGATCCGTTAGCAAATTAAACAGTTTTTGTTTAATTTTCCCCCGCACAAATAAAAGAGACGTTTAGAACAGAATCTGATGGTTGGTATTAAAACAGTAATACCCCAGACTCTCTGGGATTTTTTTCAAAATATAAGAAATTCATGCTGCAATATATTTCTTCATCATTGTTTTTTTCACAATGTAATAGTGCTTGCTAGGACCTTTAACCATTAAACCAGAAATCAACACACAAGTTAGCACACTTTATTTTCATCGCAGGATTATTGTTTTACTAGCAACTGTATTCAATCCTTTTCTGTTGTGTTTTGTTTTTCTCATTGTTCAAAGGTTTTCTAATGCTTGAAAGTAAAATTAATGATTGGACAGACAGTTTTAAATTTGGAATTTTATACAGTCTGTGTACAGCTAGCTGCTTCCATTATTTTTGACAAGTGGTAGTTAAATGTCAGGCGCTGTAAATCATTAATCAGTGTACAGTTGTCATGTCTTTTAGTCATTGTAACATTATCACTGTGTAAGTTGCTTGACAGTTTTTTTTTTAATAAAATGGAAATGAATATTCAGCATTCAGTGAGTTGATAAACAGAGGCACAGGTGAATAGAATGATTCCAAAGCTCACAATTCAAGTGCACCTAGCCCTTTGTCCAAGCAAAAACTGTCACCCTGGCTAGTTTCCCCTGCATCTTCTCTTGTGATTTTGGTTCCATTTTTAAAGAAAACCTGTTTTATGAAATGCTTCAAAGTGCAACACCCTCTGAAACAACCATCCCTTGTAATGTTAAGGCCATTGCCATGTATCTACTTTGCAAGACATGTTTAATCTCAGGGGATGTTACAACACTAGACAAAAAATTTTTCATGCAGCTTATAGCGCATTGCAGGGAGACAATTTGGTGGTAAAAATTGCTTATTGCACTTTAGCATAGAAAGCAGAAGCACTCCTCAATTTGCAATATCATCATCAAAGTATCTTTCCTCTTCATCTCTCTCTCTAATTTTCAAGTCATCATACTCATCATTTGTGTCAACAATGCTATAATCAAACTCCTCCTCTTCACCTCGCATAAATTTATCTTGCATGGCACTTAAAAATTCTTCATGCAGCATCAGTTTCTCTTTCTCTGTAGGACAGCCTTTGAGGGGACTCCCTGACTCCACTAAAAGAAAAGAACAATAATATGAGAAGAAATGGCGTAGAATAGGTTTTTTAGACTTAAGTATCTTTGAGAAAAATGAATAACTCAGGAGACATTCTACATTCTCTGCAATAACTAGTAACTAGCCGTATAAAGCTCTGGGCCTTATATGCACTTTTAATCATCCAGCCCAAGAAGATGATCCTGGAAAGCCCAAGATACACCTCCAAAAAAATTCTTTCTTCCTTAAAAAGGTGTGCTATTTTTGACCAGTTGAAACAGCAACAGAAAATACCTGCACGTTGTAAAAGCAAACTGCACGAGGTTTCCTTATGAGTATTTACTGTTACTTGCCACTACTTGCAATTGAAGCAACATGTACTTTCTACTAGCGTTGTTTTTCTTTGTGTAATCTCCATGCAGTATTCACACAGTTGGGAAATAAATTATGCACTTGTTTCTAGGAAACTTTAATTCAATGGACTGACCAGTGAGTTGTTTCGCCATCATCCCATTGGCTAATGTCTTTATTTGTGCTGCACATTCCTCATTCTTTAGCCATGACACAAAAAAGTGTGATATTCATGTATATACCTTGCTCTTTGAGCCACTGATCAGGCAAAAGAAGTGAGGGGACTGGCCTAACATATTAGCAAAATGACTTCAGATGTTAGTGAACAGGATGTTTGCAATACAGCTTGTAGGCAAAACAACCATACACGGTGGATATGCTACAAATCCCACCAGCCTATCCCTGGAGAGGGTTGCTTGCACAAAAAAGCAAAAGTAATTCAATCCCCCTAAACCCATCTTAAAACTGGCAGCACAAGCATACACAAATTCCATTGATGCTCAGTCATGTCCACAAATTAGAGTCCTGGGATGGCCACTGATAGGTGCAATAATTTTTATACAACTCACACACATAATGAAGAATATCAATCAGATGAGCTATGCATACTCCCAGACTCAGGACAATTTGCCATACCCAACTCACAATATATATCAATGTAAAGAAGATCATTGCAGTTGAAGATGCAACTTATGCAGTTGCAGAAAGAAAAAGCCTGAAAAAATTCAGGTTTGCCAAATGCATCTTCAACTGTAATGATTTTGTTCATTTGTATTAAGGATGATGCAAAGAGATATAAGCAGGAAAACAGCAGGGGGGGGTGGGATGGGGGATGAGAGCAAACTTTCTCCCACTCCCTCCCTTTCTCCTTATCTTCTCCCACTCTCTCACTTTGCACCGCACCCCACTGAACGCCATGAACAGGCTAATACATTACAAACGAACAAACTAGTTACCATTTTCAAGCGAACTATCACTATCTGACTCATCCTCTTCCTCCTGCATACAACTTTCCTGATCTCTGTGATATTCTAGTAACCAATTATCCATTTCCTTCTCTTGTTGCCTCATTAGAATATCAGAAAAATTAACATCATCTCCCATTTCTGCTTTGTCTCTCTCGAATTTTTCTTCCTCGGTTAAATACTGCCCTATGTATTGTTCGTATAGCAGAGGAGATCTCTTTCTCATATTCTCTTCGCTGAAGTAATCAGAAGCCTTCATTAATCTTTGAAGGCATTCATAGCGTCTATTTCGAACTCCAGTTTTACTCTTTTTGATATCGAGGATATTTTTCACTTCTTTAATGCGAAAGTCTACTTCATAATCGCCCTTTAAATGATTAAAATTTGCCAGATCGTCTTCACTAAGATGTCTTCCAAATCTCATTAGAAAAGATGAAGGACTCTTATCCAAGATTTCATGCAAAATTGCAATTTTCTCATCTACAGTAAAATCAGGTTCTCCCCTTTGTTGGCTTTTCACGACAACATCGCTATTCGCAATCCGGGAGAGCATATCTTCCACCCGATTCTTAACTTCTATTCCTGTTGACGAAGACGCCATGTTTCTTTAACAAGTTGGTTCCAAGCCCTCACGGTGTAAGAAGTCTCGTGACCGGAAATCAAAAGCAAACGTAAACGAAAGTAAAACGCGGGAAAATTCCGATTGATCAATAAATAATGAAGTCCATTGATCAATAAATGATGATGTTTTCCGTCACATGATACTCACAAGATCATAGCTTAAAAATACAACTGAAACCGGTGAAACAGGCTGCATGCCAGCAGTTCAGGGGAATTTAAACTATCTGGGGAAGCAAACAAACATTTCCTTACTGACATTTGACCGTGTTATATATAGAATCTTAATATAAATGTTTTATTCCTAAAAGATAACTTTGATCGGGATAACACGGTATAAAACGACACAACTTTGGTCAATAGTGATTTCAAACTTAATTTTTAATCCACATACATAAAACAGAATGTACACTATTTTGTACAAAGTTTACATCAGAATCCAATAGCCTGAAATATTTACATGCAATTTTTCTTACTCGTATACGAATATTATGCAACCTCTCAAGTTAAAACAAGTTTATACTATGAATTTACGGATCATTAATAATTCACATACTATGGTGGGCACCACCTACTATAAATGTCTCCAATGAAACAATTCATTGTGTATAAGCTCTACTGACTGTTTACAGTGACTTTACTGCTCCTAAAATTACCGAAAACAAATTTTCTTTACATTTTCTTTCTCTTAAACTGTGCAAAAATATATATTTTAAATCATAAAGTAACTTCTTACACATTTTAATACACGCGAAAGAGCGTTTGTCCATTCATGCGATAACAGTATTATGATACAACAACATCTTACAAATAGACCGTAACTCATTTAAATGACAGAATTTATAACTTCCTATAAAAGAAAAGGTTTAAAGTTCCATACACTGATATCCAGTCCTCGTAAATAATAACATTCCAGATTATAATTTTGCGTTGTGTTCGCCAGCGATCGTCGAGAGCCAAATGTTTCCGCCTTTAGTTTCACTTTGCAACGTAAACAAAAGGAGCGAGTCTTTTGGAGAATCCAGTCACGCTTGCCTATCTTCCAGCGAAGCGGAAAGCTTGTAGCCACATCCTATCTCTTTCACTTAAATTTGACATCGTAGATACACCAGAAAAGTTTGAAGCGCCAGAAATCGTACGGATCCGTTTCCTGCCTTTATACGGCATCTGCCATGTGGTCGGTTCCTCCACGGACATACTGTCGAGTGAATCAAACGATTCTTGACTAGTTGTTTGGGCCTCTGTACACGAACATGACCTGCCTTTTCTTCTCAACTTCTTTCTTCGAATCACAATTGGAAAACAGCCTCCTAAAATAAACAGGAACACAACAAGAACTCGCGAAATGAGCGACATCGTAATTACCGTCTCTCGACAAAGCGCGCCACTTGAAACTGAAATGCTAATGATTTCGTGTCTGCATTTATCCGTCACTACAGCGACCTTTGTACCAAAACAAAATGACGTCACCGACAGAAAAGACCTCAGGCGGGTAGTACTAGTGTATTAATAACTGAGTGCAAGTTTCAGAGAGTTGGAGAAACAAGTCAGAATAAATCCTGGTTCAGAAAGAAAATGGAGATTTATGTGCGTGTTTTGAATGAGTTGTATACCTTAATTTGGAGGGTTACTAAAAGGATTCTTTCAAGCGGAAGTAATTCTTTCTTACCTACCCCTACTTGGGATTTGCCAGTGTGAGTCTTGGCGGGAATTCATGAGTGGGACATGAGTGTCTTGTGACATGCCAAATCGGATTGCTGTCCTCATGACTGTTTATATTTTACTTTTAGGCAGATGAAAGTTAAACAAAGAAGAACAAATCGAAGTAGGTGAAGTTTAGATCATTTGGAAAAAAAAGGAAAATGACGAAAATATTCACCATTTTAGACATTTCCTTCACTGTACGTGCTTTGTGTCACTCATTATTACCAGGGTGCAAGAATTTTTTTCATTCCGCGACATTAATCCTGTTTGTGCAGATGTGCAACTTTTGTTTTGCATGTTGATGATCGCTATTTTGCCGTTGGTCATCTGAGAGTGGCAAGGAGAAAATAGCACACCTCGTGACACGTGCAGTTGTTCATTGGAAGGTCGAACAAGGGTATTTTACGACCTTCTTACCCTGCGGAGATCAATGAGATGATGCAAAAAATACAAACAGTCACAGCGACTCATCGAGTTATAAAGTTAAGTAGAGGCAAAAATACTGCAAAAATAACCCGTGCGCAGGGTTTAAAAAAGCTCCTGAGACGCTGCGGCTTTGCCGGGAACTATCCGGAATCCCGGCTCAGGAATCGGTGGAGGTTGTTCAGCGCCAATACTTAATTTCGCTATTAAACCTGACTAATCATTGGCCTTACGCCCTTACATGGTATCTAAGTAAAATTAACTAATCTAACGAAAAGATAAAACATAACCACAATTTCTTTTAAAAATTCAGTTTTTAATAATAGTGATAATAAAAACAGGGCTTGCTGTAAATGTGTTCTCGTTTACACTATCACGTGAATGACTCAAATTCACACACGTGGCATAAAACCGGAACAATGCTGGCCAACGCGTATAACGGGCAGTATACACTTTAGTCCAGTATGAATTCACATGTTGATTTTATTTTGTTTTAAGCAAATGGTGAAGTTCCGTCTAAAGTCGATAAAGCAAACAATTTGCTCTTGTTGCTGATGTTGCTCCTGCACGCCCCGCTGCACGCACGCTGTCCGTGCCTGAAGAAGAACAGCAGGTTGTCCTGTTTGATCAAGTTACGTCTGGCTCCAGTGTAGAGCCAAATGGATTAAAAACAAAGCTGGCTAGTCTTCAAACCACCCTGGCTATCATTTTCCTTTTCGATGCTTAGCCGACGAAATTTTCTCACGTCAACTCAACTTTTTCACCCGTCCACCCTGTTTGTAAAAGAAAAGAAAAGAAACCAATTACAATGTGAAGTTATTCTCAGTCGGTTTCTTTTTTTTGTGACCGTGGCCGCCATTTCCTCCTCCTTTGCTGAAGTGGTGATCGAGATGTGCTAGTTGTTCCTCGTAATTGCTGTGTTTGTGTTGGCTTCTCATGTGGAACGGTCATGTCAGTCGGTAATGGTTTGACTGTGCATGCTGTGAGCTCTGCAAGTAGCCCGGGCCCAGACCCAGGTTACTCCGTGTATAGACGGATACATGTTGGAAAGGACCAACAACGAAAAGTCCAAAGACTACTGCAAAGCTGATTTAAAACAACGTGTATTGCAGTAGTCTTTGGACTTCTCGTTCTTGGTTCTCTATATTTTGGCTGATTTGATCTCTTTTCTAGAGATCCAAAGTTTACAACTAGCAGGATCTTCGTTCACGGTTTTTGCTGCTAATTTAATCCTTTATGTTCGAAAGGAGTGTAATGGTTAAACTAATTTTACAATAACTAGCTTTATTAAGGCCAAGATAGTATGATAGAGTAGGCCCCTTCAGACTCTCTTAGGAAAATAACTTTTCACGGAAATAGAGGGGTAAGCACCATCGATTGTATTTACAAACAATGATATGTATGACCGGGTGGACAGCCTTACTGTTTGCCAGCCTACACCGTTTTTCGATCACTCTCCTGTGAAGGCTGATTAAACATTTCCCCTCCAACGAATAATTCCTTCCGCGAAATGACGTACGGGAATTGAACTGAACGATCTTCCAAAACAATTTCAATAGAACTTCTTATCCAGTGAGAGATTTATCAATGATTGAGATCGAAAGACATTCAAGAAATAATCCAAGACTTCGAAACACAGCACTTCAATTCATATGACAAAAACGTTGTTGACAATGTTGTATCCCGAAATATATTTATATTTTGCATCATAATCTACTTTAAATAAGGTGATTTGTTTTTACATGGGGTCGCTGTAACTCTTTTACAAATCGCCCTTATGGTCTTTTTTATCATTGTTATGTCCATCACTTAATTTATTGCCATTAAGTCAGTAATAAATATATATATAAATAAATATGACGATATAATTGAAACTGTGGCCAAACGCTCTCTTCAAGTAGCGGTACGTAAAAACCCTAGGAAAACATCTCGACGAAATTACGCCTTGTTTCATAAAGATTCAAAAACACGTTAAACGAAAGCATGGAAACTCTCATAATACTGACATTAGAGACAACTACCATAACTTGACAAAACAATATAAAGCTATACTTAGAACAAAACAACAATGTTGTTTCAACGATAAATTAAATCTGCTAACTTCATTTCCGAACACAAAAAGTTTTTGGGATACCCTCAAAACTTTGAAAAAACACCACAATCCAGAAACCAACTATCCAATTCCCATTGATAAACTATATGACCATTTTAGTGCCCTTCACTCCAGCACAAAGGGCCAAACCGACTCTGATCGGCCCTAAACTTTAATATCGGAACCACAACTACTAGTGATGCCTCAAAACAAACTTGATGACCACCCCATTTCTGAAACTGAAATCATATCAGCTACTAAAAAAACTTAAAACTAAACTAAAAAAGCACGTGGCCTATGTAGTATTCATTACATCAGTTGCCCCTCATAATATCAATTCTTTTTTAGACTATCCTAAAGTCTGGATATTTCCCGGTCAGTTGGTCAAAAGGACCAATTACTGCAATCTATAAATCGGGTCACAAATCTGACCCTTCGAACTACCACTGGTCCACTAAAAAGTCTCGGAAAAAGGACAAAGCGTTCCCTAGAAGTTCCAAATGAAGTACTGCCCTTGAACTTTCGACCGGACCCATCAGGGTAAAGGTAACAGTTTCGGGTGAGGGATCGACGGAGGAGACGTCCACCCTTGGCGCAAAATGTTAGTGTTGTGTTCACACCTTGAGTACCCTGAGTACCCTATACGTAGCCTGCGTAGCTGGCGAGATTGTTGTGCCTGGGGCGGAGCTGCCACGCTACGCGAGCAGCGTTCCCAATCTTAACGTGGCACCGCCGCCAAAAAACTACAACACTAGCCTGATCAGAGTCCCACCAGCTACGCGGGCTACCCTATATGAAACTCAATCTACATAGTTGCACTCTTTTGCCCCGTCAGATGCTATTTTTAAAACAGTGTGCAAAAAGGGACAATGCCCCAGTACAAGGTCTCGCCCGAATTGTGGCGTGGTTATTTGAAAAAAGCGTGTGTTCGCATTTCTCCTCGTCGAGTAACGTACTCAGGCATGCCCGGGCACCAAGTGTAAAGGCTGCCTAAGACATCCGAACAGATAAAATAGTAATAGTAATCAGGGCAAAAAAAAATCCTTTAAACTCTCGTTCCATTTTTCGCGGGGCCAAAACCGAAAATCCGGTTCCTCGTCGTCCCTTGGTCATTCTTTGCTCCAAGACCACACGCAAACGCTTGCTACGCAGGCTTAAGTTCAAAAGATTGAAAGATTCCATGCGCGCGCTTTTATATATTTCCATTCATGCGTCAGCAGCACGAAAATATTTACCACTGATACGTTTATTTACTTTATACATATTCACGGTAGAATATACACCAAGATCATATAATACACAATAATAACATAAAGAAACTTAGAGTGAAGGTGGGATAAAGTGATTCCAGTTTGTCATATGGCAACCAAGGATAATCATATTTTGAGCGTTCAAGAGGACGTCAGTAAGCTGGCGACCACTTCGTCTGGGTTGAAGGTAGTTGAAAGCGACAGTGATTTGCGTCGGAAGAGTCTTCCATCCATCACCCCGCTGAATCTCCAGGTCAGCAGTGCAATGGAAGCTCCACGCAGCTGCAGCGCAAATGATGCATATTCACAAGATACATCTCATATGGCGTGCCTGCTGCCCAGTATAGAAACCAAAGCTGCTTTTGAGGACAATTCGCCTTTGTTTCCGAGTCAAGCAGGGGTTAAAGCGAAAAGGTTAGCAAAAAAGAGGATTTTTCACTCTTGCATAACATCAGTCTCCGCGACACATAAGTTAGGTTTCAACGCTGTCACCCATTTGTTGCTCGTTTTTCTCATCCTGTTTAGATCTTTTAGCCTCCAGGACTATCGAGTATTGATCTTTTGTCTCCTTAAAATATCACCGCTGAATCATTATCAACAACAACAACAACATTTATTAATTATAGTGCGCCCTTTCTATATAATTATTAAAAGCGTATAACTGAGGTCACGGGCAGCTGTAAAAACAACTTGGTAATTTAGTTCGGCTGTCCTGCGGAACACTTTGAATGTCAGTCGGTTGCTCGTTTTGAATAAATCCAGTCTAAACTGCAAACCTTTTATTTCTCAGTTTCTAAGAAATACCATGCTTGCAGGCACTCCTCTCTCACCTCTCACTCTTTCGTCCTTGTTTACACTTCCATTTATTATTCCCCATGTGATTTTACATGATGCTGAAAACTGCTGTACTCTTTTTCGATAGTGGAGATGAATTCAAGGCCGGTCCACGCGACACTTGTTGCATGATGCATGCTACAGAAGATCTCGGTTTTATAGCAACAGCCAGTGCTGAGAAGGTAAGCCAAACCTTAACAGCTAACAGAAATACGCATGTTAACGTCACTCGACCTGGCTCGTGATGATTTTTTGTGTTTTGAACCGCTTATTAGCCCATAAAATGCACATTTATCTTTCTAACGAAGGATATCTTCGAAGACGGCCAAACCGAGGACACAGTAACACTTGATGGACCAGTACCAGATGTACTGTTTGCACCAAGAGGACCCTCCACTGAAAAAGTGCAATTTAGGAGTAAGCGGAAATCTCTAGCTCCTTCTGAAGTTAAAAGGTACTTTTAATGGATACCTTGTTTTTCCTGGACAAATGAAAACCAAAACTTTGATTGTAAAATTCGTTTATTCTTTAAATTGCGTTTCAAATTGGACGGTGAACTAATATAAATTAAAAAAAGCAATCTATCCCCCTTTTTGGCTGTATGGAGGCGAGTACTAGGCCAAATTCAAAGTCATCCTGAGACTAATGTTATATCAGTCTCTTCTTTAATATTACTTGTGATGGCAGAGAAGCTACCAAGTATGACTGCATGAAATTTATTAGTTCTGTGGAGCCGGGAGCTGGGACTGTCCAAAGACAGCATGAGTAAACGATAAAGTATAAATAGCTAATATAATCCCAACAAGCCAAAGAGGTTTCCAGTAATTGTACCACATGTTATAGATAGTAATTAAAAATGTTTTGGTAGTAGAACTAGTAGTCCAGCCGGGCACAATGTGATGATAAATAAAATGATTTGAGCCCCTCTGTACACAGTCTATAAGTGATTTAGTTACCTAGGGGATATTTTACCCTCCGACAATGAATCATTATCGGAGGGTAAATTTGCACGTGTGCAGTTGTGACTAAAAGCCCTAAAACTCGAATCCTTATACTGTTACCTTCAGCAGCCGCACCCAAATCTAAGATCACTGTCATTTTTAACGCCCAAAGACATAGTGGACGCCACGTGTTGCCAAATTTACCCTTCTGCAAGGGACTTGAATCGTACCCTAGTGTTTTAGTTGACAAATGAAATAAATATCATGAAAAAAAGATAGCAAATTGTAGACAAAAATGATGTGAGTTTTTCGTTATTTCGGATGGTCTAGTCCGTCCCAGTAAAAGCTTAAAATCGTAATGAGAGTTAGCTAATATGCCACAGTATCGTGCATTTTTTTTAAACAGAGTTTCTTCAATCTCATAGCATAGACAATGAAGAAGCCACAGTGTTGAGGTCCCAGTCACCCTGCGGCGAGTCGAATGATAGAGAACAAGAAACGGAGGAGCAGAATGAAATGGGAGATGAGATGGCGAAAGAAAATAATGAAGAAACCAACCAAAACCAACACCCCGGTCAAGAAAGAATGAACAACAAAGAGAGCATTTCAAGAAATGATACCAAAATCAGTAGGGCTTTCGAGGTAGGAGCATAGTTTGCCGGACCCCTCCGAGAAGCGGTCAATGACGGGAAGTCAGTTTCGTAACCATCCGAAAATAGTTCAGCAAACGCTTACACAGTTTTGAAGTAAGACCTTCTTTGCGATTTGAAAAATCTCTGCTCACTTGGCTAACCAGTTGGAAAGGAATCCAGAGCTACGTATAAACAACTCAGCCTGTTGTTATGAAACATGATCCTCCAAAAATGTTAGATGATTGTACAGCCATCCAATATTGTGTAATGTTAGAAGTGAACAACATAACAGAAGATACGATGCGTCCAAAACTGCTTAAGTGCCGTGGTCAACTGATGTCAATCGTTTTCTCACCAGCCAAGTGCCGTTTCTTTTCCACAAGAGTTAGCTTTAACTTTGGCTGTTTAATCAGTTGTGTCACTCTACACCAGGTGAATAATAAACAAGTTAATTCAAAGAAGTTGTTGGAAGTTGAATTGATTATTGGAGTCATTTTCCTCATCAGCTGTCTGATACGATGCAGCCACTTGCCCCTCTCCCCTTCGTACAAGCAGGCACTAGTTGGCGAAGATCGTCAACAGCTTCCTTGCATCATTTTCCTGCTAGCCCACCCTCAGCCTTCATGGGTGTCCCTCGATCAAGGCGAGTGTCTACCGTGGGTTCGTCAATTTTCTCCACCCCTTCAACCTCAGCACCACCAGACACGTTACAAGCCTTGCAAGAAACTTCAAAGAGGCTACCAAACGAGTCCCCACAGGGAACGTCTGGCGTGCCCGAATCAAGGCGAGGCTCGCAAGCCAGACGAAAGTCCTCAGTGGCAGCTTCTATGTTGTCCTCTGATACACGCGACGGTAAAAAGGGATCCATTGGCTTTACTCTTGCTGCTTCTTTAGTTAAATGGAAAAAGAATTCCTTGAGAGCAGCTAGGAAGGCTAACGAGACCATTGCTAAGGTGAATTTTAGTGATGAAACTTTGTAACAGAACCCTTTCAAAACTACTTACAATAGACCTACAAATGAATCTTCATCATATTGAACTTAAATCAATTTCTCATGTTGGGTAGTGACGCGTCATCAGTATGGAATTTCTGTGCCCGTTTCTCAGACTTCATTTCGAGGGGAAAACCCAGGGGCGGATCTAGGGGGAGGGTGCAGGGGGTGCGCAGAGATGACCTGCGGTTTTCTAATACAACTGGTATTCTGCAAAACAATAAAAAAAACTATGTGGTTTATTGGTGTTGAAGTAGAGCAAAAGACGAGTGCACCCCCTCCTAAAAAAAATCCTGGATCCGTCCCTGAAACCGTAACGGCGTTGCCAAGTAACGACTCTTTTCTCAGGCGTGTACTCCGGAATATGTTGAGGTTAAGGGACTGCTGCTCTGAATTTAAATCTCTGGCAAACAAGGCTTTTTGCAAATCGGGATCAAGTCCGCCTATGCATTATTCTCCAGAGTCGCAATAGTGAACAGCTACTGGCCAAAGAAGGTTTTTTTTTTTTTCACTCTTCTGTTTTAGAGCCTGCGCAAATATCACCAAGGAAGAAAGCTTCCTTATGGAGACAAAAGAACTTTGAAAAGTTTTCTACCCTTTAAGTTACTGCTTAGTTCTATATACAGGCGATGCACGAGTTTGCGCAGAGGGTCGTTTTTCATTCCCCTGGGATTTGACTAACCCCAATCTAATTCCGAGTCGCTGCATAACCTAATCAACTTATAGAAAACATCAAATACTGTAGCAACTATACAGACACTATAAAGACCCTATACCGTCCTATATTGTTATATGTTGTTATATGCTATAACATGTACTAATATTAATGCTATATAACTATAAACTACGTCCAATATATACTCATCGCATTGTACTGTGTTGTATCCTAAATACATGCATGTCATGTAGACTATGATAAGTAGCATGCTGTATATATCAAATTAATAATGTATTCATATGCTGATAACCAGTGTTATCATTCCACTAGATACATCTTTTCAGTGCCAGATGCTACTGACCACCGTTGTCATTTTTTAGTTTTTATTATTTTCTCTATCCAGGACGCTAAACACCAAGAATTCATGAACAAAACTGCTGATCGCATCAAAACCGAGGTAAGCCCAGCTCACATTTTAACAATCCTGAAAAAGTATAAAATAGAAAACATTCTTGTGTCGATTTTCATCCGGAAAAATTATTTTATAGCTTGACATTTTTTTCATTATCTTTTCTTGTTCCCTTTTTAAATTTTTGTTCCGTGCAAAACGTGCATGCATTTCAGATTAAACAACTCCAAATGAATGTATGTCGTCTCCGCAGCTCAATAGGTAATATTTATTTTAAAGTGGAAAAATATTTTCTAAAGAACTGGATCATTCTACCATTCTGTTCTTAGCTTCCAAAACAGTTACTGGTCTCTATACAAGAGGAAGCTTACCCGATTATACTACGAACAACACAAGGTAGGCTCGTGACTACTTCACTTAGGATCATTTGTAATAAATTATTTTAGTATATACTAAAACAGTGGATAGTGTTTTTCGCGCGCTCTGATTGGCTGCTCAATCAGTGAATATCCTGCACTATTCACTGATTCACCTCTAGTTCCTCCGAGCGAGAGACGCCAAACTCGCGTAAGTTGCAAAATGCCTTCCCGGTTTGCTGCCGTAACAAACAAAGAAATTTCACAACTAATCAAGCAAGCTGTTTCCGAAATACACGAAGAAAGTGACGAAGCTCGGGGTGGAAGTTTTCACAGGTAAAACTTTGTCTTTTTGACTTGAATTTATCGATAAAACCGGCGAAAAAGTTTTGTTGTTTACAAATGCAAATTAAGTTTAAGTCTTGCGTTACTTTTTTTAGTTGACTTGTTCATAAATAAGCTTAAAACTAAATCTAATAATCCTTTTTACAGAATGATTTTAAATACAAAAAGAATTCACAACTCCTTTTGAGGAAATTTCCCCGCAAGAGGTAAACAAATGCCTTCAAAAGTTTTATTTGCCGGCAAGAAAAAGCGACGACAGCGGCCGTTCGGTCATTGCGCGCCAAAATTGTAATCGTTGCAGGCAACAGTAAATGAGTTAAAAATCATCATTTTTGTGCTCAATTATCTCACTGTTTTAGTATATACTAAAACAATTATTCACCTCAGTGTCGGTGGCTAGTGATGGATATTTACCTCGCCGCTAACGCGGCTTCGGTAAATATCCATCACTAGCCACCTCCACTTCGGTGAATAATTGTTATATATTATTAGTGCTGTAACACTCCAACCTCGTTCCCAGGGTTCTCTCCTACCCGCCCTACGGAGCACCAGTACCGTCACCATGAATGCGACCCTTGCTCTCTCGCTCCGTAGAGCGGGTAGGAGACAACCCTGGGAACGAGGCTGGAAGCGCTCTACTTTAAAAGTCGCTGTTTAATAACCACTTGAATCAAATAACAGAGACATAACAGATATTTCAATATTTTGCGTCATCTGGAGTAGTTTGTTTAATCAAGTCTGAAAAAGTCTTTTCTTTTTCTAGCTTACCGATCTCAGTTGGGAGTCAAACACAAACTCACGATGCAAGCTTATGATCGGCTGGCAGACCTGGTCCGAGATCTCAAGAATCCCTTTTGAATTGAATTGCAAATGTAGATAGAACTATAATTTTGACTTCAGGGAGTCTAAAATAATATTTGTAAATAAAAATGTTGGGAAATGGTATTGTTTATGTTGATTAACCTCAAAGTGACGTTTGCGGACTAGTGCTCAACACGAAGGAGGCGGGGGTTAGCTTCATAGTTTTTTGGTTCTCTATTGTGAAAGGAAAGCAGCTGGGAACAAAAGGAAGGTTTATCAGCTACCAATATATCAGCAAACAATATGAACGGCCATGGTGTAAAACCTACGAGGAATATGTTGTTTTCTTTATCTTTTTCATTTGTTCTCATCGACCTAGCAGACCTAGGAATCTAACAGTAGTGTTTCCCAACTTCTTCTGGATAATGAATGGTATGGAGACAAGACAAATTTAAAGATCATTTGCAGTTGACGTCTCGCATGAGAACTCTTGTCCCGTTCGTGCTAATCCGCTAATGTAACTACTCGTCTTTCTTGTTTTCTCGTGTATTGGCTCTTGGTTTATTGCATTCTTTTTAATAGTAAACCATCTGAGTAAGCGAAATCGAAACGACATTAACTTAGAGCTAGTAAGCGACCCTCTCAATCAGATCCTGACATTGATTAAATAGTTCAATCGGAGGGACGCCTTTGAAATAGAATAGAACCAAGATTTACAGTAAGATTGGTAACCAAATTGTGGCTTCCAAGAAAAAGCGTAGGAATGAGGCCACTTACTGAAAATACTGAATAGCAACTGATTTGGCTTTACAACCCCCCTTATTTTTTGACCAAACTAAGAATTTCTTGGAGACCGCCCCCCTCTCCTTTCTAAGGGTCAGGATGAACCCCCTCCCCCCGCCCCCTCCATCTCAAGATCTGGCCGGATCCGGCACTGTTTAATTATACAAGACGTGTTGGTAAGTGTTGATTTTTAGTGGCAGCTTTTGAGGGGAAATCTCCTTTCGGAGTCCGGAAACCAATAATATTTTTTTTTGCGTTTTCTTTGAAGGGAAATCCCAAAACGGATCATGAATTAGATAGTTTCAACCGCTCGGGCCGGAGTCACGTAATGCTCCCAGGCCCCACAAAGGTCGACCCAGTTTGTCCAAAATGGAAAGGGAGCTGCTAATACGTAAGCTGTCTAAAAACACAATCTGCACAGGCGTCTCAACAACCTTATCGCACTTCAAGGCAGCACTACCTTTGTTCCAACGTCTCCCTTTCCCTTCCTTCTTCCCGTCCATCAAAACCTTGAAAATGATGTATTACACTTCACGTTTAATATCACTAGTACAGCCATTTTTATTTACAACACTACTACAACTATTTACACAGCAAGAATGAACTAACAATATATCTTCTCCTAAAATGACACTACTATATGACATATTTTGAATGCTATCTACTTCAAGCTCTTACAATGCCTATAAACTCTTTAAAGTAATTCCAGGCCACTCATGAAATTTCATACCGAGTCCGATTAAAAAGTCTTGAGCAAACTCAGTATGGTTGATATCTATACGAGGCACGGCTGTACGGTAGTCTTGCGGACCCAAAAGGTCTGATTGTGAACTTGTCAAGGTGGAACTTGGGTACACGGTTTGACTCGACTGAGAGTTGACGATTGGCAACTGTTCTCTGACTATCTCTTAAGTAGCTTTCCATCGCTGAACAGGACACTCGTTCGCCTTGTTTCCAGTGATCTGAATAGGCTCGGCTATTAAACTGGTTAGACAGGCTGGACTGACAGACAGATAAAATCTTTTTCTCCAGTTTCCTTGATTTGGCCCGTCGGTTTTGAAACCAATACTGCAAGAAAGAGAACAAAAATCTGAGTTATTAACCCTTTCACTGTCAAATGTGGCCAAAGGCAAATTTCGACCAAATTTCCAAATTTCGTTTTCTAAACTTTTGACAAACAAATAGCACCATGTGAAAGTACGGGCAGAGAGCTTTCATTTGAATGGTCATACCATAGGATTTCGTCCGCAGACTCAAAAGTTAGAGTCGCCTTACAAAACTCCATCAAGTACTCTAGCCTGATCTGGCAGTGAAAGGGTTAACTCAATTCGGGCAATATCAGGGAAAATCTATACAACACACTGAACCTATAATGGTTTTTTTCCGAATGCAAAACGGCATTCAAATTGCCTTGTGAATTGTACAATTACATGTAATAGAAACTTCACATCATTTAAAGAAAATACCATGACTACACTCGTTTCGAAGATTGCTAAAAAAATATATGATTTAGGAAAATAGTGATGACTGAGGGCCTCTTCATATGAGCCCGGTTGACCGGGCTGGCCCGGTTTCCGAGATCTCGCCTTACCTCTAAAGCCTTTGTAAAATTTTCGATGTGTTCATATGAGAGGGCGGGCTGGCTCGGTTCCCGAGATCTCGGTTTTTCCAACCGAGATCTCGGTAAGCGGGCTGGAAATTTTGCCATATGAACGCTTCATCCCGGTTACCGGGATGATCGGCGGGATGAATTCTGGCGGTCCGGATGGCATCGTCTTGCATTGCCTGCTGTATTTTCCACAACATAAGCATCCCATTTAACTGCAGTGATACAGCTTTAAGAGTTACCGATGCTAAGATAGGCCCAAAAGTTAAAATTTTTGTGTTTCGCTATGTTTGCTTTGTTTCCTAAATTTGGCGCCAGAACTCGTACCCAGGATCTTTGACCTTTTCTCATCTCGGAAACCGAGCTGAAATTTCTGATATGAACCCAAGGCAAAATTCATCCCGGTAACCGAGCCAGCCCGGTCAACCGGGCTGATATGAAGAGGCCCTAATTACACGTCATCTTGCAAAGTTACACTTCATACATGTTAAACTAACATGCATGAAGTGTAACTTTGCAAGATGGCGTGTAATTACTGTTCGATAAAAGCGAGTACTCAAAAAAAGTTTCTAACTGGAGTGAAAAATCACTCTGCAATTGCCGAGTTTCGAATCGGTAATCATAGTTTACTTTACGGCTCACTTTCCGACAAAACTGAAAATGATAAGAACAAATTTAAAACCCAGGCAACTGAAATTCCATTCCTCTAAGGTTACACATGCTCATGTTTCTTTTAATTTACTTTAATGTAGGAAACTCACCTTCAGACTTTTAGCCGTGATTCCGAGTCTTTGTACCAGTTCTTCTGCGTCTTCTTTCAGCAAATATGGCCGCCGTCTGAATGCTCGTTCCAGCTCCAAAACTTCCATCGGTGAGAAGGTCGTGCGCTGTCGCTTCTTCTTCGTTGAATTTGGAGTCGAAGCTTGATCGGGCTCACTGTCACAATCGCTGCTGGAACTTGTAATGTCCGAGTAAGGCGTTAACGGTGGACTGGGGACCATGTGGCTGGGACGAGGACTTGTGCAGTCGGAGTAAGGCGATAAAGGCGGACTGGTAGCACTGTTACATTCTGTAAAAGAAAAATAAACTCTTAGTTGGAAATATGTCCTATAAATAACTTTTTATTGTTTAGGTACAAGAAAGAATGAACTAGCTAGATTGTGTTACGTATTTGGAGTGGTGGCGGAAAATTTGTAGTTGCTTTGGTTAAGGTTAGTATACGCAAATACAGTAAATTGTCAGTAATAACAAGCATGTCTAGAACAACCGAAAAACGGACTTTCAATTAGTAATGTGAAGTTTATAATTAACTGTCAGTGGAAAAAGCCTGATGCAATGACTGCATATACTGTCCAAGTTACGTTAATCTTACCGGAGATTGAAGAAGATTGAGTGACTTCACTTTCTAGACCCAGGATACTGCAGATGGAAAAGTCCGTTTGGGAAGTGTTGCAAATACGGGACCTTCTGACTTGCGCAGAGCGCACAAGAGAATCCACAAGTGAAATAACGGATTTCATTTGATGACACTCCATTTCAAAGAGTCGATTAGCTGGATCAGATACTAACAAACTGAATGAAGAGTCTCGGTGAACCGAAACCATATTTATAAGTCGTCGGTATTCTGACATCTGCCAATCAACAAATAGCATAGCTAGCGGCCCGACAAACAGATCGTTTGTTGACCTGCACGTTTGCCGATTTCCATGCTACGACAGTTTTATATAAATTAAACTGCGTGCGCCGTCGGTTCTCTTTTTGTGAATGAAATGTTAAAAGACATCAGCCGCGTTAAACTAGATGACAATCATAATTTCCGAATAACGGTTTTTCAAAAATGACATACGACGTTTTTCAAACAAACGGTCAACAGATTAAATTACTTTAAATGAGGGGACATAACAAGAATTCTCGTAAAACGCTCAATTCGCGTACTGTAAAACCATTCAATTGTGCTGCGAACCGCGAATGATCCTCCGTTCTTCACACCTTCCAGTAATAAACAAGCGACACAAAGTATGTTGATAGCATAAAATAACTGGTTAGGCCGGTTATTCAACTTCTAATTTTTACCGAGAAGGAAAAGTCCAAATTGTTATCCACTAAAGATTAAAGATCTGTGCAAATTCTGTCGCTTGTCTGGGACAGTTGTGGCGTTGTGAGCAAAGCTTATCTAGATAAGCTAAATAGGCGCGCCGCATGTATTATTGAAGGACGATCTATTGGGGCTGAGGGGTTGAAATCAACACTTTGTTGGCCCAGCCTACTAGCACGGAGAAATTATCTCAAATGCGTCGTAGTCCAAAAGTGTCTTCACGGAATAGCGCCTTCGTACTTACTTTCAGAGTTTAGGCACGCGCACCTTTTCATGGCAAAGCTATAACACCAGAAGCCGTGATTTGTTGCGCCCTCCCTTCGCGAAAACTACTAAATACCAGGTAGCTTCAGAATAAATGACGTTCGGACCTGACAACACCCTACCGAGAAACATTAGACAAATGGAGACGCTCGCTCGGGAATTTAAAATCAAGTTAAAGCGCCATTTTAAACAGTAACGCCTACGGTACATGTTGCCTTTGTAACTTAATTAATTTTCTAGTTTTAATGTTTTAATGTCTTTGTTTTTGTGTTGTGTCAGGGTTTCACTTAAACTAGCTCTGCTAAATTGGATGCCCCTGGATAAATATTGATTAAAAAAAAGTTGCGACTTCTAGCACGATTGCTAATTTCCCACTGAGACCTCCTGGGATGTCCAAGCACAAGTGAGAATTGGACAAAAAGATACCTGCTATACTCTCTTTCCTTCTTTGCAATATTGTAGGTTGATAATTATCCGATCGGTTATACAGACAAAATAAAAGTTTTTAAAAAACACATTTGATAGCTCTGATAGTTCAACAATAAGACTGGTAGACACCATCCCAATTTTGGAAGTTTCGCCCTTAACCTCTCCTTAATAATCGCACTCATCTCTCACCGACTAAACGCGCTCCACCAGTCATCGATCGGCAATGAAGTCGCATTGGTTAAACCTACTCTGCGGCTTTGCGGCACTTTTCAAAAATTAAGTAATTTTTTCCCATTTTCTGATTGTTACCTTTTTTGTCTTTCTCGGCGCATTCGTCGACTTTAAGTTGGTGGCAGCCTGCTTAACCTGGGCGCCCCTTGTGTAAATCTAGTCAACTGACACGAAGGATTTTGTATGCGTTCTTTTTTCACCATTCTCGTCGGCTTTAAAAGACGCGTTTAAAGATACCGCTCTGCTTTATCAATTTCCAGTACAAGCTGCTTATCGTACATGGGAGACGACAGATTTCATCTGAGCACAATCGATTTGACTGAGCTGATAAACTTTTCAAAGTTGAGCAACAAACTGAGTGAAGAGTCAACTCGAACTGAGACCGCCTTATTTATACCCTGCGTGAACCGAACAACAAAGCTAATGACCCGAGAGACGTGTCATAATTTAACCCTAACCGTAACCCTAACCCGTTAAGAGTTATTGTTATTCATTCAAAACATTTCCCCGATTCTGATTGTCTAAAAGCACACGCATAATTTACCATAACCAGTTGCTGATGACCAAATTTGGGAGAATTTTGTGTTTAACGGGGAAATGACGTCAAAAATGCAGCGTTTTTGCAGGTTAATGCACCGTTAACCGAGACGACTTGCGGACGAGGTTGAGTTGTTTTCGTTGTGGAAACAAAAATGGCGGACATTTCACTCGTTTCAAGAGTAAGAACTAGGCGAAATAATAGCTAAAAACATGGCAAGAACAGCAAGAAGACAACTCGAAGGGCGACATCTGCTATTTGGAAAATTTTTGCGGAGCTGAACTACCCTAAACGTGCACTATCGAAGATGAACTTAACATCCAGATCGATGGAGGTAAGCATATTTTAGCTATGTTTTTAAACTAGGAATTATTTTGAGTGAAAAATAAAACAATTATTGAATTCGGCTTTCGTATCATATGAAGAATTATGGAGATCACGGAGGGTGTTATCCGCCTCGGCCTACGGCCTCGACGGATAACACCCTCCTCGATTTCCATAATTCTTCATAAGATACTCAGCCTCATTCATTAATTGCTAATTAAACAGCGCGCTCCGGTAGCGGTTCTTTGACAAAGGACTCGAAACCGTTTCGAAGCCGACGTGGGTATCCTCTGAACAACCCAGGCATAATCTTAGATAACAAAGTTTTCGAAACAAGGATATTTTAAAACCAAAAGTAACTTTAAGTTTTTATGAAGGAGAAGAAATGTTTGAAGTGAAGAAGATAAAATGAAGGAGACAAAAATCTTTGATCTTGTTGGAAATAAGCAAAAAAGTCATCGAACAATAAAACTTTAAGACTCCGAACACGAAAAAGTATAAATGAATCATTAAATTTAAGTCTCAAGGCTTCCCCTGATCGGCGAAAAATTCAGAAATTTCAACAAACGATTCAATAATGCTGGTAAACCTAATTGTAAGGATGAAAACAAACCTTCGTCTGCATGAAGCAACGAACAAAATTGAGATTTCAAGAGTCATTTTTTACTATGCTTGAAGAGTGAGTCTAAGGACCCAAGGTCGTCCAACATTTGTTGATCATCATGTTTCAGCTCGCTTTTGTTTACATGAGAGGACGCAGAGGGTTTTACTTAGACTACAAGCAGGCTCACTTGTGTGAGTTCGGAAACAATTTTTGGCGGCCGCGTTACCTTTGAAAGGTAGTGACACGGTCTGAGACTCAACTTACTCTCACTCGGGGTGGGAGATGGTCTCTTGCTCCCGTTGTTTTCTTTCTCAAGGGTATTGATGTCAACTCGAGCAAGAGACTCTCTCCCACCCCGAGTGTGAGTAATTTGAGTCTCAGGCCGTGTCGCTATCTTTCAACGGTAACGCGGAGTTCAAACCAAGGTACTGTCGATGGCTTTAGATGGGAAAAGTTGCAGAGATTGTAGCCTGTGACCAGGCTCCGCAGTGGGGCAAAAAGGCAAAAACGGGGTCAAATAGGAAAAATGTCCACGAGCGAAGTTAGCCGAGAATGGATTGGGGAGGGGGAAAGGGCGCCACCCTTTCCCCTCCCAAGACTACCTCTCGGCTCGCTTCGCTCTTCGATTTTTTTCTCCTTTTTCCCCCAATGCGGAGCTTGGTCACAGGCTACAGAACTGATTGGCGGGCTATGATTCGCTCTCGGTGCAAATGCGTCTTGCAGCAAGATCACGAATGGAAAGCAGAACTATCGTGTGTTACCTAGGCGGAGTTTGGAGGCGATCGGAGGCGATGGGGTGAATTTACGGCCGTTTTCCTCCGGTGGATCCATCGAGTCGCTTCGCTGGAGTTCCCAACCTTGGTAAACCTTATATAGAGCAGGAGGCCATAACCCGGAGCGAGCAACTCCCATACTTGGTCTATGTCACGGAGTTTTTAAGGACCAGTTTATTTTTAGACACATTTTAGGTCACTATTTCCCGCGAAAATAGAATTTCCACCATGTCTATTAGCGCGTTCGAAGTATAAGATATCAAAAAGGAAAACTAAACGTTATTTAAGGCAAAAAATATCATTTTTAGGTCCGTAGGTTTTGCTGACTGGTTTGTGGAATTTAAAAGATATTCCAAATTTGCGCCAAAACCGTTCTAAAAATAGACTGGTCCGTGAAAACGCCGTGACAGTTGCACGCTCCGGGTTATGGGCTCCTGTATAGAGAGAGCAAACCGTTTACAGCATAAATTTGCCCATGGACCACACGGGAGAAACGTAAAACACATTTTATGTAAGGTAAGCTGTTTTTTATTGAAATCCTTTCCTTTTCGTAGGTTACAGAAACAATAGGTTTTTTCCCCATACAAATTGTTTTATTTCGAATGTTACACAACAATGCCGAGCTCGATCGCCGATGCTCATATTTCCAGCTTGGGCTACCTGTGGCACGAGGCGATCACATGCTTTTTATCATTTCCTTCAAACCTCGAAACTGTCAGAGAGTGTTTACATGAGAATACTCGCACCGGCGCGAGTTTCATACCGCCCGGGATGACTTTTTGATTTCGTATCGCGTTTACATGATGACTGGGTCATTTGATATCTCGCTACTTGAAGGTACACTTCATCTTGGAAAAATACACTTGTGATTCAAAATGGCAAACATTACGCACGTACTACCCGTTCCAGTCTACCGGCAGACCGATTTCACACTGAAACGCGTGGTCGTTTCGCGTTTACATGATACTGTTGTGAGATTTCGCACCGGAGTGAATTTCTCGCCCCGGTGCAACAACCGGGGTGAACTCACGCCGGGGTGACTCGCGCCGGTATGACATTTCGTGGCGGTATCAAATGTAAAGCCACGAGAGGAACCGGAGTGAACTCTCTCCGGCGCTCAAGTAGCCCCGGTGTCATTTAAACACCCTCTCAGCTTGTCGATTGACTTCATTTCACTCTAAATCAGTTTAAATATTAAAACATATGCGCAGGCTTTTAAGAAGCTATGTCACGAAACTGCGCATGCGCGTCAGCAACGACTCAACTTGAAAAGGTTG